CGCAGCCAACAGGTACGGGGGGCGGGGTCACCTCAAGGTGGGCGGGAACTACAGTTGTGTGGCCTGGCATTTGGAGGCTGTTTGTGGGAAAATGGGAGGAGTCTGGGGGCGGGGTCTTAGAGAAAGGCGGGGCTTGTGATTGTGAAAGGTGGGAGTGATAGAGAAGGTGGGGTCTGGGGTTGTGGGGAACCGGGTTCTGCTGTGGGCAGAAAGAGCAGAATCCTAGGCATGGTCGGGTAGCTGAACCCATTTTTCGGACCACGGACTCTTTCCATCAGGGTTTTCGGCTTTGCTATTGTTGCTACATCCACTCTAAACATGTTGATCCCCTCGGCTGCCCGAGTCCACTATGGCTGTGTCATCTTCGTGAGGATCCTGCAGGGGTTGGTAGAGGTAAAGTCCCGCTCCCTATGACCCCGCCCCACCTGCCCTCTCCTCTTCTCGCAGACTTTGGTTTTCTTCTCCCTAGGGGGTGACATACCCCGCCTGCCACGGGATCTGGAGCAAATGGGCCCCTCCCTTAGAGCGGAGCCGCCTGGCGACCACAGCTTTCTGCGGTGAGAAGAAGGGGCTGGGATCTAGATTTGCGGGTCTGTCAGGGGAGGAGGCTGGGTACCCAGCTGCACAGAAGGAGGGGCTGTGGCTTGTACTTCTGAGTCTGGGGGTTCGTACTCCTGAAACCTGAGGGTAGGTAGGTCTGTTCTCTTTCCCGCGTCCTCCCCTCAGGTTCCTATGCCGGGGCGGTGGTCGCGATGCCTCTCGCTGGGGTCCTGGTGCAGTACTCAGGATGGAGCTCTGTGTTCTACGTCTACGGTGAGGCCTGGGCGCCTCGGTCTGGGTGGCGCTGGGGCGGAGCGAGGCCGGTTGTCACCTCGTTCCCATCTCCCTCCTGACCCCGCCAGGCAGCTTCGGGATCTTCTGGTACCTGTTCTGGCTGCTCGTCTCTTATGAGTCCCCTGCGCTGCACCCCAGCATTTCAGAAGAGGAGCGCAAGTACATCGAGGACGCCATCGGGGAGAGCGCCAAACTCATGAACCCCCTCACGGTCCGGGCCCAAGCCTGCGGGGCGGGGGCGCGGTGGGGCGAGGAGAGATATCCAAGCAGGGAGGCAGGAGAAATGGGGGCTTCGAACCCGCACAGCGTGTGAATCCTGGTGGGTTCCAGTAGATTCAGAGGAGACCAGATGGAAACGCCAATGGGCGGGGCTAGAGCCCGGGAGGCGGGGCTAGAGCCCGGGAGGTGGATTGAAGCCCGGGGAGGGCCGGGTTAGTAGATGCTGAGGGCAGGTCTAGGCCGCCAGACGGGCGGAAACACTGGCGGGGCGTGGTCAAGCCCGCAGAGGCGGGGTTAGAAGGTAGAGGTTTTGCTTAGACATTGAGGTGGGTGAGGTTAGATTTAGGAGTCATAATTGAATGGAAAGAGATTCCTGGGTCCACGTTTATGGGTCCCTGAGGGTTATTGTCATGTCCGGAGGCGAGCGAAGCTGAGGGGCCACTGTAGAACCAGGAGTCCTGTATTCCGAAGTGTCACAGTGAGGCTAGGATGCCAGGGACATGGTCGGGCTGGCGCCCCTGGGGACCTGGAGGTTTTAATGAGTTGGGGAAACCGGGGTCTCTGCGGGACTGTAGTGAGGTTCCCGAAGGGACGTGGAGAGCTGCCGGCCCTAGTTGCTGTCTTAGAGGCCCCTCCTCTGGCCCACACAGAAGTTTAACACACCCTGGCGCCGCTTCTTCACGTCCATGCCGGTCTACGCTATCATCGTGGCCAACTTCTGCCGCAGCTGGACCTTCTACCTGCTCCTTATCTCTCAGCCCGCCTATTTCGAAGAAGTGTTCGGTTTCGAGATCAGCAAGGTTGGCCTAGGAGGGGAGGCCAGGGGGCGCAGCGGGGTTGAGGGAGAAGGAGTGTGACCTGGGTCCCAAGGAGTTGGAATGAGGGACAGGGCGCAGCCAATGTGCACGAACCCCCTGAGCCCCTGCCCTGTACCCCCACCGGCGCAGGTGGGCCTGGTGTCAGCGTTGCCCCACCTGGTCATGACCATCATCGTGCCCATCGGTGGCCAGATCGCTGACTTCCTGAGGAGCCGCCGTATCATGTCCACCACCAACGTGCGTAAATTGATGAACTGTGGAGGTGAGTGGGGCGGGGTCTAGGCCTGGGGCAGCCTGGGCGGGGCAGAGTGTGGTGGGGCGCATTCAGGGAACCGGGACCAAGGAAGGATGGGGTGGGATTAGAGGCGTGTCCAGGAGTGTGTGTCCAAAAAGGCGAGGTCAGGGGCCTGGATGGAAGAGAATCTCAGGTGGCAGTCTCAGGCCTTGGGGGTGGGTGCGGGTGGAGTGTGTATGGACATCCAGGTGGAGCAGAGGCAGACCAAGTCGGGTCTGGAAGAGCGAGGTCTACCATGGACAGACAGAGCCGGGTGGATGGGAAGTGGGTGATGAAGAGGGCCTGCCTATGAGTTGGGGACCTGGAGAGAGGGGTCTAGGTGGCGTACTGTCTAAGGAGTGTGGACAGAGAGAGAAGGTGTGAATGTGCACGGGTGGAGCTGGGACCCTGCATCTTCAGGGCGTGGCCTAGCCAAGGGGTGGGGCCATGGAGGGCCCAGCTGAGGCGCTGAAGCTGTGCGGTTGGGTGGTCCAGGGTCAGGCTTAGGGCTGATGGAATGAGGGGCAAAGCCAAGGACAGGCATGGAGTGGGTAGAGGTGGGCTGGGGCGGGATTAGGTCTGGAGAGATGGTGAGGGGCAGCTGGCACTCAGATGAGGGGGCCCTTCGCAGGCTTCGGCATGGAGGCCACTCTGCTGCTGGTGGTCGGCTATTCGCACTCCAAGGGCGTGGCCATCTCCTTCCTGGTCCTCGCTGTGGGCTTCAGCGGCTTTGCCATCTCTGGTGAGAACCGTGGATCCGCAGCTTGGGGGAATCTGGACAGCGCTGTAGGGGACTTCCTGGCTCAGGAAGGGGACCTCCCAGCCACGCAAAAGGTGGACTAGAAAGAGCAGTGGGTGAGGGCAGAGGTGGGAGTCGGGGAAGGGACGGCTCAGAAGGAGTCACTGGAGAGAGATTCAGGTGTGATGCCTCCTGGCTCCTCTTGCCAGGGTTCAATGTAAACCACCTGGACATTGCCCCGCGCTATGCCAGCATCCTCATGGGCATCTCCAACGGCGTGGGCACGTTGTCAGGCATGGTGTGCCCCATCATCGTGGGTGCCATGACGAAGCACAAGGTCAGTGCATGTGTCCTGACCCACTCGCCCTCCAACCCTGTGCATGGCACCCTGTCGGGGCTCCGTCCCTGCCCGCTGCAGGTGTCTTCCAGCTTCTCTCTGATCTGCCTCCCTTTCTCTGGGCCTCCCCTCCCCCTCTCCGGTTCTCTCTTCACCTTCTATTTCTCTGGCCTCTTACCTCACCTCCCTGTTGTCCCCCAACAGACTCGGGAGGAGTGGCAGTACGTGTTCCTAATCGCCTCCCTGGTGCACTACGGGGGTGTCATCTTCTATGGGGTCTTCGCTTCTGGAGAGAAGCAGCCGTGGGCAGAGCCTGAGGAGATGAGCGAAGAGAAATGTGGCTTTGTTGGCCATGACCAGCTGGCCGGCAGTGATGAAAGCGAAATGGAGGATGAAGCTGAGCCCCCTGGGGCACCCCCTGCTCCCCCTCCCTCCTATGGGGCCATACACAGCACAGTTCAGCCCCCAAGACCCCCACCCCCTGTCCGGGACTACTGACCATGTGCCTCCCAGTGGATGGCAGTTTCCAGAATCTCCATTCCACACATCTCTGGCCTGAGTGACAGTGTCAAGGAACCCCAGTGCTCTCTGTCCTGCCTCAGGCCTAAGAAGCACTCTCCCTTGTTCCTAGTGCTGTCAAATCCTCTTCTTTTCCCAATCGCCTCTCAGGGGTAGTGAAGTTGCAGACTGGCAGTTTCAAGGATACCCACATCCCCCTAAAGGTTCCCTTCTCCACTTGTTCTGCCTCAGTGGTTTCAAATCTCTCCTTTCAGGGCTTTATTTGAATGGACAGTTCAATCTCTCGTTCTCTCTTGTGGTTTTGCAGCACCTTCCCCCTTTCCTTTACCCCCAGGGACCCTGAGATTACTCAGCCCCCTTCTCCTCTCAGAAAAACTCAAGGTCTTCCTCTAGAAGTTTCAAATCTCTCCTAACTATTCTGCATTTTCCAGGTTGGTTTAACCAATCACCCATCCCCACTATTTTAGAGATCGATTCTCACCAGCGTTTCTGAGGGAAAATGGTGGTTTCAAGACATCCTCCAACCTCTTCACCCCTCCCTCCACCAGCAGATTCTGCTGAAACACCAAATCCCCCAAGACCTCCTCCCTAGCTTAGCGCACAGTCTGGGGAAACAACCAAACTGGCGGTTTTATCAGTATGCCTCACTCCACCCCTATGCACTTTTTCTGACACAGTTTTCAGGTCTAAATAGTGGCTGCTCAAGTTCATCAATGGTTTGAAGCCACCACCATTGAACTTCCCCATGGTGGTTTCAAGATGCCCCTCTTCCCCCCAATTCCTTGCACTTTATTCTCCTGGGTGGTTTCAAACTACCCTCATTTCTCAGTGGCCATTTGTTGTGTCCCTCAGGGGCTAAATGACTCAAAATCTGGGATGCTGCCCTTCTCAGACACCTCTCTTTTGGCTTTGAATTGGGGAACATATATAGGAGAAGTCACAGAATCCCAGGAAATGGGGCTGGGGGCGAGGGTTTCCCCCCGGGGGCAGGGTGTGTCTCTGTGTCTCTGTCTTTGTGACTGTAAATCCTGCCCTGCCCCACTCCCAATAAAATGCTTTGGTGTACACACTCAGTCGTCATCACTGGGTCAGTGGCAGTGGGGGTCACAGGAGCTCCAGCTGCCTCCTTCCTCAGCCCCCTCCTCCTGCAGATTCCGTGTTCTAGGACCCCAGCCACCCTGCTCCCCCGGACTCACGCCAGAGGAGATGTCTACTGGAGGGAACGTGTAATTTATTTTGCCTCATCCCAAGGGTGTTCTCCGGTCACAGGGAGAGCCTCTCTCTGTGCTGGACTCTATCTGAAAATACCACTATGTCGCACAGCATGCCAGGAGGTGTGAACCCCTGGCCCTTCCTTCGTTCGGGGATGGCGCAGGTCTGGCGGGACCCAGCGCGGCTCACACGAAGTTGTTGGGGAGCATGGCAGGGGAGAGCGGCTCTAGGCGCTGGGGGTGGCCCCCGCGGGGCGGCGGGGGCAACTTGGGCGGCAGCGGAGGAGTGGGCGGTGGCTGCTTGGTGGCTATGTGTGAAGGGATCCAAGCGTCCGGTGCATAAAAGTAGAGATCGTAGGGCTCCTTCGGAGTGTCCAAATGCATAACTGTGGGAGCAAAGGGGCGAGGTCATCCCCAGGCTCACAGGGAGCCAGTGCCCACCGCTGCCGTCACTAACCAAAGAGGAGGCGGGAGACAGAGGATGCTGAAGGTCCCCTGGAACTGGGTTTTCAAATGAAAAGGCGAGGGCCCTTTTATAGACGAGGGGGCGTGGTGTCTATGCACTGGGGCGGGGCGCGAAGTGGAGAGGGCGGGGATTCCAGGGCTCCCGCAGGGGGAGGGCGGGGCTTGTAGGGACCTGTGGGAGGAGACAGCCAGCTGTTCTGGGGGAGGCGCTGGACTGTGGGTGTGAGATTTCAGAGAATTGGGAGGCAGGACCTGACTGCGGAGGGGTCAGGGCTTCTGTTGACCTTGAATGGGGGGCCTGTGCTTCTTGGCAGGGCGCCAGGCAAAGTGCCAGGCAAAACCTGGTCAAGGAAACGGGCAGGCGTTCAGGGCAGGGCACTGTGAGGGTCGCTCACCCGGCTCATCTCCGTCGTTTGGAAGCCTGTGGTGTGCGAAAGGTCGGTGTCGAGCCGCCCGGCGGTAGAGACACCACAGCAACACGAAAATGCCGATCAGGATCCCGGTCCCAGCCAAGAAGAGGCACAGGGCCCCGCCCGCCATGCCCCGGGGGCGCCCCACCAGGGTCATGCCTGAAGGAAGGAGCCAGGGAATAAAGCAATCTAAACTCCCTCTTCCCTCAGACCCAGGAGTCCAGGCCCCCAGCCCCTCCTCCCTCAGACCCAGGAGTCCAGGCCCCCAGCCCCTCCTCCCTCAGACCCAGGAGTCCTGGCCCCCAGCCCCTCCCCCCTCAGACCCAGGAGTCCAGGCCCCCAGCCCCTCCCCCCTCAGACCCAGGAGTCCAGGCCCCCAGCCCCTCCTCCCTCAGACCCAAGAGCACAAGCCCCCAGCTCCTCCTCCCTCAGACCCAGGAGTCCAGGCCCCCAACCCCTCCCCCCCTCAGACCCAGGAGTCCTGGCCCCAGCCCCTCCCCCCTCAGACCCTGGAGTCCAGGCCCCCAACCCCTCCCCCCCTCAGACCCAGGAGTCCTGGCCCCCAGCCCCTCCCCCCTCAGACCCAGGAGTCCAGGCCCCCAACCCCTCCCCCCCTCAGACCCAGGAGTCCTGGCCCCCAGCCCCTCCCCCCTCAGACCCAGGAGTCCGAGTCCTAGCCGCTCACCGGTCTCCTCCACTCGTTCCACCACGATGATAGTGTTGACTCTCTCACCTCGGCTGCGCCCCTGGGGGGCCCGCAGAGTGGCAGGGGCCAGCTGATTAGGGGGCCCTGGAGGAGCAGGGGGGTCTGCAATCCGGGATGAGGAAGGAGGGGCATCTGGTTCTTTAGGTATAGAGTTCTGGGAGGCCTTGGGCTCAATGGTCCCAGGATAATCTGAAGTGGGCAATTTAAGGGAGTTGGGCTGGGTGGCTGCAAGGGTTTCTGGCTTGGTATTAATGGGCAGCTCATTTAGGGCAGCAGCTTGGTCCTTGAGGGGTGCAGGCGTTTCTGGGTGAAAACTGGTGGAGATTTCAGGGTCAGAGTCCACAGTTATCTCTTTTGTATCTTGGTGGGTTGTGGGGAGTTTTGACTGGGGAATTTCAGTGGGGTCGGAGTTGTGGGTCACATGAGATTCTGGGTGAGGAGTATCAGCAGGGTTAGGGTGGAGGATCTGAAGGAATTCAGAGTTTGAGGTCTCAGTGGTGTTGGGGTCATGAGCTTCTGGAGTTTCAGGGTAAAGGATTTTGGTAGGGTCAGGATCAGGGGCTTCTGCATGTGAGATTTCAGTGGAGTTAAGTTTGGGGATCCCCATGAATTCTTGGTGTGGATTTTGGGTAGAGTCAGGATTTGGGGTCCCAGGAAATTCTGAGTGTAAAGTTTTGGAGGAATTAGGTTTGGGGGTCTCAGGAGATTCTGGGTGTGGAATTTCAGTCGGATCAGGTTTGGGGGTCTCAGAAGGTTCTGGATGTGTCTTTTGGGAGAAATTAACTTTGGGGGTCTCCAGAGGTTCTGACATTGAGGTGTTGAGTAAGTTATGTTTGGGGGTCTCAGGAGAATCTGGGTGTGGGGGTTCTGGGAGGCCAGGGTTGGGTGTGTCAGTGAAGTTATGGGGAAAGAGCTCAGGGAAAACCAAATGAGGCATCATGGAGGGCTCAGGAGAAGCAATCCCAGGGGATTCTGGGTTAGGCTGTTCTAGAGTGGTATTTTTAGAAACATGAAGAAAGGTTTTGGAGGGGTGGCCCATCCTCGGGAAGTCAGAGCCCACAGTTGGTGAGGCTGAAGGTGCAGCCTTGGAACCCAGCCCAGCGAAGAGGAAGACAAGGAGGAAGAGGATGGAGCTGAAGGATTTCATAGTTCTGGAAGACACCTATCATTTCGGGGGAGGAGGAAGGAAGGAGTTAAGTCAGGAAGTTGCCCTGGAATCCCTGCCTGGCCACACCCACTCTCAAAGGCCTTGCCCACTGGTTCCCAGGTGGACCACATCTCCTGCCCAGTTTGGCACCAGGGAAAGTCCCTGAAGGTTGAGGCATTGGCAGTCGTAGCTAAGGGACACAGGTGCGGGGCTTCTTCAGAGTTGTAGTTAATTTCCTTATCTGTTTCCCCAAGTGGAATCCCGGAAAATGGGGGGGAAAATGACACCTCTCCAAGTCCCCAGACCTCAACTTCCACTTCAGAGGATATAGATCTTTGAATGGACACGGGATCCCTTCCTCTCCGAGGGCCCCAGGGACACCTTGACTCAAAAGTTGTTTACACTACAGGAGGCTCAGAAGGAAGGACTAGGGGTTGTGGATCTGAACGCCTGAATCTGAGGGAGGAGGGAGGCTCTTGGGTTCTGCACAAAAAGGCTGCTGGAGGTTCAGACTCCCAGTTCCCAGAGGGTGGACGGCACTGTGGGTCTAAATTCCTGGTTCTTTAGAGAAGCCTGAAGGTTCAGATGCTGAGAATTTTGAGCTAAGTTTGGAGGGCTGGATTACAGGGGAGAAAGGAAATGGGAGACTGGAACCCTTGGATCCTGAGTTAGAAGGAGATTGGGAACTCTGAGTTTTGGGTCTTCCAGAGATGGGGGTGTAGGAGTCTGGATTCCTCAGCCTGCAGAAGAAAGTTGTGGGGGGCTCAGGTCTGTTTATTGAGGATGGAGCTTAGATTTCAGAGTATCAGGGACTGGTCTGGGGCAGAGATGCCTAGATCTGTGGTCAGGTGGAGGTAGGGGTGGTGGTTGTGGTCAGGTGGAGGTAGGAGTGGAAGACACTGGGATGGGACAGTGTCACTTGGGGCCCTGGGTTCTCCTACCTGTTCAGTGGGGTCCAAGATAACAGCAGGTGAGCAGCGCTGGATGCGGAGATCAGTAAATGCTGTAGAATGGCTCTGGGTGGAGCAGCAGGAGGGTGGGTCCCAGGGGGCATAGGTGACGCACCTGACCCCCTCCCTGGGGATCTTGGGAGCCTAGCAACAAGCTTAGGGTCTTAAAGAGACAAAGGTAAAGGACATTGTCTCTGGAGTGGGGAAGGGAGTTAGGGACTAGATCATTTGGTGGAGGGATGTGCCACAACGAAGCGATTTTCCCATTGACAGCAGGGCTCCCTTCTCTCCTACACCCAGCCCAAGTCCAAGTCCTTTAGTGCCCTCCTACGTCAAGACCACCGGCCATCACACATAGCCTTTGTCTTCTCCTGCCTTTCCTCCTTCCCCACCTCACACTGTGTCTTTCTGGTTCTCTCCCTGCCCGGATGTCTCTCTGGGCTGCTCTGTCCAGGCTGGCTGTCCTTCCATTTCCTTCTCTGAGAGCCTTTCTCTCATCTCTGGCTGGCTGTCAATTTCCTTCTTTTTCCTCTTCTTTCCTTTACCTTTCTTCCTCTTTTTCCTTTCCTGTCACTCTCTGTCCTTCCTTCTCATGGTTACTTCACCTCTTTGTGTCTCTGTTTCTCTCTCTCAGTCCCTCCTCTGTGGCGTTTCCAGTGTCTCTCTCGTCTCTGGCTTCCGCTCTGATGGTCCCGCTGCCAGTCTCTATTTTTATCCCTCTGACACACCCCCTGTGTCCACCTCTCTGTCTGTCTGTCTCTCCCCCTCCCGCTTCTCCTCAGGACCCAGCTCTTGGTCCCAATTAGTTGGTTGCCGCCAAGGCAGCGGCGGGCCCGCACCCCAAGCTCCTCATTACCGCTAGCGGCTCCTAATGAGCCTGGGGGGAGGCTGACCCCACGCCCCCGGCCCCCTGGTCTGCGTCACTGCCCGCTGCGGGGGCTGTGGAAGGGATATAAGGGGGCTGCCCGCCTCACTGCCCGAGTCCACTGCGCGGTAGGGGACCCTGGGATTGGGCTGCCAGGGCTGGGTAAATTCTGGGGTTCTGGTCCAGGACAAGGGCCTCACAGAGCCCTCCCTGTCTCTCCACAGGTGATGGAGACTCGCCAGATACCCAGGAGCTCCCGGGTGCGGCTCCTGCTGCTGCTCCTGCTGCTCGTGCCCTGGGGCGTTGGCACAGCCTCAGGTGTCGCCCTGCCTCCTGCCGGGTCCTTCAGGTACGTGTGATGCCCAGGATCCCCAGGGAGGGGCAAGGAAAGCGACCCAACGAGAAAGGGGACAGAGACTCAGAGAGGGGGACAGAGACCAAGAAAGAAGACTAGTGGTGAGGAGAGATGGGGACGGACAAAGAATCAGCAAGAGATTAAAAAAAAAAAAAAATTGCCCCGGCCGGTTTGGCTCAGGGGTTGGAGCGGCGGCCTGCGGTCCAGCGAGACCCGGGTTCGGTTGCCCCTGGGGGCATGTGCCTCAGTTGCGGTTTGTCCCCGGCCCTGGTTGGGTCGTGTGGGAGGCAGCCACTCGATGTGTCCCTTTCACCTCGATGTTTCTCTCTCTCTCTTTCTCTCTCTCTCTCTCTCTCTCTCCCTCTCTCTCCCACTCTATCTAAACAAAAAATGGAAAAATGTCCTCGTGTGAGGATAAAAAAAAATTCTGAGAAAGGTCTTGACTTGAAGTCAAAGCAGAAACAGACTCAATCTTTGAACACCTTACTGGTATGCGCCAGGCAGTGCACTGAGTGCGGAGGTGGACCAGGACACCGGACCGGTCTCCTACCCAGGGAGCTCAGAACCTGGAGAACAGAAAGGCAGAGACCCACACAGAGAGACAGACAGAGGGGCAGAGATCGAGCTACTCCACAGACAGTGCAGTGACAGGGCTTCGAGTTAGACCATGAGGAGGACAGGCAGTGTCAGGCAGTAACCACGTCTCTTGGTCTCCCCACAGCCTCCGCTCCCCGGGCCGGGTCTGGGCGGGTCCTGCCACCTCTGTGTCCCGGCGGAGCCTGGCGCTGGCGGACGACGCGGCCTTCCGGGAGCGCGCGCGGATGCTGGCTGCCCTGGAGCGCCGCCACTGGCTGAACTCGTACATGCACAAGCTGCTGGTGCTGGACGCGCGCTGAGCTCCCGCCCGCGGGCACGTTAATAAATAAAGACCCTGCTGTGCTTCAGTTCTGCGCCTCCTTCCTGCGCCCTGTGTGCATGGGGCGGGGGTGGGGAGCGGGCCCAGCACAGGTTACACTGGCACTTCGGCCCCTCCGTCCCCTCTTTTCTCTCCTTTAAAAAGAAAACACTTTGCCCAGCTCGTGTGGCTCAGTGGCTGAGTGTGGACCCAGGCACCAAGAGGTCGATGGTTGGATTCCCGGTCAGGGCACATGCCCGGGCTGTGGGCCAAATCCCTAGTGGGGAGCATGCAGGAGGCGGCCAATCGATGTTCTCTCTCATCGATGTCTCTCTCTCCCCCTCCTTTTCTCTCTCTCTAAAAATCAATAAAGTAAAAAATATATATATAAAAAAAGAAACATGTTTCCCTCCATTCAGGCATACCCCCACCTCTCTCTGCTGTACCCCTACCCCCACCCTGTTCCCACCTCTCCGTGCCTCTGTCCCTCCCCACCCATGTCTTTGCCCCCACCCCATCCCTAAGTCTCTGTCCTCCTCCCTGGGTCCTGTCCCCATCTCTTTGGTTCTCTAACCTCCAAGGTCTCTGCCCCCTTCTCTGGATTTAGGCGTTTGTCCTCCTTTCTCTGAGTCTGAACTTCTCTTTCACCCTCCTGGGAATCTCTATCTCCTCTCTCTACTCTCCTTGCTGCCTCTAAAACAACTTCCTCCCTTTCTTAATCACTGTTCTGTTTTTCTTTTCTCTCTGCCTGACTCCGTGGCTTTTTTCTTCCTTTGGTTCTCCATCTTTCTCTCTCTCTCTCTTACAGCTCCGAATTTTCTCTAAATTTCACCATTTGCGCTGTACTATCCCGACTTCTCTCTGGGAAGATCAGGGACCCTGGTGTGAAATGCACCTGTCTTGAAAAGAGATTCCCCCAAACCCAGCTGTGTGGTATTGGAAAGGGCTTAACCTTTGAGCATCCTTTTCCTCATCTGAGGATTAAACCAGATACACTGAGAGGACTTCAGAACAGCGCCTAGCACGAAGCGAACGTTTTTATTAGAAAAGGGTTTCCCCCTCTCTTGCAGCAGCCTCCAGCAGCTTCTTTAGGGTTTTATAACTGCGTCCTTCAGGGAAGACCATCGGTGCGGCAAGTTAGGGCGGGGAGGAGAGAGAGTACCAGGAGTCGGGCTCCTGCAGGCATGGGGCGGAAGTGGGGAGACACCTGGGCTGCGAGTGAAGCTAGAAAGCAGCCCATCAGAATCTGCCTCAGGCCTCTCGGCCAGCCCTCCAGCCCCGCCCCTCGATGGTGACTCGGGCAACCTACTTCTTGTCAGACGCCGGGAGCTCTGAACCGCTCGCGCGGACCGCACTCTGATTGGTCCAGAGAAGAGGGTGGGGCGGGGCCACGAGTGGGGGGGAAGGGGCGGGGCAAGCTCTTCCATAATTTGCATTTCCAGAAAGGTGGACGCACAGTAATTGGCCGTGAGGTAGCCCTGTTTCTACTATTGAAATACTGAATAATGAGTAACTGTATTACTCAAAATCTTACAGAGTTGGCCAAATTTTACAAATAAAACTGAAAGGAGTAATTTCCCCAAGTTGCCAGCGCTAACAAAGCACAGAAGGATAACTGGAACCCAAACCTGTGCAACTTCAAAGTCTAAACCTTTCCACTACTCTGATGGAGAAATGAAATTGCAACCTTACGAGCAGTTACCATATGCCAGGCAGTCTTCTAGACACTGTGAGTAGCCTCATCCTGTGTGTGGAGGGCAAGGAAGCTGGGTCTTGGCCTGTACCCTTCCATACTCTACTTCCCCCACAGATCTCCACAGCGAGTAACACCAGACCCCCATCTCCAGAGCTCAGGGCCCAGGGCTCCAGCTACCTCTTGGAACCCAGACACTCACTCCATCCCAATTAGCTCATTCTCACGGGTTCCCCATCTTGGGAATGGCTTCATAGTCTACCTGTCACTGGGTCAGTGATCTCCTTGTCCTTCCTTCTTCATCTGCCTTCACAGCACGTCGGTCCCTGACTCCATCCTTCCTGCTCTGCCTCTCTCCACCCTTCCCTTCTTTCCACCCACACCCTGGAGTCCAGATCAGACCTCATCCTCTCCCACCTGGACCACGGCCCAGCCTTCTCCCCACCTTCTGCCTCAGCCTCACTCCATTATTCATCCCCTATACAGGCTCAGAGGGTCTCTTTCTTTTCTTTTTTTTTATCCTCACCCGAGGACATTTCTCCATTTTTTGTTCAGGTAGAGTGGGAGGGAGAGAGAGGACGAGAGAGAGAGAGAGAGAGAGAGAGAGAGAAACATCGATGTGAAAAGGACACATCGAGTGGTTGCCACCCACATGACCAACCAGGGCCGGGGACAAACTGCAACTGAGGTACATGCCCTTAGCGGAACCGAACCCGTGTCTCTCTGGACCGCAGGCCGACGCTCTAACCGCTGAGCCAAACCGGCCAGGGCTAGAAGGTCTCTTTCTTACTCAAAGTTGATTCTGTCTCTTCTCTGCTTGCAGCCCCTTCTTGGGAGTAAAGTTCAAGCTGGTGTTCAAAAACCTTCATAGGCTCTTGCCCACCTCTTATATTTCACCACTCTGTAGTCTCAAATCCTTCCCTGGCTCCACTTTTTTTTTTTTTTTTTAATCCCAGCTATGGTGCTGCCTATGGCTCTCCACACACAGAGGCTTTTTCTCACCCCCTGGTCGTCACACATATTTGTTTCCTCTGCCTGTGACATCCTCCTAAGCCCCTGCTCACTGTAACCAACCTTACTCATCTTTCAAGACTAAATGCTGATGTCACTTATCTGGGAAGAAATCTCTAGCCTCTAGGCTGAGTTAGGTACCTTTTCTGGGTTCACATAGAGCCCGCAGCTACCTCTATCACTATCTCTCCTTTTTTTTTTTCTTTATTGATTTTTTAGAGAGAGAGGGAGGAGAGATAGATAGAAACACCAATGAGAAAGAACATTAATTAGCCGCCTCCTGCATGCTCCCCACTGGGGATTTGGCCCACAACCTGGGCATGTGCCCTGACTGGGAATTGAACTGGCGACCTCTTGGTGCATAAGTTGACGCTCAACCACTGAGCCACACCAGCCGGTCACTATCTGTCTTTAAACAGGTGTGACTCTGTCCCACCCTTGCTCAAAACTCTCCCAAGAAAGCCTCTGTGGTGCTGAAACTGTTCTATATCTTGAACTGGGTTGGGTTTTGTTTTCGAGTGTTTACATATGCAAAAATTCATCCAGCTAATACTTAAGATTTGTCCATTTATCTGTATGTAAATTACACCTCAATTAAAGCATAAGTAATCAAAAACAAGCAACAAAACCTATAAAGTTCCCATCATCCTTGGGGAAAATGAACGCTCCTCACCCTGGCACTGGAGGCCTGTTTCTCTACAACTTTATCTTCTAAGTTCTAGCTGTGGCAAATAGATGATCTCTACGTGTCGGAGGAGTGAACAAATGGCACACTGGTCCACCTCCTGCTGGCTGTTTGCACTGTAGTGGACCATCTGTGGTGTGTGCCTGGCCCACATCTCTTTCTCCCTCTTTCTGCCAGGAGAGGCGCTTGGCCTCCCTTGCAGCTAGGGGTGATGACGCCCAACAGTCTGGCCAACAAGACATAAACACAGGTCTGCTGCTGGCTCTGGGAAGGCTACTGCTTTTCTTTACAAAAAAAGAAGGAACGTGTCCCCTTCTCTCTGCAGATATGACGTATGAAGCTACAATGCCCGCCATCCTCTGAGCATGAGAGAAGGGCCAGGAAAATCACAGAGAATCACAGCGTGCTGGCCCCGAGGCTGTGGAGACTGGACCGTGGGCCTACTGCTGTTCTCCAGGCTTGTTTAGTGAGGAGAATAAACCCCTAGTGCTTACTCCATTATTGGGTGTGTTTTGCTATTGTTAAGAAATGTATTTGCCAACATAAAAAAACCAAGAGACTTCACAAAAAGACCCTGTACAGGGATCATGGAGTACTGCATCTGGGGTCTCAGTACTGGGGTAATCCCAGATAACAGTGACATAACAATAGGAACAACAGTAAAAAGAGCCTGAGGAATTCACTGAACTAGACGTTGCTCTCAAGGGAAGAGCATGGCTCACACCGGTGGGGGCCTGAGGTAGCAGAGCTGGAGGTGGGGCCAGGTGGGGGGCGGGGACTGACCCAGCAGCAGAATGGAGAGCAGCAGCAGCAACAGGAGACCCAGGACAGGTGCCGGGATCAGCGGGTGCCCAGTAACCCTGGTGGGGTGGCAGGACAGTGCTTAGGAAGGTGCCCAAGAGAGACTGCGTGCCCCAATGTCTGATGACCACCTTCCTTCTGGTGATATCTCAGGGCTCACCTGAGCTGCTGGGGATGCAGGGGGCACAGGCAGAGCTGGCCCCAGACTGGCCTCCTGACTGGGATCAGCTTCTTCTCCACAGGCACCAGAGCTTGCTGCAGGTCTGGCTGGGCGGGGCTGCTGGAGAGAAAGGAGGGCAGGGCAATCACACCGGACTTTGTCCCTAAGTCCTCTCTTAGTCCCTGTGGGTCCTGGTACCTCTCAGGAGGGCTTCTTGGAATGTCTCCAGGGTGAGGGTCTCCCAGAGGGATGGAGAGATCAGCCTGGAAAGACAAAGGAGATGACAAATTTGAGACACGGGGTCCTGGACAGAAGTGACCCCATCGAAGGGGGTGAAACACAGTGAGTGGCTCAGTGCATAAGCTTCACTGAAACATATTGCTGGGTTGGGGTCCCGCCTCTGCCAGCTTCTGGCTGTGTGTCCTTTGGCATGTCACCCCACCTATCCGCCCACCTGCTGGACAGGAATGATGACAATACCAATTTCTCAGATCTGAAGTGGAGACTGACTGAGTGAATGCAGGTTAAAAAAAAAGTGGGAGGGGGCTCAGAACAATGCCTGGCACATAGTGAATGCTCAATAACTGTGTGAGCTATTCAATATGATCATTTCCACTTCCATTGGATTCTGGAAATATCCAAATGGCAATAAACATAAAGTAATAGCCCTGGCCAGTTTGGCTCATTGGTTAAGAGTGTTGGCTTGCGGACTGCAAGTTCGATTCCCGATCAAGGGCTTGTACCTTGGTTGTGGGTTCAATCCCCTGCCCCAGTCAGGGTTGTGTGGAAGGCAACCAATTGATGTGTCTCTCTCACATTGATGTTTCTCTCTCTCTCTCTTCTTCTCTCTCCCTCCCTCCCACTCTATCTGAAATAAATAGAAAAATCCTCCAGTGAGGATTAAAAAAAAAAAGAAAGAGCCCTGGCTGGTTTGGCTCAGGGGTTATAGCATCAGCCTGCGGTCCGGAGAGACCCGGGTTCGGTTCCTGCTAAGGGCCCGTCCTCAGTTGCAGTTTGTCCCCGGCACTAGTTGGGTTGTGCGGGAGGCAGTCCCTAGATGTGTCCCTTTCACGTCAATGTTTCTCTCTCTCTCTCCCTCCCACTCTATCTGAACAAAAACAATGGAAAAATGTCCTCAGGTGAGGATACAAAAAAAAAAAAAAGAAAAATATCCTTGGGTGAGGATTAAAAAACAAACAGTAATAAATAACAACAGGACATCAGCCTCAGCCACCACCTTCACCACTGCCACCTACTGTGTGCCTGCTCTGGGTCAGGCCCGGAGCCAGGCCCTTTACAATATGACCCTCACCCCTCACCCTGAGAGCTGGGTGAAGATCAGCATGCCAGCTCCAGGAAATGGAGGTGGGGCCCTGACTCCACGAAGGTGTGGCAGGAAGGAGGTGGGCTTTGGGGTCAGGCTACTCAGAGAGACCATCTTGGATGGTGTGGTCCCTGGGGGGTCCTAGGTGCCCAGAACAGAGCCTGGCACACATTTGGGCTCTCCCATCCTCGGCCGAGGACTCCAGATTCCTCGTCTCACCACATTTCCCCCCCTCCCTTTCCTTGCCTGAGAATGGGGATTGTTACCTGCTGCTTTGAGGAGCAAAGGACCTGTGTGTGTGGTGCTGGGCAGGAGGGTGTTCTGCCTCAAGGGAGTTCTGAGGCTGGCTGGGGAGGGCCCAGCCCCTTCCTGTGTGTGGGTGCATGTGCGTGTGCATTTTCGCAATCCGGGGGTGTAACCACGTCTGTGAGGCCGGTGGTGTGTCGGCTGCATCCCAGTGTGTGCTTGGGGGGTCCCCTGGGAACATTCTGGCCGCCCACTGGCCTTTAGGCCATCACCCGCAGCACCATCCGCTTCATTAGCTACAGTGAGGGCCTTGTTATCTCTTGGCCAAATGATTTTTCTGTCTGCTCAGGGGAAGTAGGGGTGTGGGTGGGAGCTGAGGAGGAGCTGTGATGACATCAGTCCCCTCCAAGGGCCTGAAGTGGAGGAGGACTGGGAGGGGTGCTGGGGACTGCCTACCGTGACTTGGATATCTGCTTCCTCCTCTTCCTCTCTTCTGGGCAACCTGGGGCAACAACAATGTCACTGCAAGCATCCTCCCTCTGCCTGACTCCCATTTGCCCGCTTAGGGGCTCAGGGGAACCTTTGAAGCTGGGTTCTTAAGGAGGAATGGGCACCATGGATGGGCCTGTGGTCTGCGACCTCAAAAAGGGTAAGAGGGTTTCTTCATCTCACTGGCTTTCTCAGCTGCTACTTTTCCAGTTGATGCCCGGGTCTCACTCCCAGAACACCAGCCTCAGACCCTGCCGCTACATCCTGCTTGCTGGGTGGCACCATTTTCACTAAGTCTCAGTCTTACTGGGTCTTTTTTTCAGGACTTGAACTTCAGAATCCAACTGTGTAAGCCCCACTCCCATTCAAAATCATTTCTCTTAGGGGTGTGAGCCCCTGGCCTCTGCCCCGCCTAGGGTCACAGCTGCCTGAGTCCCTGAAATGCCTCCTTAGGGACTCAGGTCTCAAGCTGCCTTGTCTGGATGTTCCTTGGAGACCCAGATGTGCACACTACTAGCTATCACCTTCACTGGGGACAAGAGAGTCAGCTCTCTGTTTCAGACCCAACACCCTCAGGATACAGCTATTTCCTCAACTAGCACCCCAAAAGGTATCCAGCCCCTCTCAAGGCTCAAGTCCTTGTCCCTAGCCACTTCTAGGATGACAGGATTTCACTACCTTCCTCACTCCCAGCTTCCCAATCTGTGCATCATACTGCCCTGACCTCAGAAACTCAGATGGCCAGCCCCCAGCCCTGCTGCTGCTCAGCCCCCTTCTCCCTTCCATTTCCTGGTGACTGAGGGGAGGTCACAGCTCTGGAGCCCCCTCCCACCCAATCTCAGCTTTCCCAGACAAGTCCAATTAGAGCCCATGGCAAACAGCCTCATTAGTTGCTACAGCCAGGAGTCTGAAAGAGTGGTGGGGAAGAGGATGACATCACAGAAAACCGGAGGCCCCAAGGAGGGTTGGTGCAGACATCCAGTGATTTCTCTATCCTCAAAGGCCTGCACAGGAGCTTCATAACAATCACAAGGTCAGGGCTCCACGGCATTATGCCAAATGCTCCCACCATCCTCTATCACAAAGGGCTGAGCTGGGATTTGAACCCAGGTGTCTGATTCCAGAGCCATCATGGTCTCCCAACTACCCGGGTGCTCCCCAGGGGCCCAGTCTGGGTCTCATTTATCCCAAGGGTACCTAAAGGCCTTGTAGATGTGTATTCAGTGACAGTGACTGAGTGACTGAGCGGTTCCATCTTCCTGACAACTGTCTTTTTTAATGTAAGAGTCTCCTATACAAATACTATTCTTGCAGGACCCCATTCAGGCATCCCACCTTCCCACGAAGCCCTCAGGTACTAGACATCCTCCTGGAACTATCTGGTCAGGGTTGTTTCCCCCTAGGCCTGGAGTCACTGAGGGCAGGGCTGGGTCTGACTCATCCTGGTCTACAGGCTCAGGGTCCCTCTGCAAGAGTGAGTGAGTGAGCGGGCGATGCGAGGCTCCATCGGGGCTCTTTTAGTTCTTATACTCCATCTGCCCGAGAATCAGGTGTCACCCTGAGGCAGAGGGAGAGGTTTGGGAGGAGCAGGCTTCTTACCATATCGATCGCTCCTTCCTTCTTTCATGAGGGTATGCTGGCTCTCCCTGGAAATTTCTCTGTGGCAGGGGCAGGAGGAGGGAAAAAAATGGTTAGGTCTCCCGGGCTGCAATACCTCAAGAATTCACCATCTTCAAAAACCTGCCTTCCTCCTGGGCTCCCTCCTCCAGGACAGCTCTATTATCCCCCTGGAGCAGAGATCAGAAAGTGGAACATTGTTCTAGACCCCTCTAAGCCCCTTTCTTATTCAGGACCCAGGAGTCTAGATCCCCCAAATGTCTCATTTGGCCCAAGAGGGGCTCAGCATTCCCCTTTCAAACCTCATTCTTCTCCCAGGTTCCCAGTCTTTGAATGGCCCCATCATCTGCTCTCCCTCAGGACCAAGGTCTCTCTCTGTTTTCTCCAGGGACATCTCATCCTATGGCCTCAATCAGCCCCACACTCTTTTCTAAATACATCCTTGAGCTCCAGTTTTGTGAACCCACTGGCCCTGGGCAGCCCACTCTTCCCCCCATGTCCCACATAACCATCACAAGATAGGTTCAGCACTTGCCCTCTTCTCTTCCCTTCCCATCACCCTGAACCCCAGCCCATCTGTCCACAACTCTGTCTTCCCTGCCCCAATTTTCTCTGTCCATCCCCTTTTCTCCATCTAAAGGCCCTGGCCTGGCTCAGGTTTCATCCTTCCCCTCTGGACCACTGACTCAGCCTCTTCCCTGGCCTCACCTCCTAGTCCCCCTCCTAGTGGCTGGCCCCCGAGGGATCTTTCTACACCCCGAGCTGCCCCTGCCCTTCCCTGCTCACGCCCTCCTGTGTTGACGGAGAAAAGTCTTTTAGTTCGCTAGGGAATTCCCTTCATGATGGGGCCCCAGCCTCGTCTCTCACTGGTCACACCAACTGCCCTCTGTCCCCAAGCACATTACACGGTTTCACACCTCCATGTACACTGCTCCCACTGCCTAGAAGGCTTTCTTTCCTCGCACTACTTAACTTCTTTTTTCTTAAAAATAAACTCAAGTGTCAGTATCCCTGTGATCTCTTCCAATCTCCGCGGACACAGGCACCTCCTTCTTTGGGCTCCCGCAGGACTCCCCCCCACCTCTAGCACACCAACAAGCCTGCATGGAATTGCCCATTTGTGTGATCTCTCCACCAGGCCGAGTGCGAAGGGGCCCGGGTCCTGAGTGACTCTACTCTGTCCCTCCAGGACCAGTGCAGGCGGCACCCTGAGGCCTGGTTCAGTCCTCCCCTGGATGGGGTGTCTGAGAGCTCGTGGCAGAAGTTCATTTCCTCTGAGGAATATAGCTCTGCCCTCCACAACTGTGTGACTGTGGGCATGAGCAGAAGGATGAGGGATGAGGAAGCCTACCTCACAGAGAATCTGGGAGAGGTAAATGAGAAATCAATGAGAACATTCATGTCAAAGAAAAATACAGAAGCTTCTCTCAACCCAGGGACATAGTGAGCGAAGAAGTATTTCTCCTTTAAGGATGGTGAACACCTTTGAAATGGTATAGATTTCAAGAAAATACAGAGTTGTTTACCGAGCTGTTACCAATATGTTCTTTAAAAAATTTGCTCTGGTTGTCCTGGCCAGGTAGCTCAGTTGCCTAGATACGCCAAGGGTGTGAGTTTGATTCCAGTCAAGGCACATGCAAGAAGCAACCAATGAATGTATGAATAAGTGGAACAACAAATCAATGTTTCTCTCTCTCGCTTCTTTTCTCTCTCTAAAATAAATAAACAAACAAATAAATACAAATTTCTTCTGGCACTAATAGATTAAAAGTTCACTTTTTAGTTATGGACATTACAGATGAGTTGTCTCAGTTATTTCAAACGATGTAATATTATCATTCAGATAATTATAGAAGTCATAAAACAATGGTTATTGTTGAGTTCAAGATTTCATAGTGGGTTTGCTAAAGTAAATGCTTAATGGACGTTTACAGTATCAGGAAGAACAGTTCACTCCCACTGTAGTACCATCCTATTATTTTATTTTTGTAGGATTTAATAACTTTATCTTTTTATTTTTCAATTACAGTTTACTTTAAATATTATTTTGTATTGGTTTCAGGTGTACAGCATAGTGGTTAGACAAAAATATACTTTATAAAGTGTTCCCCCCAATATTTTCAGTACCCTCCTAGCCCCATACAGTTATTACAATATTACTGGCTATATTCCCTATGCTGTACTTTATACCTCCTGTTTTGTAATTGTATATAGTACCATTTTATTTTTAATTTAATTTTATTTTTTTATCCTCACCCGAGGATATTTTTCCATTTTTTGTACAGATAGAGTGGGAGGGAGAGTGAGGAAGGGGGAGAGAGTGAGAAACATCGACGTGAAGGGACACATCGAGTGGCTGCCACCCGCACGACCAATCAGGGCCGGGGACAAACTGCAACCGAAGTACGTGCCCTTAGCGGGAACCGAACCCGGGTCTCTCAGGACCGCAGGCCGATGCTCTAACCGCTGGGCCAAACCGGCCAGGGATTATTTTTAATTTTTTAAAGAGTTTTTTTTGTTTGTCTTAATCCTCACCTGAGGATACATTTTTTTCTTGATTTTAGAGAGGAAAGAAGAGGGAGGGAGGGAAGGGAGAAAGGGAGGGGGAGAGAGAGAAAGGAAGAGAGAGAGAAACATCAATTGGTTGCCTCTTGTATGCAATCGGGGATCAAACCCAAAACCTGGGTATGTGCCCTGACAGGGAATTGAACCCGTGACCCTTCAGTGTATAAGACGACCCTCGAAGCAACTGGACCACACCGGCCAGGGCATAGTACCATTTTATTTTTAATTTTTAAAATAATCCTCACTGCAGGATTATTTTTCCATTTATCTTCAGACAGATTTGGGGTGGGAGAGAGCGAGAGAGGGAGGGGAGAAGGGGGAGAGATAGAGAAACATTGATGTGAGGGAGACACACCTATTGGTTGCCTCCCACACGGCCCTGACCCTGACCAGAGCAGGGGACCGAACCACAACTGAGGTTCGTGCCCTTGACCGGAATTGAATCCATGACTCTTTAGTCCGCAGGCCTATACTCTAACCGCTGAGCGAAACAGGCCAGGGCCATAGTAACATTTTAAATAAGGTGATTTCTGACAGTGTTTCCTAAACAACAACAACAATCACAAAGAAATTTGTGTTTGCTTTCTTCATTTTTTTTTTTTTTTTAATCCTCATCTGAGGACATTTTCATATTCATCTTCAGATAGAGCGGGAGGGAGAGAGAGGGGAACAGAGAGAGAAACATCGATGTAAGAGAGACACATCGAGTGGTTACCACCCACACGACCCCAACCAGGGCTGGGGACAAACTGCAAACTGAGGTACGTGCCCTTAGCAGGAACCAAACCTGGGACTCACTGGTCTGTGGGCTGACGCTCCAATCGCTGAGCCAAATGGACCAGGGCTGCTTTCTTTTTTTTTTTTTTTATCCTCACCCGAGGACATTTTTCCATTTTTTGTTCAGGTAGAGTGGGAGGGAGAGAGAGGAACAGAGAGAGAGAGAGAGAGAAACATCGATGTGAAAGGAACACATCGAGTGGCTGCCACCCGCACAACCAACCAGGGCCAGGGACAAACTGCAACTGAGGTACATGCCCTTAGCGGGAACCGAACCAGGGTCTCTCTGGACCGCAGGCTGACGCTCTAACCGCTGAGCCAAACCGGCCAGGGCCAGGGCTGCTTTCTTCATTTAAAAAAAAATTTTTTTTTTTAACCCTCACCTGAGGATATTTTTCCATTTATTTTATCTTCAGATAGAGTGGGAGGTGGGTAGAGAGAGTGAAACATCGATGTGAGAGAGACACATTGATTGGTTGCCTCCTGCATGACCCCAACCAGGGCAGGGGACAGAACCGCAACCCAGGTACGTAACTGGAATCGAACCAGTGACTCTTTGGTTGGCAGGCTGATGCTCTAGATGCTGAGCCAAACAGGCCAGGGCTGCTTTCTTCATTTTTGTCTACCACACTAGCAGGCCAGTCCCTAGAGGGCAGGGATGGTGTCCTGTCTGGCTTGGGTTCTGTGTCCTTCAGTGGTCTCTCAGTCAACATTTGCCTATTTATTAGGGAGTCTCAGGCCCTTCTGCCAGCTCTGGACTTCACTGGTGCTCACCTGTCCTTCGGTTGGGGCTTCAGGTAGAAAGTCCGCGTCCTCATCACTCTCACTGATGTCCTCCTCCCACTGCCACACCCCACACAGAGGGCTGGAGAGATCGGTGGCTGCCTCTTCTTGTTTCTGGGAGGGAAGTTGTTTCTGAGGTCAGAGAGGGCCAGATTAAGGCAGAAGACAGGTCAGAGATGGGGATGGAGATGCGCTGAGGTGTGGGGATGGAAGTGGAAGGCAGATAGTACGAGCCTGGGCTAGGGAATGGGTGGAGGCAGGACCCAAGAAGGTTTGGTGCCAGGACCAAGAATTGGATTAGGGATGAGGTTCGGACAGATGGTCCTGAGGAGAAATGGGGTAGGGTAAGAGTCAGGGCTGGGTCAGAGTTGTAGCTTTAGGTAGGATACAGTGTTCCCAGGGGTGCCAGGCCCACCTGCTGAATGGCCTGGATCTCCATGCCCAGCGATGGGGGCAGCAGCTTGGTCCAGCCCACTCTTCTTGCCTGAGCCCCTACGGGTAGCCTGGTCACACAGTCAGGAGGGGGAAGGCTTCTGTGCCTGCCCACCACCTGTCGGTCGGCCTGTGCTGGGGTTGCCACCCTGCCCACCTTGAGGTGGAGGCTGGGGTCCTTGCCCTCGAGTTCTCCTCCTGCCTCCTCCACCCCTCATGTTCCACTCACTCATCTGGCCCCTTTTGGATCTGACTCAGCTGCTCCTCTAGGTGTGAGATTTCCAGCCTCAGTTCCTGCAATGGAGGGAGCAAGGGACATCTGGCTTTCCATTCTTTCTCAACCCCCACCGCTAGGCTCCTTTTCCCAGGTCAATTCCACTCCTCTGACTTCTTTGGGCTCGTCAAGACACACAGCGCCAAGGCACGTGGGGAAGAAATCAATGCCAAAAACTCAGGAGGCCAAAGAGAGACAGAGAGCAGCAGGAACCCAGAAGGCAACCTGCCAGCCAGGAAAACTAAGCAAAGGAAGGCAGAAGAGACTCACAGAACAGCAAAGCACAGATGGACACAGAGTCACAGAGACAAGAGACAAATGAGATGTAAGAAACTCATAAAGACCAGGGACAGAGAGAGGAGTTGCCCTGGGAGATAGACTAGATCCAAAGAGGGTCTGAGACAAGACCCTAAATACGCCAGGCATAGATACACATAGAGATGAGGAGGAGAGATGTGGTGAAAAGACACATACAGAGAATAAAAGTGAATGGAAAACAGATACACAGAGTAAAAGAAAGGAAAGACAGAAAAAGTGAAAAGGCAGAGAGAGATGGAAAGAGAGAGGGACACCCAGTCAGACAGTAGAGATGGAAGTGAGATGAGGAGACTTGGGACAAGATTGACAGAGACTGAAAGAGGCAATAAATCTTGGAGATGGCAAGAGAAGTGGGGAGAGCACGGCCAGGCAGGGGACCGCCAAGGGTGGGTGAGGGAGCCTGGGTTACCTGAGTTGTTGTTCTGTACTCTTCCAAGGTCTTGGCCAGAGTCTCCGCGTGGCAAGTGCGCTGGGAAAGCCCAACGTCAAGTGAGACTGGATTCAGCCCCACAAAGACACTGAGGCTAGGAGTGGGGGTGTAGGGTGTTGGGGGGAGGGCAGGGTGAGCTTTTGGGAAAGGCTAGGGCCTGAGGGATAGCACTGGGTTTCCGGATCCTGCATGGTCATGCTTGTGACCTCAATGGAACCCTGTGACCTCTCTGGGCTGCTTGCTTGTCCCTGGATTAGAGCCAGGCAGGACTTCCCTTTCTAGACTTGGGGCAGGAAATGGGCAAGTGTACTTGGAAGCAAATATCATCCCCACCCCAGCCCCCTCACCTCAGAGAGGTCGGAGTCCCGTTGGCAAATGAGGTGTTCACACTCACAGAGCTGTCGCTGCCAAGGAAGGAGTCTGTCCATCTGTCCTGCCTCCCAGTATGCTCCTCAGCCCTGCCTCCCCAGGCCTGCCCACTCCCGAACCCCTCTCCTAAACCTCCCTCCAGATCTCTGGCCATCAGCTACAGGGACAGGGATTTCGGCCAAGTTGCCTGGCAGTCCTGGGAACCTGAAGGCTTGATGGAAGTTCCACCTCTCACCAGGCCTTAGTGGCTGAAACTGGAAATGGTAACATGGACTGGGGGGTGGGGGGAGTTGTCAAGGCACTAGGGAGGGGTGGCACCTTTAAAGCATCCTTCTCCATGGCCAGCTCCTCAGTCCTCCTCTTCACTCCATCCCGCTCAGCCAGTAGCTTCCCATTCTGGAAGGAGGAATGGCGGTCATGTTTACTTCAGTAAATGGCAAAGATAATACTCATAGCTGACATCCGCTGACACTCGATCTGCAACAGGCAACATGCTAAGCACTTTCTATGTTTTAGCCCATGTAATCCTTCTGACCACCCTGTTGAATTTCAGTTTTGATTTCTCTGTGCATCAGTCCGTTCCCCCATCTGTAAAAATGGAAAGATAGGACCCACTTCATGGGTTTGTTGTGAGGATTAAATGAGCTAATTGCTAACATTTACTGAGCACCTTGCATGTGTTGACTCATTTCTTATTCCCTATTTTAAAGATAAAAGCAACTCAGGCACAGGAAGGTTGAAAGACTTGCCCCAGGTCTATAGGTGGTAATTAATGCAAATACATGCTAATAGCACAAAGCATTTAGAAGAGTGCCTGACATATACCAAACGTTTGGTAAATGTTATATTAAAAGTATTTTTATGTGGAATCTAAAGAACGATATAAATGAACAAACAAAACAGAAACAGACTCATAGATACAGAGAATAGACTGATGGTTGCCAGAAGGGATGGGGGTTGGGAGACTGAGTGAAAAGGGTGAAGGGATTCAGAAGTACAGAGTGGTAGTTACAAAATAGTCATGGGGATATAAAGTACAGCATAGGGAATATAGCCAATAATATTGTAATAATTATTGTCCGGCAGGTTGTGTCAACCCATGCACTAAGGGGTCGCCAGTTGGATTCCTGGTCTCAGCACGTGCCCAGGTTGTGGGCCCGATTCCCAGTGGGGGGCATGCAGGAGGCAGCCAATTGATGTTCTCTTTCGTTGATGTTTTCATCCCTCTCTCTCTCTCCCTTCCTCTGTGTCTCTAATATATCAATCAAGAAAAAAAATTGTAATAATTATGCATGGTGCCAGGTGGGTACTGAAAATATCAGGGGACCACTTTGTAAAGTATATGATTGTCTAACTGCTATGCTATACACCTGAAACTAATACAAAATAATATTGAATATACACTGTAATTTAAAAAAATTAAAAATATTTTTAAAACTGTGGATTATGAATTTTTTGTTGTTGTTCAGGTAGAGTGGGAGGGAGAGAGAGGAACAGAGAGAGAGAGAAACATCGACGTGAAGGGACACATCGAGTGGCTGCCACCCGCACAACCGACCAGGGCTGGGGACAAACTGCAACCGAGGTACGCGCCCCTACCGGGAACTGAACCCGGGTCTCTCAGGACCGCAGGCCGACGCTCTAACCGCTGAGCCAAACCGGCCAGGGCGATTATGAATTTTTAACACACACAAAAGTAAAAAATAACAGTATAGTGAACCCCCCCCCATTACCCAACACCCAGTTTCTCAGTTTGTTTCTTCTCTGTCCTTCAGGTTTTTTGTTTTGTTTGGGGTTTAATCAGATTTTTAAAGCAAATCCCAGGCATATTATTTCACATGTAATTACTCCAGCATTTTAATCTCCTACTTAAGAACCTTTCCTTTAGCAAAACCACAATACCTCCCATTATCACCCTTAACAAAGTTAAAAATAATTCCTTAATATCATCTCACACCCAAGTTGTGTTCTTTTTAATTTTTGGTTGTTTCTCACATGTTTCACAAGTACTTTATTTGAATGAGGATCCACTAGCTTTTGGTTGAAGTGTCTCAATTCCTTTTATCTGACACTAATCTCCCACCTTCCAACCCTGGCACTTTTTTGGGTCCTTCTTTTGTGGAAAAACCAGATCACTTGTCTTGTAGAAACTGGTGCATTTAGATTTGGTTTACTGTGTTCTCCTTCCCTATGGTAATGTTCACCATGTTCCTACATCTTCATTATTCCCTGTAAACTGGTGGGTAGATCCAGGGCCTTGTCAACTTTTTGGCAGGCAGATTTCATGGGTGCTGCTATACATGTCATATTGTGCCATTCAGGAAGAATGTAATGTCTGGCTGTCCTAACAATGTTTTTACTGCCATCATCCCCACTTTTACAGAGGAAACTAAGAATTAAAGAGGTTAATAAACTTGGCCAAGGTCAGATGTTAAGTAAGTGGACTCAAACCCAATTCTAATTCCAAGTCCTATGCTTATAACCCTCAGACTCTCCTCTGAGACAGGTGAAGCCTTGGGAGAGAATGGGGAACCAGATTCATCTCTTGTCCCCAGCTCATCATTAGAGGTGGAGACCAATGCAGAAGCTGATGATGATGTGTGAGGTGGACTCTGATGAGGACTAGGGCCTGGTGCTGCTGGGAGCCCCGATGAGGGGCTTCCTGAGGAGGCAGTGCAGAGGCAGAATACTCAAGGATGAGGAGAGTTATCAGGAAAACAAGGGGGCCAGGAGAGGGCAGTGGGCTGGGCCAGCTATGAAATGGGACTGAGAGTAAATGGCCCAAATTCCACTCTAGAGTTTCTGGGCACCAAAAACCTAGCAAGCTGCCCTGCATTTTGATGAGGCAGTCATGGGGAAAAGCAGTTCTGGGCATGGAGGCAGTCGACTCTCCTTGCCACATCCCTTGTCCTGGTGCCCCTGGGGATACCAAGGCCAGCTCTTAGTTCTCTCCAGCCTGGCTGGGCTGCAAGTCCTCCGCGAGCTGCCCTCCCTCCCTCTCAGTCTCAGTGGGCCTGAACTGCCAGGTAAAGGGCGGAGGAAGGACGGATGGGCCACAAATGCTGTGTCAACATCTGTCCACCTGGTTGGGATTTGCAGGCTGGATCCTGGGTGACTCGGCAGGGAACCTGGTTACTCAGCCGCTCCTGCCTTCTTCTGCAGTAACCTGAATCCTGCTTCGTAGGTTCTCCGTAGGAAAGCTGAGTGTCTGAGTGTCCCTTACTCCAGCATTATTCTACTGTAACTTGAGAACTTGATCTATAGATGCTCTGTAGGCAGCTGCCAGTGAAGAGAAAGGTGGAGGGGAGGGATCTAAGAATAGCTCATTATCGAGCGCCTAGTATGTCCCAGGCGCAGCTCAAGGCACTTGACTTGGCAGCAGGCCTTCTGGGATGGGAAGAGGCTGTCATTCTCCCTGCTTATTCCTTCTTTTGCATACATTGGCTGGGAGGGGGGGGGTGTTCTCTATGTGGGCAGGTGGGTCCCAGCCTCAGCTCTGAAGGTGAATCAAGATGGAAATCTTGGCAGATTCAGGAGACTGGGCAGGTTAGCTAACTCTAGCAGCCATTCCCCCCCTCCAGAGGCTGAGGCTATTCTCCCAGCCTCCTTGGCAGCTGGTGGTGGTGGTGGTAGTGAAGGAGGGTTGTCATGTGATCCAGTTCCACCAATGAGATGTAAGAGAGATCTGCTGGGATGGAGGGTACAGTGGGAGCACTCTTGGAAAAGCTTTTTCTTTTGATGATGAGAGCCATGAGAGGAGAATTTGCTAGGCCTCCTTGCCCCACTTTGTCTGCTTTGAATGAGAATATGAAGTCGAGAGCTGTTGCAGCCCCGTGATCACGAGGCCACAGACAGACAGACAAGCCAAAGAGCTGCCAAACCAACCCAGAGACCTTCAAAACCTCTTTTTAATCAGTATTCCGGACCCACCAGGGGCTGTGTTACCCATGCTAGGAAGTGGTTTGGCTATATTCATTTGCCACTTTGGTCAAAGAGATATAAGAGGCGGGCTCTGCTATGGGTTTAGGGAAAGCCCCTTGTTCTTAAAAAGAGAAGTTCTAGAAGAAGCAGTCACATCCTGTCTGTACCCCATGCCTCACACTTGTGGCAGTCATCCTGCAGCGAGATTCCCATAGCCCTAAGGGAGGGAATTTTCATAGAAGAGCCAGAAAACAACTGTAGAAAAAAGTTTTAGATTTAAATGTAAAAGCCATATGCACATGTAGGACAAAGATTTGGGGGGCTCAGGCAGAGTCAGTATCATTGCCTCAACTGGGGAGAGATCCTTAGGGCTGGGGGAGGGTGAAGGAGAGTTGAAGAAGAGAGCAACGGAGAGAAAATAGGCCCTGAGCCATCCCAAGCCCAGGGTTAGCTGTGAGGGGGGCAAGAATGAATGCATTTGAACCACAGAACCCCTGGGACATCTGGGAATCTGAGAGGCCTTTCCCAGCGCAGTCGCAGAACCAGCAAGGCATGTGAATAACAGAATAGAAATAGCCATGTAAGTTGTTGAGGCAGAGGGCCCAGGGAGGCCCCTGAGGCCACAGGGTCACAGGAAAGCAGCTAACCCTTCACTGTGCTCCTAGAAGGGTACAGAAGTGGCTGAGCCAGAGCCCCAGTGGCCTTTACAGGCAAAGGGCGCCACCAGCAGATGCACTGAGGACTGTATGTCCAGGACGAGAGGACAATGAATGCCAGCCTCCCAGTGAATGCCAGCATGCAGTGGTGACTAAGGCTAAGGACCAGATGGGACTATGAACATCAATCCTGTCCAGCAGAGAGAACAGATGTTGTGCGAGGACCGCCACCTCCTGTAGCACTAAGGTGCTCCCTGAGTCTCCAGCAACTTACACGCCATCTTGTGGGGGTGAAAGTAATGAGATTCATTATCAAGTGATAAGTTTCAATTTCCACCTAAAAGGACTAGGTGGACCTAGAATGAACTCAGATGATGTTTTCTGCCTCAGATGGAACGCAGCTTGAACCAGATATGAGGTTGAACTGCACCCGATCATATTATGTGCAGTCATTTAATTCCCATAATAACCTTGTTGAACAGATACTCTCCTCCTCCAATCTTAGAAAATAAAACTAGAAGGCTCGGGAATGGGTAGTCACACGCCTAAAAGTTGTTTGTCATGTAAGTGGCCGAGATGTGATTTGAACTCAGGGCTGATTTCAAGGTCTGCGTTCTTCCCACCATAAAAAAAATACTAATATATGAACAACACTAGCTAACTTTTAGTGAGCACTTCCCATGTGTCCTGCCTTGTACGTAAAGCTTTATAAGCATTCCTTGTTTAAATCTCACACAACCCCATGAGGGAGATTCTATTATGTTGCCATTTTTTTTTTATCCTCACCCAAGGACATTTTTCCATTTTTTGTTCAGATAGAGTGGGAGGGAGAGAGAGGAAGAGAGAGAGAGAAACATCGACATGAAAGGGACACATCGAGTGGCTGCCACCCGCACGACAAACCAGGGCCGGGGACAAACTGCAACCAAGGTATGCGCCCTTAGCAGGAACTAAACCCGGGCCTCTCTAGACCGCAAGCCAACGCTCTAACCACTGAGCCAAACCGGCCAGGGCTATTTTGCCAATTTTTACAGGTGAGGACACTGAGGCCCAGAGAGGGGATTCATGCTTATGCAGGTGGCCTCCGTGTGAATCCAGGCAGGCCGCTCCGTGCCCTACACTTTGACCAACCATGGCCGTTCTCACATGTGATGCGACCTTCAGAGACATATCATTAGGATCTTGGAGGTCTCCCTCACTAGGCTGAAGGGTGTTTGGCCGCAGGCTGCTGGGGGTGTCTGAGGCACATGGGGTAGGACTGGGGAAGAGGTGGGGGTGGGCACTGGGTCTCAGCTCACCTCCTCCTGCAGAGTCTCCATTTCAGCCACCAGATGCTGCTGCTCCTTTTCCTAAGAGAGGATAAAGGCTTCTTTAGGGGTTTCCTTGCCCTCATATTGCCCTTCATCCACCCCTGGATCACAACTCAGGCCTGGGTCACTGGGGGATGGGGGAATGGGTCTGGGGAGCCCTGATGGCTCCTGGGGTCTCTTCTGTCTTTAGAGGAACGGCAAGGAGACCTGGCCTCCAAGTCCAAGGAAAGCAAGACCTGGGAGGACAGAGGAAGCCTGGGTGACCTCTGCCTCTTCACACTCCATAGTCAAGCTCTGCTGCTCAGACTCCAAGGAAGAGGGAAGGAAGAGGACACCTTCATGCCCCTTTCTCTGAACCTACTGTCTGCCGGGCCTGGGCCAGAAGACTGTGATTCTGTTCCTCCAGGCTCTTGGCCAGACTCTTCAGGTCCTCCAGCTCCTCATCCATGGCCTTGGCAAACTGCAGAGCCTGCTGGGTGCTGAGTGGGGGCAGGGACATGTGGGCCATGAGAGAGAGGAAGACAGACCACAGAGAGAGATCCACTCAGAGAGAGAGAAGTAAGAGAGAAATCCCAGACAGAAACTTATAGATAGAGGGGTATGGAGACCAAGAGAGAGGGGGACAGAGACTCAGAGGAAAAAATGGGGAAAGAACTGAGCATGGGGAACAGAGACCAGTTTCTACCTAAATAACTAAAGGGGTGGGGTCAGAGTCCTCGAGAGTGGGAGACTAAAATAGGAGGAACAGGACAGACATGAGGGAGACAGAGAACAGGGAAAGAAATAGGCCGCTGAGATAGAGAATCTAAGAGGAAAGAATAAGGAGAGAAGTCTGAACCCTAGAGGCTGAGACAAGAACCAGGGAGACACGAAAGATAAAAGATAGAAGAAAAGAAGAAAGGGACAGGTGTGGGGTCACAGACACGGAGCAGGTGCAGAGAGAGTGAGGCTGGGGCTGTGGTCAGGAGGGACACGGGGACACAGAACCGTGGACGTGGGCTGGGCCCACCTTCGGAGCTGCTTGCGCAGGGCCAAGATCTCCTCCCCGAGACGGGCAGACCCCTCTTCAGCCGTCTCCACGCTGCGCTGCAGTTTGGCGTTCTCCCCCACCAGCCTGCGGTTACTGAGCTCCAGGTCCTCCAGGCTGCTCAGAAGATCAGCTGTGCCTGGCCTGGGGCAGGAAGGGCCAGGGTCACCACCCACAGCCCCAGCTTCCTTTTCTAGGTGACAGTAGGTGGTGACAGTGGTGGGGAGATAAGCTATTCTGGAAAAAAAGAACAGGAGGGAGACTGTCCTGTTCTCCCTGAGTTGTTAGCACAGCCCCTATCCCTTGCCCACTTCGGAAGGACCCCAAGCCCTAGCCAGGCCCTGGGCAGACTGGAGGGCATGGGCAGGGGGAGGGTACAGAGAAGCCAGAGGATAGGTACAGCTCAGGTCTGGGGTCTTCGCCTCCGAAGCTCTCCAGGTTGGCTGGCTCCTCGGTGTCTGGGCATTCTGGAGGAAGACAGAGAGGGTGGTGGGCTCCCCAGTGACTTTAGATGTCTGGGTGATCCAGGACTCTGGACTTGGTCCTCCTCTGGTTTCCACCCTCACATTTGCTCTGGGTGACCCCATCTGCTCCCAGGGATGTTACTACACCCAACATCGGAAGAGCCTCCTGTTCATCAATACCTTGCTTGAGCTCAGGCTGGATCTTCCAGATAGCTCTGTAATTTCCATGCCCAACACTGGGGACACCTCAACAGCCTCCAAACCTGTTCTTCCTCCCAGGCCCCTCCCTCAATCACCACCTGGATCTCTTGCTCCTGCTCACCCCCCACAATCCACCAGGGCCTAGGCCCTGTCCCCCTCTCCTCCTTGACTCTCTCTGCTTCACATTCCTCTCTATCCCCACACCTCATCCTGGCTCAGGTCACCAAAGCCTCCTCCCCAGCCTCCTGGCCTCCAGTTTCTCCCTGTCCTTCCCCAACCCAGAGCTGACATGCCCATCCCCTACTAACAGTCCTTCCTTGGCCCCCAAGACCAATGGCAGGAGGTTCAAAGAATGCCAAGTAAGCTCTATTTTATTTGCTTTTGTTTTGTAAAGCTGGACAAATATAGCACAAACACTTGTTTGAGGAGCATCTCCTGGGTGTAAGGTCCTAGGGATACAATGGTGAGCAAATCAACTAAGCAAACAGCAGAGCAGGTAACTAATCAGATTATCAGATTTCTGCGGGAAAGGAATGCAGGTCTGTGAATGTGTGTGTGTGTGTGTGTGTGTGTGTGTGTGTGGTGGAGAGAAAGGACCTTAGCCTAGGGCATCCTGGTTGGATGGGATGAGAGGTGGGCGGGCCATGTAGTGCTCTATGATAGAGCTGGTGTTAGGAGAAGGCTTTGAAAACAACCCCAGAAGAATAAAATGCCCAAAGCACAGGGAAGGTGGGGAGGCAGCCATGGAGGCACCTAGAAAGCCAAACTTATAGCTCCAGGCTAGAGCAAAAGTCCCTGGGGTCCCACTCTATCCCCTGCTCTATCGCCAGGTGGGAAGTCCCCCCACTGTCTGACCCTGGGCCAGCCTGCTTCATTCTATATAAAGCAATCTCACCAGATGGCAGTTGCTGGGAGGTAAGGGGCCTCTCGAAGGCAGTCTCCTCTTCCAGCTCTAATCCTCTATATCAAAGGGATGAGGCTTAGAGGCCCCTGCAGCCACCCTGGAACCCAGCAGGGGGATTGTGGGTGGCTGGAGGAGGGGCCAGGTTAGGTGACAGCAAGCACCATGGGGAGGAAGGTGAGGCCAGATGGCAAGCGCCTGGGGCCAGATGGAAAAGCAGGAGGGCAAGGACTGGGATTGGGGAAGGGACAGTGAGGGGCATCTGTCAGCCCCTCACCATCCCCCCTTTTCCTCCTTCCAGTCCCTTTTATTTCTGCCTCCCAGACCCCTTTCACCTCCCCATCCCAGCCACTTTGTTCTTAGACCCTCTGCTGCTCCCCTACCCCATATCTTTTTACTTTTTCTCTCCTCAGCCTCCTTCCAACCATAGGAGGTCTCTGTGCCCAGAGTGCTGGCTGTAGTGAGCAAGTATGAGGTGAGATCTTAGGAAGGACTTCCCAGGTGAGGGTGGAGGTACAGGGACCCACCCATCCAGCTGACAGGCAGTGATCCAGTCCCGCATGACGACCAGGAAGGTGTCCAAGTCCACGGTGGCCTGAGGGCCCTCCCTGTTGGGGTCTAGGCTGCAGGCCAGTGTTTGGAGGCGTGCATCCTGGGGGCCTCGTCCTGTCACAGCCTCCAGGTAGGCTAGTACGTGGGTCACAGCCACAGAGCCTGGAGACAGAGCATGCCATGAGGGAATCTTGGGCAATTGGGGAGGGGTCGGAGTTGGGGACATTAGGATATCACTGGCTGAGCTAGTGGCACCCCTGCACCACAGCCTGGCTGGCCAAGATAATTTGGGCAAATCCTTTTCCCTCCTTTGAGTCCGTTTTCACCTGGACCTTTCACAAGTCATCCCCACCTCAGAGGGTGGACCAAAGAGAACTAGCTGTGCCCCACAGGCCCACAGTGGCTGCTCTCCCTCCCTCTTCCAGGCACCAAAGCCCCACCCTCTTCCTGCAATGTCCCCTAAGTTTTCTCCTTCTCACTGTCCTTGCCTGAAAGGCCTCATCCTCTGATCCATTTCTTTCTGAAGTTTCCCACAATCACCCATGTCCTACAGGACCTCCAAGAAGGCTTCTAGCCCCTCCCTCTCTCTCTATGGCTCCCCAATTCCCAGTCTCCCACTTCTGCCCCTTATTCCTTCTCTCTCCCATGCCCAGTGCTCCCAGGCCCCATCCTGCCCCTCCCACCTGTCCTCTGGGGATCACAAGCTTCGAAAGTGGAGTTAAGTATTTGCTCCTCTAAGTTGAGCAGTGTCCCCAGGCGCCTCTCTTCTGGCTGGTCCCAGAGGTACACTGAGGAGAAAAGAGAGCCAGTCCCACCCGTGAGGAGAGAAGTGATCTGGGCTCCTGCAGAGGGGTGAAAATTCATTCAGAGCTGTCTGGAGTTGGGGCTGGTGGGGAACAGCAGGAAGCTTTGGGTGGGGGCAGCAATGTGAGGGTCTTTGAGTCACCTCCCCACCCCACACCCTGGGCCAGGAAGTCCCTCCTGCTGTCTGATCCTTTGTGTCCAATCCACTCAGGAGCCCAGATAACCAATGAACAATCACCCTTTCCTTCTCTCTTCCCCTGCCTCTCAGGCTATGCTTAGAGGGGGTTAGAGGTGGGGGAGGGCAAAGAAAAGAGGATTCTGGGAGGAGCTGAGGGTGAAGTGGGGCCCAGAAGCCAGGAACAATCCAATAACATTCCGGCAGCCTGGATTGATTCTGCCTGATTCTGCCTGCTGCATCTCCGGTCTCCGAGCCTGCCTGGTGGGCGGGATCTCTCTCCTTTCAACAAACCCCAGTCAAAGCTGGCAGCATGGGAGCCCAAGGCCAAGAGCTCAGAGCTCAGCTGCACTGCTGTGGACAACTTGCTTCTCTTTTTGGAGCCTCAGTTTCCCCACCAGTAAAATGGGGGCAGGGTAGAGAGATTCCCCCTCCCCAGGGCTGTGAGAGTTAGGTCTATGTATGTGAACACACACACACACACACACACACACACACACACACACACACCACACACTCTGTGCACGTCTCAGGGGTCTGTTTGTTCACTCCTGTATGCAGTGTTTGCATAGAAGGCACTCAATATGCTCCATGATATAGAAGATCTTCCACCTCAGGAGCCACTGGGACAGCCCAGCATCTTTCTGAGGGCTGGAAGTGACCTTCAAGACTTCTTAGACTGCTGGGTATAGCAGCGGGCTGAGCACAGGCTACAGGGTCTGGCAGACGCAGGGGCCAACCCAGGCAAGGGACTCAGCCTCCCTGAGCCTCAGTTTCTTTGTCTGGAAAATGGGGGTAGTATTCCCTCCCTCTTACAAAAGCAATGAGATAAAATCTGGAAAGGCCCTGGCATGTCGTGGAAGCTCAGTATAGAATTGAAAATTTACTCAGCCTCTTCTGAAGGTTTTGCATGGACTATGGGGTCTGCTATTATCGGCCCCACTTTACAGGTGAGGAGACTTAGGCACAGAGAGGTTAGGAACTTGCCCAAGGTCACCTGTTCAACATATGAGTGCCCTTTCTCATCCCTCTAACTCTTCAAGGGTTCTTTGCAGTAGCTCAAATTCAACCCCCTCGGGTTTGAGCCCTGCTCTTTGGGGAGTAGGAGGAACCCACAGTTAGGAGAGACACCAGGGCCCATTGCCCAGGACTTTCCCGGCACTCTTGTTTCTTCCTCTCACCGTGCTGCCTATGTTATGGAGGAGGACCCTGAGGCCTAGTGAAGTCACTTGCCCAGGGCCACTTAGCCATAGAGAGCAAGACAGTCAACCTACGACTGTCTGGTTACAGACCACGTGGGGTCTGAGGATCTGCATTTGTCTACAGCCTCTTCCCAGGGCCCTGCAGGACGATATAACTGTGCTTCTCTCCTGTTCTTTCCTTCATTTGCTCCCTCGGTGTCTCTAACTTTCTCTCTGGCTCTTTTCTCCATCTCTCTCCCCACTGTGCTCTGCCTCTGTCTCCATGTCGCTTGCCCCCATCTTCTTCCATCTGTGTCTCTGTGCTTCTCTTCTCATATCTGTGCAGCTCTCTATTCCCCAAGCCTTCTGCCTCCCTCCTCTGCTGTTTCTGTCTCCCCCCAGATTCCTCTGTCTCCTGGGTGTGTCCCTCTCTTTCCTTCAGGAGCCTCTCAAAGCTGGGTTAGCTCTGGCCCACAGGTTCCTCGGTGGCTGAACGCCCTCTGCTGGTGCCAGTGAAGTTTAAATGTCGGTCACTCGGTCAGTAGGCCCGCAGGTGCCCTCACGCAGGTGTCTACTTCCTACCTGGAAAGCCTCTTGAGGCCACAGACTAAACCTGAGATCCAGAGAAAAGGCACAGGTTCTGCTGCCGCTAGACTTGGGGAGTCTCTAAGAAAAGGGCCCTGCCTCTCCCCCATCACGATGGGCTCCCCACTTAGCACGAGTTTCAGAAAGGGAAACCTAGCATCTTCCCAGAGGAAGTGGCAGTCACACGCATATCATTTGCATTTAGCCAATTCAAGGACCGTAACCGAGTTCCTACTATGAGTCAGGCACTGTTCTAGGGTAGCGCCACACCACATGTGGTTTGTAAGCACCTGAACTGTGGTCAGTGTGAACTCAGATGTTCTATTAGTATAAAGCACACACCAGATCTTGAAGACTTCACATGGAAAAAAAAAAAAGAATATCGCCAATCCACTTTTACATTGATTATATGATACCACTGTGGGTTTATGAGGTCAAATAACATCTGTTATTCCCATTCATTTGGCCTGTTTCTTTTTCTATTTCTTTTGAATGTGGCTACTAACAAAACTTAAAATTACATATATGGCTCACATGTTGGACAATGCTGCTCTAGGAACTGGAAATTCAAGTGAATAAAACAGACCCTGCCTGGTGGAGCTCATGCTCTAGTGGGAAGGCAGAGAGTAAACAGACAAACCGATGTCAGTGCTATGAAGAGAGGTCAAGCAGGAAAAAGGAGACAGTGTGACAGGGCAGCTGCTTTGCAGAAAGCAAGGGGTGAGCCTGCAGTCACTGGGAAGGGCGTGCTCCAGGCAGGGGGCACAGTACATACAACGGCTTCTGCTCTGACCATCCAGAGCAAAGGGGATAAGGGATCAAGACAAGTGGGCACACTGCAGGCTTCCTCCTTCCCACCCCGCACCACAGTGGAGCCTCAAGCCACCTCTTCCAAGTCCCCGAGCCACAGCCTGGTGCCTGTTCACCCACTACTCCCTCTTCATACTCCCATGGGGTAAACAGGGGCCCAGTCACCTACTTTGTGTATCGGGCCCACCTGCAGGGCTCTCTGGTAGGTCCATAGGCCACCTTTGTCGCTCCGCAGTTGCTGGCGAAGCTAACAGCCTTCCTCCATCAGTGGGAGGGATCAAAAAGGAACAGGCTGCTCTGAGAGCTCCTGGAAGGACAAGCAGAGGAATAGCCTCCTCAAACCAGCCACCAGAGGGGTGGGACCTGCTCTGTCTCACCTGTGCCCCGGGCGTTCTGGGTTCTCAGAACCTGTTTGCCTATCCCTGCCTCCATCACAGCAGCTCCCGCTCCAACCTGTTTTATGGATTGGAGGTGTGGGTTGAGAAAAGAGGGACCTGGGGAGTGGGTGGCAGAGATCAAAGTGGGGCAAGGTGGGTAGGGGTCACTCCCTCTTCACCATCCCTCCTTCCCACAGCTTGTCAAGTCCCCAACCCTGTCCTTCCTTCCCAGTGACGCTACCCTGTCTCCTTCTCTTCTTCCTAACCTCGAGGCTGCGGCCTTGTCCTCTTCCCATGGGCCCTCATTGCAGCCTCTTCCCTGGCCTCACAGCTCCCCACTGCAGTCCATCCCCACAGGGCCCCAGAACTGACCTGCCCCTCCTCTGCTCAACATTCCTCCATGGCTCCCCAGCACCCCATGGGCAGAGCCTAGACCCTGGACTTGGCATCGAAGGCCCTGCATGGCCTGGCCCTGCCCTTCCCACCCTAAATCACACTTGCTGCTCCAGCGACTCTGAATTGGGTGCTGTTCCTCAAACCAGGCTTGCTGTTCCCACCTTTGGGTCTCTGCCTGGGACACCCTCCTTGCCAGCCCTTCCTGTCTCGGCTCACATGTCTCCTCCTCCGGCAAACATTTCTAAACAAGGTGCTGTCTCCGGGTTCCTGACCACCTTGGGCTACTGACATCCTTGCCGTATCAGCCTGTATTTGGAACTGTTGGAGTCCCACTTGAGTCTGACCCCATCTCTCCCGTGCTCCCAACCCTTTCATGGCTCCCTAGTGCCCTCGGGACTAAGTCCTAGCCCCTCTGGCTGGTGTGGCAGAGTGGTCTCTGCAGCTCCTTGCCTCTCTGTCACCTTTCTCTCCACTGGCCAGCCTCCAGGCCCCTCGCCCTCATTACAACCATGGGAGCTTAACATCTTCCCATGTTCCTGCCAGGCCTGGGCCACACTGCCTCGATTCCCACCTAGGGCCGGCCCCTGCCTGGCTCACAGCTCCCGGGGAGCCATCCCCAGTCCCTGGAGCAGTTAGGGACTCCCTCTCCTGTGCCCCCCCAAAATGCCGTCCTGCCTCCATTATAACCAGGTTGATCATACGATTCCTCATCCCAACTGCAGGACACTTTCAAGAGTGAAAGAGGTGCTATTAATAATTACAGCCGACAACGGTGCCCATCATGCCGAGCTGGCACACTGGGGCCAGTAAATGGTCAATGCAGGGTCCCCTGGGGCCTGCCTGTCCTCACCCCACCTGCTTATCTCCCCTTTCCTCACCAAGTACTCCCCACACCCTGCTTTCCCTGGCACCAGATGGGGTCCACAGCCGTGACAGGCACACTTCTTGGGGGCTTTTAGAATGTCCTCGGAAAAGCGGTCTTGGAGGAGGGAGCTTCCAGGGTTTGGACGACGCTAGAGGGTGCAGAAGGCGGGCAATGGCCCTGGAAACTCAGTGAGGGAGGGTGTCTGCAAGGGTGCTGACGGGCACTGGGAGCTTCTGACAGGGTTGGGGGGACAAACTCCTGGTGAGGGACCTGGGGAGGCTCTGGTCAATCTCAGGGGGGATTTGGAGGGGAGAGTCTAGCAGGACTGGAGCAGGAATTCTGGGAATTTTAAGGGGGTCTGTATTTTAGAGGGTATCAGACTTCTGGGGTATCTCTGACATATCTGTGAGGGGGGTCTCTGGATTTCTCTGGGGTCTCTGACTGGATTTGTGGTTGATCTCTGGATTTGTGGGGTCTGGCTAGATTTCTGGGGAGTCTGGATTTCTGGGTCTCTGGGTTTGTGGGTGATCTCTGACTGGCTCTGTGGGGTCTCTGACTAGATTTCTGGGTTACTCTGATTAGATTTCTGGGGTGTCTCTGACTGGATTTCAGAGCTCTGATATTTTGTGGGTCTGACAAGATTTCTGGGGGTCTGACAGGATTTGGGGGTCTCATAGGATTTGCGGGGAGAGGAAAGGGATCTCAGGGGAGTTTCTGACAGGCTCGGGAGCCTGACAGACTTTCTAAAAGATCCTGACAAGACTTCAGGGGTCATCTATAAGATTTCCTGGTGGGTTCCTTTCAGTATTTTTGAGGGGATTTGGTCAGGATTTCAAGACCTTTAACAAGTTATGGAAGGCCCTGATATTGGGGGCTCTCCCCTACGACTTGGGGGCTTTGTCAGGGTTTGGAGAGGGGCTCTAACAGGGCTACCTCGCACCTGGGGTCACGTCCCACGCCCGGAACACAGCCGAGGGCCCCGAATAACGACCGGCAGTTGCCCGCGATGGAAGTGCGCGTACGCTACTCCCGCGGGAAAAGCAAAGAGAGCGGGGGCGGGACCGAGTGCGCACGCGCGGCGTCTAAACCCCGCCCCGCTGGGCTCCTCCCCCGACGCAGGCGCAGGTCAAGAAAAGGTGCACGCTAGTCTTGTGGGTTACCTGGTACAGCGAGGCTGCGCATGCGTAGGGCTGATCGGGCGCGCGCCCAACCCAGTGGAGCGGGCGCGCGCATACTGGCACAGTGGGGAAGGCTGGAGAGATTATCGCTGGTAGAGGAAGGGGCGGGAGGCTCCGTCCACTACGTTGGGGTCTCCTTTACGGACCTAAGCTTCAGTGAAAAAGGCCCAAGCAACGGAAAGTTGGGCTGAGAGTCTTCTTGTTTAGCCCCACTTATCAGCTACCAAGCTGTGGCCTTTCTGCCGTCTGTTCCGCGACAGGCTGCCGGTCACCGTCACAATAGCGTCCTGCCCTGTACTGTCGCATCACCCCCGCGCCTTTTGTGGCTCCAGTCCCAAGAGGATTCTTTCCCAAACTGTTCCATTCACTCCTTTTGGGACAGAATGCGGACAAAATATTCTCAGCTTCTCCCGCTAGAGAGATGGAGAGAATTACACCCAAAATTGACTCCCGAGAAGGAGCATTTGGGATGAAATCGCAATCTCTCTGCTAGCTCAAACTGTCCACTTTTTAGTGGTCTTCGTGGCACGTCTTAAAGGTGAAACATCCTAGCCCTGGCCTGTTTGACTCAGGGATTAAGAGTGTTGGCCCGCAGACCAAAGGGTCGCAGGTTTGATTCTGGGTTAAGGGCACCTGCCTGGGTTGCAGGTTTGATCCTGGCACCGGTGAGGGTGGTGTGGGAGGCAACCAATCGGTGTCTCTCTCTCACATCGATGTTTCTCTCTCCCCCTCTCCCTTCCACTCTATCTGAAAAGCAATGAGAAAGAAATCCTTGGGTGAGGATTAAACAATAACGGCCTGGCGGGTGTGGCTCAGTGGTTGAACATCTACCCATGCACCAAGAGGTCCTGGTTCCATTCCCGGTGGATTCCCGGTCAGGGCACATGCCCCAGGTTATGGGCCAGATCCCCTGTGGGGGGCATGCAGTAGGCGGCCAATAGATGTCCTCTCTTACTGATGTTTCTAACTCTCCCTCTCTTTTCTCTCTAAAATCAATAAAGAAAACAACAACAACAAAAGTGACACATTCTATAATTGCTTTATGTCTGTCACCCCCACCAGAATGTGAGTTATGTGCGGTAGGAGACTGCTTGAGGTCTAGAATATGCCTGGCCCAGTGTGGGCACTTAAAAAAAGTGAGTGGATGGAATCCATGACTCTTAAGTGTAGAATGATGATGAGATTGTGGGCCTGGGGTCAGACTCTTAGGTTTGAATTTTGCCTCCATCGCTTCCTAGCTGTAACCATGGCACAGTGGCTGCCTTCTCTGAATCTGTTTTTCTCCCAGAAATGGAGATAATTACTCCTTAGTTTACCTTGAGGACTTAAGGTGGTAACCCTTGTTTAATAGTTATTTTCTCTACTAGTTGGTAGGTTGTTGTAAAGCCTGGGAAAGAACCTGCTTGGCAGGTGATAAGGTGAGTGGTTAAGAGAGATATAGAATGGGACAAACCTAGTGCCATTGCTGTGTGACTTTGGTGACTTCACCTCTCGGAAAGTCAGTCTTTTCTCTAAAATGGGGACAAATAATATCTATCTCATGGGGTCTTATGAGATTGCAACAAGAAAGTTTGCCAAGTGTTTTGTTAGCACAGGCTAGCAAGTGGTAGACCCCATTAGCTTAATTAGTATATTTTCACTTTATATTCCATCAGTATTTCTTGTTCCTTCCTTTTTTGAGGTCCAGGTAATTTTGTAACACCTAAAAAAAAATTTTTTTTTTATAGTACAATGGTAAAATACTTAGTGTTAATTTTTTTTTCTTTTAATCCTCACCTGAGGACATTTTTGCATTTATCTTCAAACAGAACTGGAGGGAGAGAAGGAGAAAGAGAGACATCAATGTGAGAGAAACACATGGAGTGGTTGCCACCCACACAACCCCAACTGGAGCCGGGGACAAACTGCAACCGAAGTACGTGCCCTTAGTGGAAACCGACCTCGTGACTCTCTGGTCCGCGGGCCAACGCTCTTAACCTCTGAGCCAAACCGGCCAGGGCAGAGTGCTAAATCTTGTTACAGCTCAATTAAATTTTTATAGCTTTCTGAAATGAGTGCTTAGATCAGTGATATTTTTAGATTATTATTTAGCCTCTTTTCTAATATACGCATTTAAGCATAATTTGCTTTCTGAGACCTTCTTGAGCTATACCCTATATATTTTTGTCACATTTCATTATTATTCAATTTAAAATATTCACTAATTTCGGTTGCAGTTTGTCCCCGGCCCTGGCTGGTCGTGCGGGTAGCAGCCACTCGATGTGTCCCTTCACGTCGATGTTTTTCTCTCTCTCTCCCTTTCTCTCTCTCCCTCCCACTCTATCTGTACAAAAAATGGAAAAATATCCTCGGGTGAGGATAAAAAAAAAAAAATTCACTAATTTGACCTGTACATTATTTTAGCGGTGTATTGCTTCATTTCCAAGTATTTTACGACTGCCTAAGTTATCTTTGTATTGTTGGGATTTGCTATGGCCCGATTGGCTAAGGCTTGGGGTCATACCCTGAAAGGAGATAGTGCTGTTTAGTGTAAGAACTTTATTTCCACATGGAGCTTGGGGTGGGGTCTGGTGGGGGATACATGCAGGTGTTTCCATCCCCACCCCTATAACTGCTGGGAGGGCCTGAGAATGTACAGGAAGTGTGTCTTTCGGGCAGGCAACTTGAAATGGGAGGAGCCCTGGGTCCCTTTTTGCAGGGCTTCCTCTCGGGTCCCTTCGAGGAGCCCATCCCGAATGGCCTGCAGGCGGTGTTGCTTTTCGTTGAGATAGCGGTCGCCCTCCTGGGCGTTCTGGTAGGACCTTCGCCGTGGCAGCTTCATAATCCAGAAGGCCACCCGGGGATGAGGTTCAGGGTGAAAGCTGTCCATGGCTTTTGGGTTGGGCAGCAGGGCCTCCTTCTCCTCTATCTTGGGTACCTGGGAAAGGAGGGACAAGGAGATCACCTCAAAATCTAAATGATGACCGTAGGACACCCAGAACCCACCGTCATATTTAACTCAGTTTGCCACCTACAGGCCGCTTTGGGAGTTAAAAACTCACTGCAGTTTACAAAGCACTTGGGTTTACAAGCACCTTTGGATTAAAAATAGACTACTTTGGGATTGAAAACACACTTTGAAGGTTTCAAAAGCACTTTGGGGTTTAAAATGTCTGTTGGGATTACAAAACACTTTAGGATTAAACATACTGTGAGGTTTGGAAACCAGTTTGAAATGTACAAAGCACTTTTGGATTAAGAGCTCTTGGCATTACTAAAGAATCATGACCACAATTGCAATGTGGTGATTTTTATTTTAATGTTATTAGTCAAGACTTTGACAAGAATGCCAGACTGAGAGGGACATATATAGATTCTGGGTGTTATCAGAAAAGCTTTAAGGAATTAGGATTGGCTTTGTAAACCGGTAAAAGCCCCTTGGAAAAACATCCTGGTACCCTGCTGCTTATTATTTTCATGGTTCATGCCAGCCTTTCCAGGTAAGGAACAAAGGTTACTTTCCTGGAAGATAGCAAAGAAAGAAACTTGACATTTTTGAGGACCTCAAGAACTTGAAGAATTTACCTAAACATATAGGTATTGCAGGCAAAGACTGATGTCAACTATGTGGCTTGGCTTCATCACCCTGAGAGGTTAATTAAAGCTCAATCTGGAGATTCCTTTTGAAATTCCAATTATTTTTTTATTTTTTTATCCTCACCTGAAGACACTTTTCCATTTTTTGTTCAGATAGTGTGGGAGGGAGAAAAAGGAAGAGAGAGAGAGAGAAGGGGGGGAGGGAGAGAGAGAGAAGGGGGGAGGGAGAGAGAGAGAGAGAGAGAAACATCGACGTGAAAGGGACACATCGAGTGGTTGCCACCTGCACGACCCATCCAGGGCCCGGGACAAACCGCAACCGAGGTACATGCCCCTAGCGGGAACCGAACCAGGGTCTCTCTGGACCACAGGCTGACGCTCTAACTGCTGAGCCAAATCGGCCAGGGCCAGCAAAGCAGATTTAAAAGAGCTTATACGATCAATAACTATTCTTCTGTGTTTATGCAAATAATCAGGCCAAATTAAAACTGAACTTACTGCAATAAATAAATGTCTTAATTTGGCTCTTTGATAGAAATGCGGGTGATTTTAGGGAGAGAAATTGTGTTTCTATAAAATCTATAATACACTGTTGTATTGTAGATATTAGACTCTAGTTCAATTGTCTTCAAAGTTTTATTTATTTATTTATTTATTTTTATCCTCACCCGAGGACATTTTTCCATTTTTTGTTCAGGTAGAGTGGGAGGGAGAGAGAGGAACAGAGAGAGAGAGAGAAACATCGACGTGAAAGGGACACATCGAGTGGCTGCCACCCGCACGACCGACCAGGGCCGGGGACACACTGCAACCGAGGTACATGCCCGTAGCGGGAACTGAACCCGGGTCTCTCTGGACCGCGGGCCGACGCTCTAACCGTTGAGCCAAACCGGCCAGGGCTTTTTATTTATTTATTTATTTATTTATTTATTTATTTATTTATTTATTAATCCTCACCCGAGGACATTTTTGCATTTTTTTTTTGTTTTGTTCAGACAGAGCGGGAGGGAGAGAGAGGAAGAGAGAGAGAGAGAAACATCAATGTGAAGGGACACATCGAGTGGTTGCCACCCGCACGACCAACCAGGGCCGGGGACAAACTGCAACCGAGGTACGTGCCCTTAGCGGGAACCGAACCCGGGTCTCTCTGTACCGCAGGCCGACGCTCTAACCGCTGAGCCAAACCGGCCAGGGCCAAAGTTTTATTTTTCCACCTATAAACTGAACTGGATCCTGAATTTTTCTAGTTTCTTAAATATTTGGCTACAACCCTCTTAACTGATATTTCACTTTTCCCCACCCTTTGACAAGGCAACCAACGTCTGAAATCTAGGCCACCCAGCCCAGGGGTGCCCTGGTGTCCTTGCCTTGCGTGCTCCCTTTCATCAGACCATTCACTGTGGTTCTTGTTCTAGCTTTTGCCCCAATAATATTAAGATTTATAACACAATTTGTCTCCACCAGGTTACAAGCCTTACTCGTATTCTGGGAATACTGCTTTTTGCCGACCGACTCTAGACACTTATCACAACCTTCTTTCCTGCCCAAGTTTCATCGTCCCTCTGAAAGAGAACAAGGCCCACTTGGCTCTGAAGGAAAACTCCACCCCTCTTCGGCAGGAAGCAGCCGCAGAAGAGACCCTATGCCCCTTTCCCTTAAAGAATTCAGAACCAAGAATTCTTGAGGGGGAGATGTAGGAGGTAGTTAGACAGGCATGAGCACAGCAGAAACGATAGGCCAGGTACAGAAGGGCACCAGTGTAGAAAGCCCCAGGTGCCTAGCAATGGGCAAAACTAGGGAAACAAATATAGTAGAGTTAGGACCCTAGGGTGACCTTTCCTCTCCTTGCATATTGCTGGTCATGCAGTTTCCCTAACATTATTTTCCTGGCATGTTGCTAGTCATATGGTAGACCCTCTTAGAGGAGGAACAAGGGGGCTGGAGACTAGCCTTATATGACTCCCATACAAGCCCTTGCATGACCACTCCCTTAAGCATTAAGCCTTGAGGATAATAAGCTTCTGGCCAGTATCAAATAATCTTAAGAACAGAGCCTTGGGTCTGTTGACCACAGAGGCAGAGTGTTGATCAAACTAGAGATAACTTCTAGTCCTCAGTTGTGTTTCAGCTCCAGGTCCAGAAAAGCAGCCGCAACATGTGGTCCTTGGTCGAGTCCTGGTCCAAAATCACATCAGCTTTTACAGACAGCTTTGGGGGTCCAGTGGGAATATTTGAATATGGAATGATGTCTGTGTGGCCCTTGCTATTCAAAGTGTGGGCTGTGGACTAGTGTCATCAGCATCATTTGGGAGCTTGTTAGACATGCAAATTAGTGCCCCTCCCACCCCAGACCTACTGGATCAGTCTGCATTTTAATAAGTTGAGGTCTGAGAAGTCCTGTAGGAGATTGTTATGGGTTGAATTGTGGCCCATCCCAATTGATATGTTGAAGTCCATACCCCCAGGACCTCAGAATGTGATCTTATTTGAAAATAGAGTTATTGGGCCGGCCAGTGTGGCTCGGTGGTTGAGCTTCGACCCATGTACCAGAGGTCACCAGTTCGATTCCTGGTCAGGACCACATGCCCAGGTTTCGGGCCTGATCCCCAGTTGGGGGCATGCAGGAGGCGGCCAATTGGTGTTCTCTCTCATTGATGTTTCTATCTCTCCCTCTCCCTTGCTCTCTCTCTAAAATCAATAAAGAAAGAAAAAGAAAATAGTTATTGCAGATTTAGTTAGTTAGGATGAGGTCATTATGGTGGGCCCTAATCCAATAAGGCTGGTGTCCTTATGCAAAGGGGAAATTTAGATATAGAAATGCACATAGGGAGAATGTCATATGAAGATGAGGCAGAGATGGGGGTGATGCATCTACACGTCAAGGATCACCAAAGACTGTCATCAAAACACCAGGAGGTAGGAGAGGGACATGGAAGAAACTCCCTTACAGCCCTCAGAAGGAACCAACCTTGATCTTGGACACCTGGCCTCCAGAACCGTGAGACAATACATTTCGTTATTGAAGCCACCCAATCTGTGGTACTTTGTGACAGCAGTCACTGCAAGTTAATACAGAGACAACAGTTTGACACCAGTGTTAAATATCTCGGATGTCAAAATAGTACTGTGGTCATGCGGAAGGATGCATTATTCCTAGGAGATCTGCTGAAGGATTTAGGGGTGAAGCGTCATGATGTCAATAATTTATCGTCATATGGTTAAAAAATACAAAAGTGATAACAAAGTAAATGTGGTAAAAATTTAACAAGTGGTGAATCTAGGCCAGATATTTTCGGTTGTCACAACTGTTTGGGGTGGGAGTGGTGTGTCTACTGTGTCTCTAGAGGCAAGGTTGCTACTAAACACATGACAGTGCACAGGATGGCCCTGTGCATGGATAAAACCAAGAGTACCCAGCCCTAAAATGATGATGGTGCCAAGGTTGAGAAACCCTGCTCTATGGTAAAAGGAACATAGATATATTTATTTACTATTTCTTCCAGACTTTTCTGTAGATTTAAAATTTTTGAAATAAAAACCTCTGTGTGTGAGAGAGAGAACCATATGGGTTTTCCAAGCACTTGGAGGTTCTTAAACCTTTTTTTTTTTTCCTTTATTGATTTGAGAGAGAGAGGAAGGAATAGATGGAAACATCGATGAGAAAAAACATCGATGGGCTGCCTCCTGCATGCCCCCTACTGGGGATTTGGCCCACAACCTGGGCATGTGCTCTGACCAGGAACTGAACTGGCGACCTCCTGGTGCATGGGTTGTCACTCAACCACTGAACCACACCGACCGGGCTTAAAACATTTTAGGATAAGAAAAATAAGTCCTCTGGTGTTAGAATCACTGAAAAGTTTACAACGGTGAGATAAACAAAGCATTTAGGGTTCATAAAGCATTTTGGAATTAAAGATCACATTTTGAAGTTTTCAAGGAAGAGATTTACCACTTTGGGATAGATTTAAACAATACTTAAGGTAAATACAAATACTTAAAGGTAAAAATACTTAACTACTTTTAGATAAAAACATACTTTGAGGTTTGTGAAGCCTACCAGGCACCTGGAATTAAAAGCATTTCTTGGTTTACATAATACTCTGGAGATTACTGAGTGAGTGGGGATGTACTCTGAGGTTGTATACCTCATTACTCAGCTGGTTATTCCCTTTAGACAGATGACAAAACTTTGTGGTAGTGGAGGTGGGGTGGGGGGTTAGGGCCGGGTGGGGGCATGTCCTAACCTTCCAGTCACTCTCCAGGCTCCCATCTCCTGGCTCAATAGATGCCACCACCTTCTCAGAGATCAGCACATCTCCTGTCTTGTTGTCGGTCACCTGTGAGGGTGGGAGGAAAGAGTGAGAGCACAACTATTTTCCTCTTCTGCCCTCCTCCCAGCACATACTGCAGCATGAGGGATCTGAGGGAGACTCCCGGAGGTACTTCCGGGCATAAGCACCTTATCAATCTGGAGGTGACTGGAGAGAGTGTTGTTCCCCAGCTGGTGCTCCTGGTTCTCTTCTTGGTGGTAGTTCCTAGGGAGGCCCCGGAAGTCCACGGGGGAAGAGAAGAAGCTGTCCATGCCCCGTAACAGGTCATCCTGGGGCCGAAGGAGGGATATGTGAGCTGCTAGACCTCAGGACTTCCCAGTACATCTGCAGCCCTGCCAGGGTGCCCTCCAGGCCTTGCCATGTTCCCTTCACCCCCTTCCTCTTCATCTTCTGACCCTTAGGGCCTAACTAGTCACCTCCTGCCCCCATCCACCATCTCTTCTTTCTCTATTTTTTGCCCCATTACCTTCTTGTCCCTCATGTCCTATTGTCTCTCTGTTCTATCCCACTCTTCAGTCTCGCCTCTGTCGCATCTCCCTCCCTCTTTCTATCTCTCAGTCTCCTTGTTACTCTCTGTCCCTTTTGTTTTCTCTCTTCCTGTCTGTCCTTCTGCCTGGCTGAGACATGTCTCCCATTGTTTCCCTGAACCCTGTCCATGCCTCTGTCCCTAGGCCCTCTTCTTTGGAACCTCTTCTCCCCAACCCCTGCCATTGCTCACTTTCAGAAACAGCCGGGTGAAGCCTTGTAGAAGTCTCTGGAGGCCTAGGAAACCGGAGGAGCCTTCCTCGGGATCAGCATCGCGGATCGGGGCTGCAGTGGAGGGGGGCACCGAGGCAGAGGGGAGCAGCAGCAGCAGGACCAGCGCGTGCCACATTTCGGGGTGGGCCAGAAGGCTGTAGCACCAGTAGGGTCAGAGCCTCTACCCAAGACGATCACGCCTTTCCTATCCTTTGCCCAGGTTTTTACCCCTTGTCCAAGCAACTCCCCCCTCCCTACCAAACCCATCCCCCCCTCCCTTTTTCTTCCACTCTCACCCCCTCCAGCGTGTCAGGCCCTGCGGGTTCTCCCAGGCCCGACTCTTGTGGGCTTTGCCACATACACGGATCTCATTCCTCTCCTTCTCCTACATTCATACCCAGATCTCATAGTTCTCACCTTCTCCTTCTCACCTTCTGGGCCCCGCCTTTATGCTTGACCACAGACCGGTCACCGGACTCTCAGACTCGGGCGGTCCACGGACTGTTAAATCCAAACAGTTCTGGTCTCGAGCCCAAGCCGGGCACCTGGAGCGTTGAATGAGCTCCGCGAGCCCTCGCCGCGCCCCCTAGCCACGCCCCCACGGTCTGGCCGCTCCCCCCCCACGTGACCTCACCCACTAGCCCGGCCCTTTATTGGTTAAAGCCACGCCTCTATTCTTTGTTAACCACGCCCCTTGAGCCAGCCTGGCCTGTGTTTCATGGTCGAGCTCCTCAGTCCGACCACGCCCCTTTCGGTTGATCTGGGCGTTAGAGAGCCAGGTCTTGCCTGTCCAGCTCCAATCGCAGGTGGCCACGCCCCTTGCCCTAGAGCCACACTCCTGCACCTGGGCCCCACCTCTGTGCTCCAGGTCTTGCTCCTAGCTCCCTGTCTCGTTCCTAGGATCACTCTGCTCATGGACAGTCCTTCTGGTTAGCCCGCTCCTTATTTTTGTACCTATTTCTGATAGTTTCTCTGTGTCCCTTGTTGTTTTCTCCAGGATTTGAAACGATTAATACGCTCAACACAGGGCAATGTAGGGACGCTGAAATCGGAGCCTTCTTCGGTTCTACTAAACAGCCCCACCCTCTCTGGAAACCCAAAATCCAGTCTTATGTTCCAGTTTCCAAGGACTCGGAATCTGTGCTCCCTTCTCCCTCAGGTCTCCAGAGTCCGGATCCCAGCCTCTTTCCATCCCATGAGTTTGAACACTAAGCTCCTCTCCCCTCAGGCACCGAGTGTCTCTCTCTGTTCTGGGACAGCGCCACCTCTAGTTCATGAATGCGTGTGGGTGCGGGAGTCTCCACTTCCCAATAACTCCCGGTCGTCTTGCCCACGACTCTCACCTCTGGTGAGGTCACAAGGAAAAAGCGTGTTGTTATAGAAATCAATCAAAACACACCCCCATACTTCAATCCTCAAAAAGAAACTTGAGGCTGAACAGGAAAGAACCTTTTGTGCTGGTATCACGTCCACTTACACAAATAGGCTAGAGGCCCAGAAGTCCAGGCCCCCAGCCCCCTCCTCCCTCAGACATCAGGAGTGCGGACCCTCAACATCCCTCCTCTCCCAAGAATCTAAGCACACGAATCCTGAAGTTGCTACCAGACCCCAGTTAAACTATACCTTTCCTTAGCCAAAGCAAAAATCCTCCCCCAAACTGTCATCATCGGATCCCTCTTCCCGCTGTCCGGCGTCCGGGCCCGCCCCCCCTCCGGTCCCTCCCACTTTTCCCAAACAAAGCTCCCGGGCAACTTTCTCCTTCGCTGCGCCCCGCCCGCCCGCGGTTCCCCAGCCCCAGGCCGGGAGGTAGGAAGGCGCCCGCGGGAGTCGGGGATCCTGCTTTGGGGTGTGTGAGTTGGGATGGAAAGTTCCATGTTAGGAGTTTAGGTGTGTGTGGGGGACCGTCTCGGGATTGCATGCCGCCTCCCTTGGATCGTGGGGCTCGAGTTTGTGTTTCTGAATCTAAGTGCGGGGTTGGAACTTTCTCCAGATCTGGGTGTCTGCTGATGCGTCTAAGTTTGGGAGTGTGCTCCTGGGAGTGCGTGAGGGCAGGGAACTTTGGCCGGGTGTGTGTGGGGTGTGAGTGTCTGCGGCGGTGTCGGTTTGAAGCGAGAAAGGACTCTGTGCGTGTTTCTGACCGAACTGATCTGTGTGTGTCATTTGTGGGCGCCTGGTCCTCCTCATGGAGAAAGGGGCCTCCGGGGTGGCAGAGGTTAGGCTACAGAGCTTTCTGGATGTTCAGCCTTGTCTCTTCGGAAGTTTGGGGCCTGGGGAGGGAAATTAGGGGGATCTTTCCTAGCCGGACCCTCCGTCCCTTTGTCTGGCCACATGGGGGAGAGCTGGGCTGGGATTTTGGCCTATGGGGGTCCTGAACGCCGCAGCGCCACTGGGCTCGGCCTGGAGTCTTTGTCTCGGCCGGGACTCCAGGGTCCTAGCGAGGAGGGGGATGGGAGCCTGGACTCTGGGGTCCTGGGAAAGCTGTGGAAGACGAGGAGCCACCAGGGCGGCGGGATCTGACTGTATTTGAAAAAGTTTTCCCCTGTTCTCGGCCTCCGGAAAGTCACTGGGAACTAGAGTTGGATCCGAGCCCACAGCGCAGGGTTTGGGGAGGGAAGGGGCGGGGCCGGGGGCTTGAGGGGAGGTGCCCTCGCTGGCCAGCCCCTCCCTGATGGGGGTTGTGGGAAACTGGGGGAGGGGATGCCTGGGCCCTTTGTTCTGGCTCTCCTTATGGCAGGGCGCCCCTGTCCCCCCAGTCTGTGGTTCTATAGGTCTTTCCTGGTCTCCACTTTAGTTTCTGCCCTGCATCTCTGCCCCTCTTCCCTCGGTGTCTCTGGACCCCTCTCTCTGGGTCTCTGTTCCCCTCCTTCTAGGTCGCTGTGCCCCCACATTGGGTCTCTGTTCCCCTCTCTCGGGGACTTTGTCCTTTCCGTCTCTCCGAGTCTCTGTCCCCCTGTCTCTGGACCTCTCTTCAGCCTTACTAAGGACTGTGCCCCTTCTTTCCCAGCAGCTGCTGCTCACATCCTAGCACCTGTTCTTGGGGTGGGACTAAGATCTCACTCACACATCCCTGACCCGAAACTAGGCCCTGACTCCTGCCTTCTTTAAACTAGTAATCCATACCCAAATGGCTGGCCCTCATGGACCCTATGCATGACTATGGGGTCTTCAAGACTTCATCACAACCCCGGATCCCCTGGAAATCCAGAGAACACTGTTCACCCTAAGCTTCCCCAGGACCTAGGAGTCTCAGCCCCCAGCCCTCTCCTCTCTCAGACCCAGGGGTTTGGTCCCCCAGCCCTCTATCTCAGACCTAGGACTCTGGACTCCTAGCCTTCCAGGCCCTGAGGTCCTTCTGGGTGGGTCAGGGAAACCTTGCTGAGGTCTGTGTTCTTCCAGGCCCAGATGGGGGAACCCCGGGCTGGGGCCCCCCTGGACGATGGCAGCACCTGGACAGGAAGTGAGGAAGGAAGTGAAGAGGGTACTGGTGGCAGCGAGGGGGCTGGGGGAGATGGGGGCCCAGATGCAGAGGGTGTCTGGAGCCCAGACATTGAACAGAGCTTCCAGGAGGCCCTGGCCATCTACCCGCCCTGCGGCCGGCGGAAAATCATCCTGTCTGATGAAGGCAAGATGTATGGTGAGTCCACCCCTCTTTTGCCCTGGTCCCCACTGGTTAATAAAAGATTTACTAGCAACATTTATGGAGCTTTAAATACTGTTAACATAAAAGCACTTCGTATCCTTATCGTGACTCAGGTAGGAGCTAGCATCCCATTTGCACAGATGAGGAAACTGAGGTCCAGAAAGGCTAAGTGATTTGCCTAAGGCCACAGAGCTAGTGTGTGGCGGAGCTGGAACTTGAACCCAGGCATTCTGGCTCAAAAACCTGCAGTCTTAACTCTTCTTCCATCTCGCTCCCAGCTTGCTGTGGACCTCTGGAAACTATTGTTTCTCTCTCCTTCCCTGGTGTCCCCTCTGTTGGGAAGTTCTGCTAAAGGTCTAACTCTGTTCCATCTTTGCGTCTTTAGGTCGGAATGAACTGATTGCCCGCTACATCAAGCTGAGAACAGGGAAGACCCGAACTCGAAAACAGGTCTCAGGACTGACTTGTGGACTTCTCTCTGGGACGGGCTTGTCTTCTGAGGGCCATACTAGTATGGGCTGCTTCAGGTTCAAGGCGGACATGGCTCATGTGCTTTTGTCTGTTTTCTTTTTTTTTAAAAAAATCCTCACCTGAGGATATTTTTCCATTTATCTTCAGATAGAGTGGGAGGGAGAGAGAGAGAAAAAAATACCAATGTGAGAGAGACACATGAACTGGTTGCCTCCCGCACGACCCCGACCAGGGCCGGGGACAGAACTGCAACCGAGGTACGTGCCCTTGACCGGAATCGAACCCGCTACTCTTAGGTCTGCGGGCTGATACTCTAACCTCTGAGCCAAACCGGCCAGGGCTTGTCTATGTTCTTGGCACCTCTGTGAGTACACTCTGTGCCTGTTTGGTATAGTTCTCTTAGTAGCTGTGTTGGAACCAGAGTAAGAGAGACCGAAAGAGTCAAAGAGAGAAGGATGGGGAAGGGAAGGGAGACCTGAATTGGCTGGGCCTGGGGAAGAGCAGAAGTATTAGTGAGAAAAGAGTGGCCTTTATAACCATCTGTGTTTACATGCTCCTGTGTTTACATACATCTGTGTTTACATGCTCCTGAGACAGCTGGCATGTTCTGTGTGTCATCTCCCATGTCCGAGCAGCTTCGTGGGCACCTGGAGGGAGGAAATGGGGAGGGGATGCAAGGAGCAAGTGGCTCTGGCCTGAATCTACCTTTTTGTCACTCCTTCTAGGTCTCTAGTCACATCCAGGTCTTGGCCCGAAGGAAGTCAAGGGAAATCCAATCCAAGCTCAAGGTAGGAACCAAAGCAGACATCCTGAGAGGGGAACAGAGACCCAGAGAGAGCGGACAGGGACGCAGAGAGGGTAACAGGGATCTAGAGAAGGGGGCGTCAGAGACCCAGGGTGGGGGACAGAGACCAAGAAATGGGAATAGATTCACACAGAAAGGTAGACAGAATGGGGAAAAGCAGAAACCCAAGTTGGGGGTTTGTAGCCAGCAAGAGGGGGTGGATGCAGACCCTGGGTAGGGAAAGATCCATGGAGTGAAGGGGGATAGACTTAGCTTGGGACAGGCAAGAAGGATGGGGTGTTGGGCCTCTCCTCTGGCTACTTTGTCTTCTGCCTCCTTCTCCTCTCCCCTCCGGGCTGTCCCTAGTGTCCTCATCGTCTTTCCCTCTTGTGCTGGGAGGGTCTCCTCTGGGTCCCCTTCTGGTTCACCTTCCCATTTCCCGGCCCCTGAGTGGCCTGCCGGTTCTTTGGTGCCCAGATAGCTTCATTTCCTTTTGGAGCTTTTCACATCCTCTTTCTTTATCTTCTGGATTTCCTGTTCCCTGTTGGCCTCAGACCCTCATTTTCGACTCCTCTGAGTATGGAGTCTCTTTCTCTGGATTTGGGGCCCATCTCCTCCTATCCCTTTTTTATACACAGAAGCCTCCCCTTCCTTTTTCTCTAAGTCTAAACACCTTCCCTTCTGGTCTTTTCTGGAGTTCCCTGTTCTCCTCTGTCCTATCTCAGCTAGGAAATGTTCACTGCCTATTCCCACTGGGCCCGAAATTCTCATTTCCTGTTGCCTGCATATCCAGAAACCCTCACTTCTGCCTCTTCATTGACCTAGAAACCCTCATTACTCTTTCTTTTCTTTCTTTCTCTTTCTTTCTTTCTTTCTTTCTTTCTTTCTTTCTTTCTTTCTTTCTTTCTTTCTTCCTTCCTTCCTTCCTTCCTTCCTTCCTTCCTTCCTTCCTTCCTTCCTTCCTTCCTTCCTTCCTTCCTTTTTGGTGGTAGGTGCCCCTAGCGAGAACCGAACCCAGGACTCTCTGGTCCGCAGGCCGACGCTCAACCGCTGAGCCAAACTGGCCAGGGCGCCCTCATTACTCTTTCATTCTGGGCATTGGGAGCTTCTGTCTTCCTCTAGGCCTGGCCCCCTCTGTTCCATATTCATCCTTCATTTTGCTTCCCTCTCATTGCTCAGCTGAGGTTGGCGGGGCTATAGGGGTTGGCAGGGAAGGCAGGTGGGGTATCCAGGCCTCAATTCCTAAATCATGTTTTCTTTCCTTCTTTGGCACCCTCCTTCACCCCCGTGGGCAGGCTCTGAATGTGGTAAGTCCCTCTGCCTATCCTCCCACCCACTCCCTTACCCTAGACATTTCTGAGGAGGGCAGGAGCTGCGGGGGGTTGTATTGAGAGGAATTTGGACTCTCTCTCAACCTTTTGCCTTGACTCCCCCATCTCTTCATCTCCCCATGCTTACCCTGCCTTGTCATTGTGTCCACCCTTGCTGTGTCTGCTGGGACTCCCCATTAACATGGGCCTGCAACTTTCCCTCCAGGACCAGGTTTCCAAGGACAAGGCTTTCCAGACAATGGCCACCATGTCCTCAGCCCAGCTCATCTCAGCACCTTCTCTGCAGGCCAAACTGGGTCCCGCCGGTCCTCAGGTAGCCAGGCTTGGGTACTGTGGGGTTCAGGGCTGGAGGGTGGGGCTTGTGGTTTCAGCGGGCAGCTAACTGGCTGACTCCTCTTTGTTCGTCTCCAGGCCTCTGAGCTTTTCCAGTTTTGGTCTGGGGGCTCTGGGACCCCCTGGAATGTTCCAGAGTGAGTACTTTGTGTCCTGCCTCAGCACCTGTACCTCACCTCCACTCTCTCTCTCACAGACCTTCTCACTCTACCACCCACTTCCCAACTTCCTTACGGACATAGATTCTGGAGCCGGGCTCTCTGCCTTTGAATCCCAGGCAGGAGGGTGAGGTGATGGTCTGGAGAGGAGGACTAGGTCTGAGATGGGATAGTGAGGAGTGGACGGGGCAGAGTCAGAAGGAAGAGGGATGGTGCTGGGGCCTGATGGGCTGAGAAAGAGGGAGAGGGCAGGGACAGTGCCTAGGGTCTGGCTGGTGACTGAATGGGACTGTCCAGAGATGCGCAGCCTGGAGGAGGAGTGGGTTTGGGGAAAAACTGAGCTCAGCATGGGCCTTGATGAATGTGAGAGGCCTGGAGGGTGTCCATGGGGTTGTTGGCCTTCTAGTCAGGTTGGCTGGGCCCCAGAGGCTCATGGGAAAGGTAGTTGTAGGTCCAGAGGCTCCCAGGAGGGATGAGTGGAGCCGCAGAGGCTCATTCTCATCCCATAGACATGGTTCTTGGGCCTGAGCAGGGGTCCTTCTCTTAGAATCAGAAGGAAGAAAATGGGCCTCAGAGGTAAATGGGAGTGTCCTTTTTTAGCTCGGAGAGAACCAGGAGGGTGACAGGATATGTTTCTAGCCTCGAATAATAGAAACGGGCCTCAGAGGCACATTTTTGTAAAGGTACTATTTAATGCTTTTATTGATTTTCTAGAGAGAGAGGAAGGAAATGAGAGATAGAAACATCCATGTGAGAGAGAAACATTGATTGGCCGCCTCCTGCATGTGGGAAACAAGCATGTGCCCTGATGGGGAATCGAACTGGGACCTCTCAGTCCACGGGATGGTGCTCAATCCACTGAGCCACACAGGCCAGGAAGGAAATACATTTTTAAAAAATATGTTTTTATTGATTTTTTTGAGAGAGAGGAAGGAAGAGGGAGAGAGAAAGAAAGAAACATTGATGTGAGAGAGAAACATCATTCAACTGCCTTCTGCACGCCCCTTACTGGGGATCAGCCCTGCAACCCGGGCATGTGCCCTGACTGGGAATTGAACTGGTGACCTCTTGGTGCATGGGATGACACTCAACCACTGAGCCATACTGGCCAGAGCAGGAAGTACAGTTTTTAGCCCAGAAAGGAGCCAGTGGTTCTGGGCTGGGTGTTGGTAGGGCAATGTGGCTTCAGGACAGTGAGGCAGGGGTGTTGAGGGTGTTGCCAAAAAAAGAGTAAAGTGACAGGCGGTGGGATTCAGGCTGGGACAGAAGATCGTTTTCTGGGAAGTGTTGCTAGATGGGGACACAGGAAGCGTGAGAACAAGTCCCCAGAGCCGAAGGAACCACAGGCTTGCAGGGGAGGAGGCCGATCTGGAAGGATGGGTGGTTCAGCCGGCGCTGCACTGGTCGCCGGGGTCCCGCCTTTTATGGAGCTGATAGTCAAACTGGCGAGATGAACATTTATTAAATCATGTGCTTAAACACAAAATTGAAGAGTGTGTGATGTGTGAAGAACTACAACAGGTTCGGGGGTGAGGGAGAGAGTTTTGGGTGGTTTCTCTGAGGAGGTAACATTGAAGGCTGGGTAAGACTTTGCCAGGTAAAGAATAGGGGTGGGGATATTTTAGGCAGAGAAAGCAGCATGTGCCAAGGCCCTGAGGTAGGAAAGTTTGATGAGTTTCAGGAACTGAGAGAGAAGACCAATCTTTTTTTTTTATCCTCACCCGAGGACATTTTTCCATTTTTTGTTCAGGTAGAGTGGGAGGGAGAGAGAGGAACAGAGAGAGAGAGAGAGAGAGAGAGAGAGAGAGAGAGAGAGAGAGAGAAACATCAATGTGAAAGGAACACATCGTGTGGCTGCCACCCACACAACCGACCAGGGCCGGGGACAAACTGCAACCGAGGTACGTGCCCTTAGCGGGAACCGAACCCGGGTCTCTCAGGACCGCAGGCCGACGCTCTAACCGCTGAGCCAAACCGGCCAGGGCGAGAAGGCCAATCTTAAGCCATTGGTCAGTCAGTCAAATGTTTACTGAGCAGCTATTAAGTGCCTGTTATTCTGCTTGGATTGGGGACACAGCATTGAACAAGTCAGAATTCCTGCCTTCATGGAGCTTATAAATTGGAGAGGGAGGGAGACAGACAATAAACATGTAAACCAGTAAATAAGCATGAATAAGAAAGGACTAAATGTGGGAAATAAAGCAGTGTGTGTATGTGCTCTATTTAGGAGTGAGGAAGTCCTCTGAGGAAGTGACATTTGGGCAGTGGCCTGATGACAAGAGATTAAGTCAGTGGGTAGGGTACTGGGAGTTTCGATTTCAGAATTGAGATGGGAAGTAAAGGCCCTTGGGAGTTAAAGTCTGAAAGTCCCTGGAGTTTGGGTCTTTCTGATCTTGATCTTTGGACCCTTGACCTCTTACTGACCTCTGACCTCATGTCTCCTTGACCTCTGACCTCTCAGTCTCCTCACCACCATCTCCTGGAATATCCACAGGTCATTGATCTCTAGAGCTATGCTATCAGATACTACAGTCACTTAGCCACGTGTGGTTATTGACATTTAAGTTAATTCAAATGAAATAAACTTTAACATTCAGTTCCTCGGGCACCCGAGCCACATTCCTGCTCAGTAGTCATACATCGTGTGGGCAGTAGCCACATGTGGCCAGTGAGTACAGTGTTGGACAGCACAGACATCGAACATTTCCATCATCGCAGAAAGTTCTATTGGACACGCTGCTTTGGATTCTGTTGTGCTGCCTCCTCACCCCAAAGTTTGGCCTGATGTCCCATTTTCTGGGCTGCTGGTCATTTTCTCCCCACCCTCCTGACCCTTCAGCCTCCTTTTCCTCCAAATTTCCTAGTCTTCTCCCCACCTCTTGAGACTCCATTTCTGTCCTCTTTCTGCCATTTTGTGAGAGGTACCAAACTATCATCAAGACCCCAGGCTTCGTGGTTGGAACTGACTGGTTCAAGCCCAGGCTCCACGGCGGTCAGCTGCGTGCCTGGGTGGGTCAGCTGACCCTGTGTGCCTCTAGTTTCTCTTGTGCAAATGAGAGCACTAATCACACCCACCTCACAGGCTGTGAGGCTTCCATTAAAATGTGTGCATAATGTGCTAGCACAGCGTCAGGCTTGTCCTGGTCCCTCCGTAAACGGTAGCTGGTACGATGGGCATCTTTCCACCTGCTCACCCTGAGCTTCCTTTCTCCCTCAGTGTGAAGCCATTCTCGCAGACACCGTTCTCCTTGTCACTGACTCCCCCATCTACTGACCTCCCAGGTAAGAGTCTGCTCTCCACCCTCCCTTGTCTCTTGTCTCTCTTGTCAACCCTAGCTGCCTTTCCTTCAACCTTCCTTTAGTCACATTCCTCCTGAGGTCCAGCTCTGAGGCAGGGTGTGTAGGAAAGATGAGTGACAGAATCTGTAGTGGTTAAGAGCATGGCATCTGCAGCCAGAAACACGGGGTTTGTGTTCTGCCACTTCCTAGTAGCCTAGAGAACACTGGGAGGTGTATTGGTCAAGATTCTTTCAGCTGCAAGTGACAGAAACCCACGTCAAACTAGATGACAAAAACAACCACCACCACAAAATGGAATTTATTGGTTCAGGTAACTGGTATTTCAGGTGTTATGTCTTCAGGTATGGCTGGATCTAAGGGCTCAAATGGTAGCATCAGGATTTGCTTGGTTCTGCCCTCCTCTGGTGGCTTAATTCCTTTGCCCATCTGGTAGCAAAGGTGGCTTCCAGAAGGCCTTGCTGATGTCATCCTATGAACTCACATTGATGAAAAAGTACACAAAGATTCATCAATTAGGAATGCTTTTGGCTATAAGTAACAAAGCAATAGTGCCATAAATAAAAAGGTTTTAATGATTCCACATAACAAAAAAGCCTGAAGGTGGGCTGCTAATGTGCTGGCTCAGCAGCTCAGCAATATCAGGACCAGCATCTCTATAGGTCCCTTGGCCTCTGTTTTACTGTCCCAAAATGGCTGTTGTGACTCCAGGCATCATGTCCCAAGCAGGACTTGACCAGAACCAAAAGCTTTCTCCTCCCAAAGTTCTGTCTTTTTCATTCAGGAAGAAACTCCTTCCCAGAAGCCCCCGAGCAGATTTCCCCTAACGTCTCATTGGCCAGGACTGTGTCACATGGCCACCTCTAGCTGCAAGGGAGGCTGGGAAAGTGAGTATTTAGCTTTTTCAGCTTCTAAGTGGAGGCAGGCAAGAGAGAACAGTGCTTGATATATTCCATAAATGTTAGCAATTTTTATTGTTTCTTCTTTTCTCTCTAGGGTACGAGCCCCCCCAAGCCCTCTCACCCCCTGCCCTGCCCCCACCTGCCCCATCACCCCCAGCCTGGCAGGCTCGGGCCTTGGGCACTGCCCGGTTACAGCTGGTGGAATTCTCGGCCTTTGTGGAACCCCCGGATGCAGTTGACTCTGTGAGTGCAATTTTGGGATAGTCATTGTGGGTGTTTTGGAGTGTAGATGGCTACAGGAAGAGAAAGAAAAAAGCAGTGGTTCTCAAACTTTAGCATGTATCAGAATGACATGGAGGGATTGTTAAAACACAGATTGCTGAGCCCCACTCTCAGAATATCTGATTCAGTAGGTTTGGAGTGGGGCCTGAGAATCTGCATTTCTGACAAGCTCTGGGGTGATGTTGATGCTGCTGTTCCCAGGACCACACTTTTATAACTCCTAGCATAAAGGAATTGGGAGGTCATGAGATCATGGGTTGGGAAAGTCAGAGAAACTCTCTAGGACATCATTTATTCATCCATCAAACATTTCTGAGTGCTTACTTGCACCAGGCTTTGTGGTGGATGCTGGGAACTTGGAAAAGCAGATCTTGTTTCTAGGCTTGAACTTTTCCTAGACTAGGATGGAGACAGATGCCACATTCGTCAGGGTGGGCTGACAGAAGTATTAACCCCAATACTCAAGGACTGAACATCATAGAAGTTTCTCACTCATGTAACATTTCAGTGTGTTCAACAGGAGTCTTCCACACAGATTCAGGGAATTCGGGCTTCTTCCATTTTGTGGCTCTGCCATTTTCTAGGACTTCAGAATCTGCTGCTGGATTCTCTGCATCTGGCTGGCAGATGGTGGAAGGGAGAGAGTGAGGAAGCTTTATGGGTCTGGCTTGGAGATGGCGACTATCAGGTCTGCTCAGATCCCATTGGCCAGAACTTAGTCATGTGATCATATATAACTACAGAGGAGTCTGGGAACTGTAGTTTAGCTATGTGAAAGGGAAGTAGTATTTGTGAACACACAGCCTCTGCCGCAGCCACAGAAACACCAAGTACTGTCTTTAGTGGTCTTGGTAGAAACCAAATCAAATCAGGGTAAAACCCTCCCAACTCATTTGGAGCAAAAGCTGAAGTCCTTTTAGTTGCCTACAAAGTTTTGCACAATCTGACCTTCGTTCCTGTTCTGCCCTTACCTCCTGCGCTCTCACTCTTGACTGCTTAGCTCTGGCCACACTGGCCTCCATGCCCTATCTGAAACATGCCAGGCCCACTTCTGCTTTAGGGCCTTTGCATCTGCTGCTCCTGCTGCCTGGAAGATGTTTTACCCAGATACCGCCATTCTGTCTCTCCCTTCATTCAGGTCTCTGCTTGATTATCTTCTCAGATTGGCTTTCCCAAGTCATCTTATGGAAAATACTAGCTGCCACCACTTTCTACTCCCTTATTATGCTTTATTAGGATTTTTAAAAAAATCCTCACCCGAGGATATTTTTCCATTTATCTCCAGATAGAGTGGGAGGGAAAGAGAAAAAAAAACTAAACACATCGATGTGAGAGAGACACATCAACTGGCTGCCTCCCGCACGACCCCAACCAGGGTCGGGGACCGAACCGCAACCGAGGTACGTACTCTTGACTGGAATCGAACCCGTGACTCTTTGGTCCGCGGGCCGATGCTCTAACTGCTAAACCAAACCGGCCAGGGCTATTAGGATTTTTTTTTTTCCATAGCATACATTACTCTCTGAAATTTATATCATCCATAAGATGATTTAAAATGTTTTCTGTCTCTGTCATTAGACTGTGCACTCCATAAGGTCAGGGACTTTACATTGTGCCCTGGGAGCCAGAGCAGAGTCCCTACACAGATGATTCTCAGTAGATGTTGATTGATGAACATGTGCTGGGATGGGGGAAGCTCACGTTTCTGTGGGTGTACAGAGCAGTAATTCTGCCTGGAGAGTCAGTGAAGGCTTCCCTGAGATGGCAACATTTGGGTTGGGCTTTGAGGGTTACATGGGAGTTTGCCATATGCAGAACTGGATGTTTCAGGTGCAGAGACAGAAAAGCATTGTGTCTTTCAGGGAAACAAATAATCGAATATGGTGGGAAGCTGGTGGGGCTGTGGATAGGTGGGCAGGTACCGGTTCTGGAGGAGCTGGCATTGCCAAACCGAGGGACCCAGGCTTTCTCCTGGTGATGGGGAAACACGGGGGTGGTAGAGAGATCTCATCTGTTTGTGATCAGTGGAGGCTTCCAGACAGAGGCAGACTTGGGTGACCTGGAAAGATGAAGGAGGATTTGTATTGGAAGAAAAGATGGGGAAGATTTCAGCATACGGACAAGAAGTGATAAGAATGGGAACAGAGAGGAAGTCTTGGTGTGGGCTATGTGGATTGACATCCATCTGTCCGTCCATCCATCCATCCATCCATCCATCCATCCATCCATCCATCCACTGATAGAACATTTATGAAGAACTATTCAAAACATGGCCAGGTTGAGGGGTGTGGTCCTTTCTTGTAGAGGTGTAGTCTTTGTCCTGGAGGCACTGGGGAGCCATGGGAAGATTATAAGCAGGGGAGGTTGAGGGTCAGCTCTGGAGCCATATGCACCATGAACTGAGGAGGAGAGATTGGAGGCTGGGAGGCCAGGCAGGAGGCTGGGGTGAAGGTGGGAGAGGTCAGGACTGTGAGGGTGGAGAGCAGGGGACGGCAGAGAGTTGGGCAATAGGGACAGGGCTTAGGGACTGAGGTACTGTGGGAATGAAGGGGCAGAAGAGAGTGGGGACAGTGCCTGGGAGTTGGGCCCAGTATCTGGGTGGGGAGGATGGAACAGCTAGTAGGAGCTCTGGGGATGGCAACAGGGGTGTGAGATTGGCTTGGGCAGGGAGGGCTGGGGGTCCAGCCATGTCCCACTCCTCACCTATCTATGGCTGTTCCTCCCCAGTACCAGAGACACCTGTTTGTACACATCAGCCAGCATTGCCCCAGCCCTGGAGCGCCCCCGCTTGAGAGTGTGGACGTTCGGCAGATCTATGACAAATTCCCTGAGAAAAAGGGTGGACTGCGGGAGCTGTATGATCGTGGACCCCCGCATGCTTTCTTCCTGGTCAAGTTCTGGGTGAGTTCTGCCACCAAAACCAAAAGTGCTCATAAATCAAGTGGCCTCCCAGAAGGCCTCTGGCTCTACCAGGTCAGCCTGGGCTTTATCACTCCTGAGGGCTCTGAGTATCAGCCCCCTTGGCAACAAGGAGCACCAAGGAGTTTTGACTCCGGAGCTGGATGCATGGGACCAGCGCAGGTTAGGGATAGGGCTTGGACCTTCCCAGATCCCACTAGATTTTGCCACACCCAGTCACATGACTCTTAACAGCCCTTGGGATTGGCTTGTATCATTTCAGACTTCCCTACATCCCACCTAATCACACCAAGCCTTGTTGCTAAGGAATGTCCTCCCCTTAGCATGTGGGGTCTTGGAGAGTTTGGCCTCTAGAGAGGGGATGCTACGTTCCACCAGATCCTGTTGTTAGATAATGTCTGGCCTTGTGGATAGGAGCTGGGGAGTGGCTTTGTAAAGTCTCGTATTTATTGAACAATCATTTATTGAGCACTTACTATATATAAGGCCCTATGCCAGGTGCTATATATGTAATTGTGAATAAGAGGGTCCATTTGAGTCTTTCTTAGGCCTATTTGGCTTGATGCCTCTAGTACAATGGTTAATACTCTAGGGGTTCAAGATATGCAGTGAATGTTTAGGGCGTGTTACTCTTGCGGTAACCAGGGCCGTGGAGGGATCTAGTCTGAGAAGGAAGACTGCTTAGGGCTTGAAGTTTGCTGGCCTTGCTGACCCATAGCTGCTGCGGTTATACAGGGTGTTAGTGTGTAAAGGGGCCCAAGACAGCTCTGGGGATGTGTCGCTGAGGTCTTAGGCATTGGTAGGGATTAAGACAGGCGTCACAAGTCCCAGGTTCGAAGGAGAGAGACCCCTCGAAGCCCTGCCTCTGAAGGGATGCAGGGTAGAGGCCTTTAGTTTTCGTCTGGCTCTACAAGGCCCTGTCGCCAGGGTGGTAGATGGAGTCCCGCCTCTGAGCAGAGGTCTGAATCACCCCAGAGAGTGACCTGGTCAAGTTAGTAACTGAAGTTAGGGAGAGGAAGAGGCGTGCCTCCCAGGAAGGTGCCCAAGGGGCTCCGGCCAAAGGTGATATGAGGTCTTAGGCTTCATTAGACCCCACCCGGCATAATTGACGTCTGTTCACTTGGCCCCTGGGGTCATAGAGGGCTCTGATTTGTGAGAGTCAGCTGAAAGGGCCTGGAAGAGTGTTCTGAAGAGGAGTCAGGTTTCCTTAGGCCCCCACCAGGCCCCTGGTTGCTTGTCTGAACAACCAAGGTCGGAGAAGGGCTCTAAGGAAGCGCTTCTGGTTGCTAGGGAGAAACTGCCTCCTTGGTAACTAGGCCCTTGGAAAGGGCTAAACTCTTTCTCAAATACATTTTTCTTGATTTTAGAGAGGAAGGGAGAAGGGGAGAGAGAGAGAGAGAGAGAGAGAGAGAGAGAGAGAGAGAGAGAGAAAAACATTTATGGAAGAGAGAAACATTAATCAGTTGCCTCCTGCACACCCCTTACTGGGGATCAAGCCCACAACCCGGGCATGTGCCCTGACCAGGAATCGAACTGGCAACCTTTTGGTGGGTGACGTCTTGGTGCATAGAATGAGACTCAACCAACTGAACCACAGCAGCCAGGACAAGGTGCTGAACGCTTGAGTTGGGGGCTTCAGGAGCAAACAGTTGAAATCTAGGGCTCCTTTGGTGGGGGGTCACTGGGGAAAGCAGGTCGGGATCATTTTGGGACTCAGATTTCTGCAGCACTGATGGAAGGGTAGGTCTTCTCCAAAAGCCAGCCCTTGGAGACGCGGGGACTTCAAATGCTGAGGAAGACAGATGGACAACTACAGGGGCAAAAGGGAGAAACCAGGCCATGGGGCAGAATTCCCATGTTAGAAGAGTCCCCACTGTTTACCTGTGTCTCCCCATCCCCTAGGCGGACCTGAACTGGGGCCCAAGTGGCGAGGAGGTGGGGGCCGGCGGCAGCAGCGGTGGCTTCTACGGCGTGAGCAGCCAGTATGAGAGCCTGGAGCACATGACCCTCACCTGTTCTTCCAAGGTCTGCTCCTTTGGCAAGCAGGTGGTGGAGAAAGTGGAGGTGAGGCCAGAGGGGTGGAGCTCTGGGCAGGTGAGTGCCCAGGCACCTGTCACTTTGGTGGTGCAGAGTAAATGGATCAGGAGCCACGACAGCTTAGGCACTGGGAAAGTCTTCATGGTGGGGTGGGGAGTGTCTCGGCCTCTGGGGGTTTAATGAATAGGCTTGGGGCTAATATGGAGTTCTAAAGTCACAGTAACATGTAGGAGTCACTTGAGAGTTCAAAGGCAACGTATGGGACAGAGATGTACATTCACTAAGATCCAAAAGGTTCTTGTGAGTCTGGAAGAGTTCACAGGGCAAGGAGGTTCAGGGGTCACATTTGGGCTGCTGAGGACTTGCAGGATCTCAAGTTCAGAGGTCACAGAGTTTGGAGAGCTCACTGGAGGGTCTTTGGAGAGTTTGAAGGTATCTGAGGTTATTGAGGGTTCAGAGCACAGCTTTGAGGGGCTGGGGGGCGGTAGTCTCTGGTTTGCAGACTCAGTGATCCTGAGTTGGACACCTGAGGGTTTAGGCTCCTTTCTCTGGTCACTGCGGATGGGGCCGTGGAAGAGGGAAGAAGGCAGTGGGGTGTGGGTGTGGCATCTGAGAGGCACGGAGTGGGGCCGGGTTCCTGGCGCGACCCCTGTGTGTCTCAGTCAGTGTCCTCCCCACTCCCTGCCCTCTGGTTCAGACGGAGCGTGCCCAGCTAGAGGACGGGAGGTTCGTGTACCGGCTACTGCGCTCACCCATGTGCGAGTACCTGGTGAATTTCTTGCACAAGCTGCGGCAGCTGCCTGAGCGCTATATGATGAACAGCGTCCTGGAGAACTTCACCATCCTCCAGGTGATGTGCTGGGGCTGGGCCGGAGCAGGGGCCCAGATGTGAGGGGAGTGCCCACCACGGACCCTCAGCCCCAGGGCCTTTCACCTGGGGAACTGACACAGTGGGGCTCTGCAGTTGACCCTTGGCTTAGGGGTCCCTTTACCGAGGGAACTGATGTGGGGACTCCACAGCGTTCTCATGAGGGGATCCCTCTTCACTGAGGAAACTGACCTGGAGGACTCATTGTGGGTTAAGGCGACTGACCCCTTTACAGAGAACCTAACCTTAGTCCCGGAACCATGATATGGTGGGGTCCCTTTACTTTGGGGAATGTGCTGAGCTGGGGACCTCTAGCACCTGAGGATGTGATGTGGTGGGGACCCTCTTGATCCAGGAACACAATGTACCATCTGATGTGAGGCCTTTCAAATGAGGAACCTGGCATGTTGGGCATCCCCTCTACCTGGGAAATGTGACATGGTGGGAACTCCTTTCCTGGATACCCCGTGATAACTGAGGGAGGTTACAGTGGCCCCTTCTCTCCCTTCCAAGCACAAACCCCTTTTCCTGGCCTCCTTGGCAGGTGGTGACAAACAGAGACACCCAGGAGCTGCTGCTCTGCACTGCCTACGTCTTCGAAGTCTCCACCAGTGAGCGGGGGGCCCAGCACCACATTTATCGCTTGGTCAGGGACTGAAGGGGGACCCCAGAAGTGGCTCACCCCTAGAATACCCTCCTCCCAGGAAGGACTTCCAGCTTCCCTCAGTCTTCTTATTTAGAGAGGGGGCTGCTCCCTGTTAGAGGGGACCTTGAGAGCTGAGTGGTGAGTTGAATGGGCTGCAGCTGAGAGGAAATGACGGATCCTGATATTGGGACCTCACAGGGGTGTGTAAAGGACAGATCACTCCAGAGCATCATGGACTGGGACCCAGAGTCGCTCTGAGGGTGCAGCACTGGTCTCTGTCTCCAACAGGTGCCCCCCGCCCCCCACCAATCTGTTCTAGATGTTGGGAGGGCCCTAGTTACATATTGGCTTGTCCTTCCCTTTGTTTTTCAACCCCCCCCTTCCCAATCCTCCTCTCTTTACCACTCCCACACTGTGACCCTGAGATCCAATCCTGAAGGTTAACCCTTTCTGTGCAGGGCCAGGTGGGCCCTGGAAATATATTTTTTTTAATATAACAAGAGATATTTATAAGTGGGTGTTAGGGTTGTGACTTTTTTTTTTATCAGCTGGGCAAGCAGTGGGGTGAGGCTTTTTAATGTCACCCCCTCTTCTACATGAGCACGGGCTAGACTGTATTGCTTGCCCCCCCATTCCCACCCCAAAATTGTGTTGGTTTGTGTTTTGACAGAGGATAAAGCTATTTTACCAAAACGCAGGGGATTTATTTGGGGTTTGGGTGAAAAATAATCTTGTGGGAGGTGGTAGGTTGACATATGAGTCAAGGAAATGAGGTGTCTTTGGGGACAGGAAGCTGGTGGTGGGAAGCCCCAAGTCCCATGAGAGAGGTGTCAGCAGTGGGGCAGGCAGACACCTGGGTCCCCGGGGGAATGAGGAGGCAGAGGCTTTAGTGGCTGGGGAGAACTGGGGATTAAACAAATATTTACAGGTGGCAGGGAAGTGTCCAGGGCCCTTGAAGGGATCAGGCAGGACTTTGGGGAGGGCGGGGCCTATCTGTACCGGGCGAGCCTGTCGTAGACTTGGTCCAGGTTTCTGCACAGGAATATGGAGAGCGCCATGAAGCTGAGCTATAGAGAAAGGAGACGCTATCAGAGAGGTCGAGGGGGTGGCGAGGAGGGGGAGGTAGGGTGGTAGGGGTTCTAAGGGAGGAAAGTCATGCGGTGGGACCATGCGGAGGGCATCAGGAATTGGGTGGGACAGGGCTAGAGGGAGAACTGGGCCTGGTTGTGAACGACCAGGACAGGAGTTTGGGAGAAGATAAGTGGAGAATGGTGGAGTCAAGGGTAAAGGGCAGGTGGTCATGGGGTAGGCCACCAAAGATGCGGACCCTCAAAAAGGTGGGAATAGGGAGGGGTAGGAGAAACCCCGCAGTGTCTAACGCGGGCCTAGGGTCTGGAAAGTAATGAGATCCGGAGCAAGCCCAGGGTCCTTTATTCCGGAGGCTCATCTCTCTCCCCCTCTGCCTCCGCCTGTAATTCCACCTGGACCTCCACCTCTGCGCCCGCGCTCCCGGTCTCAGGCTGTTGCTTGTCTGGATCCCAAAGCGGCCAGGTCCCCAGGGTCATGGGCAGCTTGCCCTGAGAGGCCTTGTACCCCCAGCTGGGGCAAGCATTCGCCTTGCCCCAGCTACCCCACAGACTGCCGCTACGCCCACTGTTGCTCAGCACACCACCTCGCCCGCTGCCGCCATCAGCGCTCAGGCTGGGCCCGGGGCACGAACCGTCGGCGCCTGGCACCTGCGGCTGCCGTTCCCGGCGGAGCGCTCTGCGTGACAGTAGCAGGCTCATCACCGCTACACTCACCTGCCGGGAAAGGGGAGGGATATTGCGGCCAGGCTAGGTGGCGTCCCAAGTGCAGCGGCAGAAAAGCCTGGATTGGCTGATGCTCTGATCACTCACGCGCCTTTCCCAGAGAGGCAGAACGCGCAATTTGGGGCGGGGCTATTTGCGGATTGTAAAGCCAATCGCGAGTGAGGGTGGGGCCAGATTACCTCGAGTAGGCCGACACCCAGACAAATGCCCACTATGGAGATGAGGTTGTTGTGCAACCACTTCTGGAGGCTCCTCTCGCAGCCCTGGGAATGTAGAGAGAGGTTAAAGGTGGGGCTTTCTCTGGGATTCGCTCTCACGCCCCGCTTCCCCGGTTACCAGGTTTTCCTAGTTATTTCGCCCGAACAAGCCTACCTTTCCCTACTATCAGTATTCCAGACCCTCCCCTTTTCTTTAGGTCCCGCCTTTCCGAAGAGCCCGCCCCTTCTAGGGGCTCCGCCCCTCTGGTTGTATAGTTCTTTCTCGTAGCCCCACCGTACTTGCAGACCCCGTCCCTATGCTGTGGTCTCGACTCCTGGAGACCGTCCCCTGCCAGCAGTCCTACCCCTTCCGTAGGCCGCTCCCCTTCCCACCTCGCGATAGGTGTAGCTGTTTGCAGGGACCACGCAAAGGTCTGTGCTGTATCCGGGCCGCGCCAGTGGTCCGGCCCGGCTGAATTGGGAGAGGGAGATCATATCCAAGATCGCGGAGTCGTTGGTCGCCGATGAGTTATAGCAGGAGCAGGGCACGCGGTACGCCTCCGACATGTTGCTGCTCAAGCTGGGGACACGGAACCAGTCCTGAGGAGAGTTCCAGCCGCAACAGCGCAGCTGGGAGAGGGACAGGGTCAGAGGGACCGGGACTGGAGGGATGCAAGACGATCTGGGGTGTCAGGGGACCGGGTGATGGTATATGGTCACGTTGGGAGCAGAGGGCCGAGTAGCGGGTGCAGGGTGGGGGACGGTAGGCTGGTTGGGGTCACGACACGGCCAGGGCCAGGGCACACTAGGGAACATGGGTTTGGGAGAGACGAATCACGGAGAGACCTGGGGCAAGGGAAGAAGCTGCAAAATCACGCTGTGGACGGAAGATGGGTTGGGCAGTGCAATTCAGCCTCAGGGAGCAGGTGGATGGGAGGGCGGGGCCACGTGAGTGACAAGGAAATGGGGTTTCACAGGGGCCGGGTCCCGTGGGACCCAGAGTCACGAGGTGCCCGCAGGGAGTGGGGTCACGCTAGGGCCTTGGGGCTAAGGGCGGAGTCTTCTCGAGACACAGGGCGGAGCCTCTCTAGGGTCTGAATGGGAGCTGGGGAACCGGGCCATAATGGAGCCAGTTATGTTATCATCTGGGGGTGGGGCCGCGTCGGGCGTGGCAGGAGGTGGAGTGGGTATGAAGGTTACAACAGGTTTACGGAGTTCGGTTTCGGGCTACTGCAGGGCAGAGTCTTCTCCGGGTGGAGGGCGGAGCCACAGAATGGCCCTGTAGTTGGAGAGGGAGGGCTACCCATCCCGGCGGGCGGGAGCCTAACGCACCTGGAACTGAACGTACTCCCAGCTCTCCTCGGCCGCGCTCTTCTCCGGGTCGGTGCGGTAGTTTTGGATCGTCTCCTGCACGATGTCCTTCACCTTCCGCTCCAGCTGAGAGGCCGAGAGTGAGGCTGGATGGACTTCCACCTGCCTCCCCATCCCATCCGCGCCGACCAACGCCAGCCACTCCCGGCTGTCTCAGCCCACGGGGTCCCTGAGCATCTTTATGCTGGCATCGGTTCCTCACTGAAGGGCTGTCTACGTCTCCGTTCCTCACACTCTGCCCGTTTCTACCGTCCGTCTTTCCGTTTCTCTCGCCATTTCCCACCATTTCCCATCTCTTCCTCGGAGCTTCTGTTTCTCCACGTGTTTTCTCTCTGTCTCTTTTTTTCTGTTTGTTTCCCTTTGGCTCTGTCTTCCTCCGTCCTTGTCGGTCTTTCTCTGCCTCTCCCTGTCTCTGCCTCTCTGTGTCTGTCAGTCTTTGTATTTGTTCTGTCTTTATGGCTCTGTTTCCCTCTTCTGCCTCTCTCTGTTATTTCTCTTTGTCCATAGCAGTCCCTATCTGCCTTTGTTTCCGTTTTTTCCACCCCCCCACCCCCGCCAAGTCCACCCACTAGCTGCGGAAGGGGTGGGGGCAGCAAGCTCACCCGGATATGCTGAGTCGAGATGAGGATCCCCAGGGTGATCTGCGTGACAAACAGGAGCAGCAGTATCCCAAAATACTGGGGGGCAGAGTGGAGAAGTCAGGCTGAGCCCCTCTCCATAATGCAGGGGTTCTATTTGAGGGAGAAGGGAATGGTCCTAGGGATGGAGAAGGGGAGGGGCACTCACCAGGCCCAGTAGGCAGCGGAGCTCCTTCAGGGCCCCCACACAGCCCAAGAGGGCAAGACCCATGGTGAGGATTCCTGAGATGGCCAGGGCCTTGGACCAGATCTGCAGAGGCAGGAAGGACAAGCCTGGGAGAGGCAAGAAGCAGTGACATTGGGTCTTATGGTACACAGCTCCGGGCAGCCCCATTCCCCACCCAAGCAAGAGGGAGCAGTATCCCGGGCTCCTGGCACCCCTTTCTCTGGGTCTCCAAACTGCCCCACCCTGAATCTGTCCTCCTCTGGGATTCTCTCCTCTCTCTGAGTCTCTGTCCCTTTTCCTCTCTTCAGCTCTCAGTCTCTTTCCTCCTTTAGCTCCTTCTCACTCCCAGTAGTTTTCAGCCCCATCACTTGTCTTTGACCAGTCAATTTAACCTCTGGAGGTCTAGGGGATGATATCTATTTCCTGGGGTGGTTTGGAGGGACACCTGGGAGGCATGTGTTCAACCCACTCCTCAACACAGTCCTTAACTTATTAAATATGAGCCATTAGGAGTTTGACTATTACCCCATTAATATTTTTCTACTATTGTTATTAGTGTTATATCTGCACTTCTACTTCCTTGCCGTGTGACATCCAGTATGTGACTTCTCTTCTCTGAACCTCAGGAGAGGTTTATTGGAGGACCTGATGGGCATTTGCACAAGATCTGACATACAGGAAGTGCCTGAAAAACAGCTATCATTATTAGTGGTATGCACAACTCATTTGTCAGAGGAAGACACTGAAGCTTGGAGAGGCAGTGCGAGCTTTGCAGCAGAGCCTGGGACCTGCCTAGGGAGTTGGGCACTGTGGGGCTCCCTGGAACAAGGGAGACCCCAGGAGGCTACTTGCTGGGAGGCTGGGCCCATGCCTGCTCCAGGAAGGTCCTCCCCGACTGCCCTGGCCCCCTCACCCACAAATGACACGAAGCTGGTCTTATCCACAAGTATCCAGATACCGAAGCAGAAAATTAGGCTGCCTAGGACCTGGGGAGAGGAGACGAGAAGACGGTGGTGAACAAGTAGGGATACAAAGTGGGGTGGCTGCGGCTTGGGCTGGGTAGACAGACAACTTACGAAAAAGAAGAGGTTGAAAACGAAGAGGAGGTACTTGGTGAAGCTGAGGCAGCTGTCCTGGGCCGACATCTTCGACTGGAGGGGTGAGTGATCAGAAAAGGCGTTGGCAGTGGGGAGACAGAAAGAAGTCTTGAATGAGAGGAAGAGGCTGAGAGACAGAGAAAGGAAGAACACAGAGAAAGAGGAAGTGCCAGGGGTGGAGCCTCACCTCCTCCCTCTACACACAAGGTGGTTTTATTCTGTCTCTGTCCCTGTCTCCCTCAACCACCCCACTGGGACACACATACCCCAGTACCTGAGGGTTCTTGGAATTTATGGACACCAAGTGCATGCTGGGCAGTTCCTCCCAGGTCTCCATGGCTCAGGCTGGGGACTCACAGGGACTCCTGATCTACCAGTACCCACTTACTCTGGGCACCAGGACCCCAGGCTGGTCCTGGCCAGCAGCCGACCTCACAGACACTCTGACCTCATTGCCTGCTAAGCTCTGCCATCTCTGCATCCATCTCTGTCCCCACTTCCCAGCCCTGAGTCTCTTGTCCTTCCCTCTCTGGTTTCTGTTCCCTTCTCTCTGAGTCTCTATCTCCTCTCTGAGTCTCTGTTCCCCTCTCTGGATTTCTGTCTTCCCCAACCTCAGAGTCTCTATCCTCTCCCTTTCTGGGTTTCTGGCCCTTTGTCTCTGAATGCTTGTCCTCCTTTCTCACCCCCACCGCTTTCTGTCATTGCCCCTCAGAGTCTGCATCCTGTTTTTGGCCACAAGTGTGGACCAGGTGCTCTTCTGTGCTGGGGCAGAGGCTGGGCACCTGGGGGAAGTGAAAGCGCTGCAGGCCCCAAGTGGGAAGGTCCCTGGGAGTGAGACGGGTGGCTGGGCAGTGCCAAACACCCAGAGCGGAAGCTGAGCCTCAGGCAGTACTTCCTGCCTCTGCAGTGGGGGCCCTAGAGGGGGAGGCCCCAGAGGAGCCAGGATTGAGCCTGGGACCTTGGCAGTTAGATCCAGGTTTGCAGTACCTGATCGTCTCTAGGCCTGAGCTGAATGCCTAGCAGCTTCTAAAGTTTCCCTTGATATCCCATAGGCTCCCCGCTCTTGTCAAGTCCAAAATCCTCACGGATTTCCAACCTAGGTGAGGGATGTTACTACCATCCTGACATCCACCCCAGCCCTAGTAAACCAGCCCCTTAGACATACAATGCCCTTCTGAAAGATCTCATCTGCTATCCACGCCCCCCCCCCTTTTTTTATCCTCACCTGAGGACATTTTTCCATTTTTTATTTTATTTTTTTTATCCTCACCCGAGGACATTTCTCCATTTTTTGTTCAGAGTGGGAGGAAGAGGAAGAGAGAGAGAGAAACATCGACGTGAAAGACACATCGAGTGGCTGCCTCCCGCACGACCAACCAGGGCCGGGGACAAACTGCAACCGAGGTACGTGTCCTTAGCGGGAACCGAACCCAGGCCTCTCTGGACCACAGGCCGACGCTCTAACCGCTGAGCCAAACTGGCCAGGGCCATTTTTCCATTTTTGCTCAGACAGAGTGGGAGGGAAAGAGAGGAAGAGAGAGACAGAGAGAGAAACATCAACGTGAAAGGAACACATCAAGTGGCTGCCTCCCGCACAACCTCAACTGTGGCCGGGGACAAACTGCAACCAAGGTATGTGCCCTTAGCGGGAACCGAACCTGGGTCTCTCTGGACCGCATGCCGACGCTCTAAATGCTGAGCCAAACCTGCCAGGGTTGCCATCCCTTTTTTAAGGCTCAAAATGCTATTTATTTTCTTATTGTCATAAAAAAAATCAATTCATATTAATAGTATTCTTATTTTAAAAAATACATTATTGCCTCTTTTCATTTTTTAAAAAAATTTTAATTGATTTTTTGAGAGAGAGAGAGAAATTTCGAAGTGAGAGAAACACCCATTGGCTGCCTCCTGCACGCCCCCTATTGGAGATGAAGCCCCCAACGCCAGCGTGTGCCCTGACCAGGAATCCAACCAGGACCTCTCAGTCCATGGGACTGACACTCAATTCACTGAACCACATGGGCTGGACAATAGTATTCTGATTTTTTTTTTTTTATCCTCACCTGAGGACATTCCTCGATATTTTGTTCAGATAGAGTGGGAGGGAGAGAGAGAGAGAGAGAAAGAGAGAGAGAGAAAGAGAGAGAGAGAGAGAGAGAGAGAGAGAGAGAGAGAGAGAGAAACACCGATGTGAGAGAGACACATGGATTGGTTGCCTCCGCAGGACCCTGACCAGAGCTGGAGGGAACCTCAACTGAGGTAGAGATACTGCCCTTGACGGGGATGGAGCCCCCAACTCTTTGGCCAACTTTTTGGTCCACCCACCGCCCAGGCTCTAAGCATAGAGCCAAACCGGCCAGGGCTAAATTATTAGTAGTATTATTGTTATTTTTTATCCTCACCCGAGGATATATTTTCATTTTTTGTTCAGATAGAGCAGGAGGGAGAGAAAGGAAGAGAGAGATAGAAACATCGATGTGAAAGGGACACATCGAGTGGCTGCCACCCGCACGACCCAACCAGGGTCGGGAACAAACTGCAACCGAGGTACATGCCCTTAGCGGGAACCGAACCAGGGTCTCTCTGGACCGCAGGCCGAGGCTCTAACCGCTGAGCCAAACCGGCCAGGGCTATTATTATTATTATTTTTAGATTTCACATATAAATGACATTTTTTTTTTTTTTCTGTCTGGCTAATTTCACCTAGCATAATGCCCTCCACTTTCCTTCATGTTGTCGGAAATGGTAGAATTTCCCTCTTTTTGGTGGCTGAATAATCCGGCACTTTGTGTGTGTGCGCGCGAGGGGTGGGAGTGGGTGGGGGTGGGGGATGAAGTGGGGGTGCTAACGGTTCAAAGCGCGAAAAGACAAAATCCTAAGCGCATGCGTGTGCGTGCATGGAGCGAGGGAGGGAGGGAGGAAAGGTGTTGGAAAGGGCAGAGGGCAGAACCGGCTGCCAGGTCACGTGGAAGTCACGTGCGTGGAGCGCTGCGCATGCGTGCGTGAAGGGCGGCGCGTGCGCAGAGGAAGTGCGAGAAAGGCGGCTGCTGTGGTGGAGCGAGGAGCGTCCGGCGCTCGCGAGGCCTGAAGGGGCCTGAGATGGTCGCTAGATTTCTTGATTGAAGCTTCTTCACCCTCGTTTTCGCCTAACTGACCAGACTGAAGAGGCCATGTCTGGAGGCTAGGGTGAGGATGATTTGGCCCTAGGGAGCCTCGAAACAAACGTTCATATATCTGGGGTATAGGAAGCTGGGCGTCATCCCTCAGGGGAACAGTCCACGGATGGGAGTCTCCTGGCCACCCCGGCGTCTGTGGAACTGAGGATTCAGAGAGGCCTCAGAGGTCCCTCCTTTTTTCTCCCCTAGGACCCATGAAGCTGGCTTTAGCCCTTTTGCTCATCGAGTCTGACTTTGAGCCAATTCCAAGGCCTTCACGGGCCTTGGCAGTCAGGCCCTGCCCACTGGGGAAACCAAACTCACTGGTGAAACGCGTTGGTTCAAGTTCCCAGACAGGACACATCAGGTCCAACCCCACCACAGGACTGTTAAGGACATACAAGTTACTTCCTGGGCCTTGAGGAATCTGGATAGCAGCTCCTTTTTCTCTTTGGAGGTTATAGTTCCAAGGAAGGAGGTAAACAGACATTTCTGGGAGACCCGAGCACTTCCCAGAAGGCTTGAGCCCAGAGGAGCAATTGCTGGGAAAGACGATGTTGGGTCTGGCACGTTGGACCATCACCAGGACCTGTCCAGACAAGAAGGGTCTGCCAGGAAACCACGGGGCTTTATAGGTGTCACAAATGGCCAGTTTGCAGAATCTCAGTTTGTCAAAACCAGTTCTGTCCCTGAAGGGTTAGATTACCAAAAAAACAAAACAACCCCCAAAACTTGTTTTAAGGAATATACTTTTTGAATGTGTTCAAGAAAGGCATATATATATTTGTTAATCCTCACTCGATATTTTTTTCCATTGATTCTTAGAGTGGAAGGGGAAGTGAGAAAGAAACATCGATGTGTCCCTCTCACATCAGTTGGTTGTCTCCCGCACCAAGCTGGGAGTGTAACCCTGGTAGGTGTGCCCTTGACTGGGAATCAAACCCACACCCCTGTGGTGCATAGGCTGACGCTCTAACCACTGCTCAACACTGGCCAGGGCTCTAGTTTTATTTTTTGAACCTGTTTAATCACTTTTTATAGAGTGCTGTTTTCTGCAGATATTTTTCTTTTTCTTTATTGATTTTAGAGAGAGGGAGAGAGAGAACCATTGATGAGAGAGAACATCCACTGGCTGCCTCTTGCATGTCCCCTACTTGGGAATGAGCCCACAAACTGGACCTGTGCCCTGACCAGGAATCGAACCAGCGACCTCTGGATGCATGGATCGACACTCAACCACTGAGCCACACCAGCCAGGCTCTGCAGATATTTTTAATTTTTTCATTTATTTCTTTAAAAATGGAAACCAGTTATTTTATTGACTTTCTCTAATGATTCCAATATTTGATGTTTTTGCTAATTTGATTCTGCCACCTGTTGTTTCTGTCAGTTCTCACTAGTGGTGCCTTATTTTGCTGCGTGCCATGCTTCTCCTTGTTCCTGACAAATTATGTGTAGGGAGAATTTAAGGCCTTAGAATGTAGGTGTCTTACTTAGTCCGAGGAGGACTTTCGTTTGTTTCTGCAGAGTACCTGGGGACGCCATTAGTCTTGTATCACTTATACTTAATTAATGAGGGTTTAGAAACCACAGTAATATCTCCCTAAAAAAATCAGGGACCGTCTTTAATAGCCTTAACTAAAATTATAACATCAAAAATTATGACATTTCCAATCATAAAAAATTCATCAAGATAAATCATATTGCATAACTCCTAAAGGAAAAAAAGCTGAGGGAACTCATGGGTAATTTTCACAGTTTCATTGTGAAATCCAAGATCAAAAGATGGCTGGTTTTCTTTTTTAGACTGGACATAAGATGCACACATGATAGTTGTTTTAGCTGTTACTCCACATACTTCCACGATTCCAGAGATTTCTTCATCAAGGGGCTCCATTAATCAATGGTTCCATTTTTTTCTTTTCTCTATCTGAAAGAATAAGCATTTTTCCAGTGGGATGACTCTCTCAACAAAGCAAATGGGCCAGTTGATGATTGAGCTAGCATGCACGACTTAATCAACTCCATCACTGTAGCTGTTTTTTGCTTTCTTTCTTTTTAAAAAAATTATTCCTGCCCTGGCCGGTTTGGTTCAGCGGTTAAAGCGTCGACCTGCGGTCCTGAGAGACCCGGGTTCGATCCCCACTAAGGGCGCGTACCTCGGTTGCAGTTTGTCCCCGGCTCTGGTCAGTCGTGCGGGTGGCAGCCACTCGATGTGTTCCTTTCACGTTGATGTTTCTCTCTCTCTCTGTTCCTCTCTCTCCCTCCCACTCTACCTGAACAAAGAATGGAAAAATGTCCTCGGGTGAGGATAAAAAAAAAAAATTATTCCTACGCATTTAATTAATTAATTAATATGTTTTATCCTCTCCCGAGGACATTTTTCCATATTTTATTCAGATAGAGTAGGAGGGAGAGAGAGAGAGAAGCATCGACGTGAAAGAGACACGTTGAGTGGTTGCCACCCACACGACCCAACAAGGGCCGGGGACAAACTGCAACCGAGGTATTTGCCCTTAGCGGGAACCGAACCTGGGTCTCTCTGGACCACAGGCCGACACTCTAACCGCTGAGCCAAACCGGCCAGGGCTCTTTTTATCTCTCCAATAAGCTGCCTGGAAAATTCTAACTTACTCCCTGAAACACTGAACCACTTTATCAGGGAGGATAGATGTGACTTAACCCCTCAGTGACTACAATTTGGTCCTATCTATTGTGTATGTAGCAGAGTTTTGTGTTTTTAATTTTTTTTTTTTTTTTTGCATTTATCTTCAGATAGAGCAGGAAGGAGAGAAGGAGGAAGAGAGAGAGAAACATAGATGTGAGAGAGACACATTGACTGGCTGCCACCCACACAACCCCAACTGGGGCTGGGGACAAACTACAACCAAGGTATGTGCCCTTAGCGGGAACTGAACCTGGGACTTTCTGGTCCGCAGGCCAATGCTCTAATCGCTGAGCCCAACCAGCCAAGGCTGTGTTTTTAAATATTTTTAAATTGATCAGAGAGAGAGAGAGAGAGAGAGAGAGATGAAAAAGAAACATCGATCAGTTGACTCCTGCACACACCTCAAATGGGGATTGAACCCGAAACCTGGGCATGTGCCCTGACTGGGAATCAAACGTACCACATTTTGGTGTAAGGAATAATGCTCCAACCAACTGAGCCACACTGGCCAGGGCCGAATTTTCTTTGTTTTTAACATGAAGATGGAAACTTTTTTCCAGAAATGCTGCAAATATCTCTATATTTTTTATTTATTTATTTATTTATCCTTGCCTGAGGGCATTTTTCGATATTTTGTTCAGATAGAGTGGGAGGAAGAGAGAGAGAAGGACACATCGAGTGGTCGCCACCCATACAACCCCACCAGGGCTGGGGACAAACTGCAACCAAGGTAGTGCCCTTAGCAGGAACCGAACCCGGGTCTCTCCAGACCTCAGGCCGACGCTCTAACCGCTGAGCCAAACCGGCCAGGGCTATCTCTATATTTTTAATATTTTTAAATCATACTTGTTTTTTTCTTGGGTGTGGGGAGGTTGTGGATAAGTTTGGACATTGGTGTTCATATAACTATGTTTCCTAGAAGACAATTCCTTTTGTTTTTATGGTGAATGGTAGGAGTGGCAGGGAACTTGCCAGTATTTTTTATTTTCGTATTTAATAATTTATTTTTTAAGAGCAGTATTAGGGTCACAGCAAAATTGAGAAGAAAGTACAGATAGTTCTGATATACCTCCTGTCCCCACATATGCATACCCTCCCTCATTCTCAATGTTCTCTACCTGCATGGTATATTTGTTACAACTGATGAACCTATACTGGCACATTGTAATCACTCAAAGTCAGTAATTGTTTAGGGTTCACTCTTGGTGTTGTACATTCTATAGGAGTGAACCCTAAACAAATGTATAATGACATATAGCCACCATTATAGCATTGTACTGAGTGTTTTCACTGCCCTCAAAATATTCTGTGCTCCAGCTTTTCATCCTCCCCCACCCCCCAAATCCTGGTAATTACTGATCTTTTTACTGTCTCCATAGTTTTGCCTTTTCCAGACTGCCCTATAGTTAGGAACATACAGTATGTAGCTTTTATAGGTTGCTTCTTTTACTTAATAATATACATTTTAGGCTCCTCCATGTGTTTGCAACGCTGAATAATATTCTATTGTCTGGATGTAACCACAGCTTCTATTTGCCTACTGAAGGCCATCTTGGTTGTTTCCAAGTTTTGGCAACTGAATAAAGCTGCTATAAACATTCATGTTCAGGATTTTGTATGGACATAAGTTTTCAACTCTCTAGGATAAATACCAAGGAGCACAATTGCTGGATCTTATGTTAAGCGTATGCTAAGTTGTTGTTTTTTAGTGCAAGTTTTTTTTCCCCCCTTTATTGATTTTAGAGAGAGAGGAAGCGAAAGGGAAAAAGATAGAAACATCGATGAGAGAGAACATGGATTGGCCGCCACCTGCATGACCCCCAATGGGGATTGGGCCCACAATCTGGGCATGTGTCCTGACCAGGAATTGAACTGGCGACCTCTTGGTGCATGGGTAGACTCTCAACCACTGAGCCACACCAGCTGGAGAAGAGTATGCTAAGTTTTATAAGAAACTGCCAAACTGTCTTTTCATGTGGCTGTACTATTTTACGTTTCCACCAGCAATGAATGAGAGCTCCACATCCTCACCAGCATTTGGTGCTATTACTATTCTGGATATTGGTCATTCTTATAGATGGGTATAGTGCTATCTCATTGTTGTTTGAGTTTGCATTTCCCTGATGAGATATGATGTGGAACATCTTTTCCTATGCTTATTTGCCATCTGCATATCTTCTTTGGTGAGGTGTCTGTTAAGGTCTTTGGCCTACTTTTTTTTTTTTGGTATGTGCCCCTAGCTGCTAGGGCCTAGCGGGAACTGAACCCGGGACTCTCTGGTCCGCAGGCCAACGCTCCAACCGCTGAGCCAAACCAGCCAGGGCAAGGTCTTTGGCCTACTTTTAAATCAGTTTTTTTTTTTTTTTTTTTTTTATTGCTGAGTTTTAAGAGTTTTTTATATTTTTTGGATAACATTTATCAGATGTGTCTTTTGAGAATATTTTCTGTCAGTGGCTTGTCTTCTCATTCTCTTTACAGGGATGGCATTGACTCTATAGATCAAGTTGGGAAAAGCTGACATCTTAGTAACACTAAGTTCTGCTATTTATCCTATTCATGAACATGAAACATCTCTCTATTTAGTTCTTTGATTTAATTAATCAATTTTCTACATATCGATTTTGAACATATTTTGTTAGATTTATATCTAAGAATTTCACTTTGAAAGGTGCTAATGTAAATGGAATTATGTTTTTAGTTTCAAATTCTACTTGTTCATTGTTGTTATATAGGAAAGTGATTGACTTTTGTATATTAACCTTGTATCCTGCAACCATGCTATAATAGCTTATTAGTTCCAGGACATTTTTGTCTATTCTTTTGGATTTCTCCATAGACAATCATGTCATCTGTGAACAAAGTCAGTTGCATTTCTTCTTTCCCAATGTGTGTGCCTTTTATTTCGTCTTACTGCATTAGCTAGGACTGTAGTATGATGTTGAAAGGAGTCAGTGAGAGAGGACATCCTTGCTTTGTTCCTGCTTTTATTTTATTTATTTGTTTATGTTTTTTTAAAATCCTCACTTGAGGATATTTTTCCATTTATCTGCAGATAGAGTGGGAGGGAGATAGAGGGAGAAAGGGAGAGAGAGAGAAACATCAAAGTGAGAGGGACATATCGACTGGTTGCCTCCTGCAGGATCTTGACCAGGGCCAGGGACTGAACCACAACCGAGGTACGTGCCCTTGACCAAATGGAACCTGCAACTCTTTGGTCTGCAGGCTGACGCTCTAACCACTGAACCAAACCGGCCAGCGCAGGTTTGCTAGTATTTTATTGAGGATTTTTCTAACTTTATTAATGAAAGATATTGGTCAGTAGTTTTCTGTAATGTTTTTTGGTTTTGGGGTAATGCTGGTCTCATTGAATGAGTTAGGAATCATTCCCTCTGTTTCTATCCTCTGAAGGAGATTGTACAGAAGTTGTATAACTTCTTCCTTAAATATTTGTTACAATTAATCAGCGAATGTATCACATCCTGGTTTTTATTTCATTTTATTTTTCAGCACGCTCCCTGCCCATTCTCTAATAGAGTATTTGAGGAGCCAACAAAAGGTCAGAGTGGTGGAAATACAGAGAGCAGAGAGGAGAGTGACTCCAAATATGAGGTACAGCACCATCCTCTTGCTGGGGATAGAGCAATTGGGGAGGAGGGGGATATAGACAATAACTAGACTAACAGCCAATAATTAATTACATCAGGAGGTGAGAAATGCTATGAAGAAAAATAAAAGTGGGCAGGATGGAGAGAGTGCTGGATAGGTAGGCTGTTATTTTAGATAGATTGGCAGGGAAGGCATCTCTAGTGAGGTGATATTTGAGCAGAGACCAGGGTGTTTTACAGATGAGAAAGCTCAGGGAGGGAAAGCAACTTTCCTAAGGTTACAAGGCTGATTTAGTATTAAATTGGTTTCTTTGATTCAGAAGCCCACTAAAATGGTACCTCCCTCTGTAGGGAGTACACCTCAATTTTTGAATGGGATTCCTGACTATTATTAGCTTGCTTATCTCTACTCTTATCTCTTGTACCAAAGCACTTCTAAGAAGTAAAACTTACATAAGAGTATAGTTTATGTTTTGCATGTCAGTGGTGGTAGGGACAGAAATAAAAGATTTGCTTGAAGGAGGTGTTGAGGATTATTTTATTCCTTGACTCTAAAATCTAAAATCTAGTTTTTGGTGTCCTTAAGGTCTACTCAGGAAGGCAGACCCTATCCTGAAAAGGTGGGAGCTTCTCCAGAGAGTCTGCCTGGAAGAAAGACAGAGGTCTCATCTTCAGAATCTTCACAGGCAAAAGTCTCATCTACTGCTTCAACCCTTTTAGAGAGTTTCTCAGAAAGCCAAGCTTGGGAAAACAAGGACACAGCGACCTGGTCTCTTGTGCCCTGTTTTTCAGAGACTCCGGCTATGGAGGGCCAAACTAAGAAGGCTCAGGACTGGGGAACTCAGACTTGTGAGGCTCAGATAAATGACAGCCAATCCAAGCAAACCTCTATATTTGAGATGGAGGAAACTGCCCCAGTCCTGAAACAGAAACCCTCACTTAAGAAGATGGATGTGCCAGAGAAAGAAGAGCATGAGGTCGTCTACTCCCGTCCACTCTGGTCCAACAAATTTGAGTACATCCTGGCCCATTTGGGCTATTCCATGAGAGCAGTCAATCAGTGGCGATTTGCCCACATGTGGCTTCACCATGGAGGTTGTAAGTCTGGGGACCGAGAATCATGGGTGCACAAGAGGCTAGCAAAACAGGCCTATCCAGGCCTCAAACTCCAAGGTCTCTGAGATCTGTAGAGGCTAGAGACCTGGTACTCTGAGCAGGATAGGAACCAGGTGCCCGAACACCAAGGATTGTGAGGGGATAGAGGTACAGAGTATATTAACATGAGGACAGTGGTGCTAGAATCCTGTATCAGGGTTGAGGGTGGAAACTGTATCTGGGTCTTCAGGAACTGGGGCCAAGAGGCTGGACATCTGGGACTGTAAGGGATGTGGAAATAGTTGAGTCTCGATGCCTGTGGCCCTGAGGGAGATCACTGGTGGGGAATGTGTTTTTCCGGACTCCCAAAGAAGTCCAAGCACTGAAAAGCCAGATGGTTCTCAGAGTACATCCTTAAATCCCCTGCACAGGGAGTTTTTTCATCATCTACATCTTCTTGACGTTCTTGATCGGGATTCCTCTCCTCTTCCTGGAGATGGCAGTTGGTCAGAGGATGCGTCAGGGCAGCATTGGTGCATGGAAGATCATTTGCCCCTGGGTTGGTGGTGTGGGGTATACCAACTTCATGGTGAGAAGCCCTGGGTTGCCCAGGCCTGCCCTTTATACCCCACCCCCATTCTAACCTTTTTTCTGGAATGGGTCCTCTGATTTCACTTCCATGGGTCAAGTCCCTTTAGTTCCCCAATCCTCTGTCACATCCCCTCCTTTTTCCTATCCCCATCTTTCCTCCCCAGCCACCGCCTTCCTGGCCCCACAGGTGTGCCTCATCACTGCCATATACTTGAATGTGGTCAACGCCTGGACTCTTTCCTACTTGAGCCAGTCCTTCCAGTTTTCCGTTCCATGGGAGCATTGTCCTCTACTGAAGAACTCCAGTGACTTTGGTGAGGAGGAAATAAGAGAAGGAGAAAGGGGAACAGAAAGGTGGAAGGGAATTTGGAAGAGGAGAAAGAAACAAGGAGGGATAAAGAAGAGGCAGGTAGTAGAAGAAGAAGAAATGAGAGGAAAGGGATGTGGGGAAAGGGCTAATGAAGAGGGGAAGGGTCACTCTGTCTAGCAAGCGAGTCCAAAGCCAGATACCCCCAGATCCTGAATGTGCACGGACAACGCCCTCCATGTACTTCTGGTACCGGATGACCTTGAAGGCCACAGACAAAATTGAGGATGGTGGGCCACCAGTCTTCAGTTCGTTCCTGCCTCTTTTTGTGTCTTGGTGTATTGTTGGTGCTTTCATGATTAATGGGCTCAAGTCCATTGGGAAGGTGAGCCACCATTTTTGGATTCCTTAACAGTCTCAGATACTTTAGCCCTCATCTAACATTATTTCTCATTGATCTGATTTCTTACTCCCTCTGGCCTTTCACTCCCACTAGGCCCTGAACCCCGCTGAAAGCTGTCCTCTAACTCCTCATTTCTGGCTCAGAATTTTTTATCCACGCGAACTGTTGTTTGACCCCCCTCCCCTATTGGTACATGATTGCTGATATGCCCCACTCTCAATTCAGGTACTGTGTATCTTGGTACCAACGTCCTATATCATCATGATATGTTTCGTCATCCGGAGTGTACTGCTGGATGGGGTAAAATTTGGCCTTCAATATTTGGCACTTGTGAAGGTAAGACATATATTCTTTACTCCCCTATCAGATTTTAGAGAACACCTATTGTCTACTTATAGGTGTCCTTTCCCCATTATCTCCCTCAGTATCCTTTATTTTGTTAAGGTTTTCCTCTTCTTTGACATCTCTTCTTATTCTTGTCTTCTTTCTTTTAGATATCGGCTATGTACAACGTGAAAGTGTGGTGCCATGCAGGGATCCTAGTCTTGTTGGCCTTGGGTCTCGGCTATGGCCCCATTGTCTCTCTAGCCTCACACATAGAGCTGTCCAACAACTGTCTCAGAGATGCCTTTCTTGTGGCTCTGGTCAACCTAGGCCTCATGATGATTACCACAACCTTTATCTTCTGTGTCCTGGGCTTCTGGTCCACAGTCATCACGTACAACTGCAATGTGAAGTAAGGCCAGCCCCTTAGTTGAGAGTCTCAGCCTCAGGGAACTACAAAACCCAGGGAACCTAACTGTACAGGTGCTGCAAAGACCCATATTCACACGTCCCAAGTGCAATTGCAACCTCAGGTGCCCTTGCAAGCCTCTGCTTTCTCCTAGAATGAAAAACAGAGACAGTAGAATCCCAGTCACATATTATCCTTCTCAGAACCCCTTCCTAGCCCTAGAAGTCTTCAAACAGAGATTACCAACTGCTCACCTCAGAGTACCGCCACAGAGATATGCTAAAAGTGGCAGACATTCTAGTCCCAGACAGCTTCTAAGACCACACCCTTCTGAATACCCTTCTACTTCCTAATGCCATCATTCTTTACTGTCATTTCCTGAATTTAGGGATTTCAGTCAATCTGTCATACTTAAGCCCCAACAGGACTCTCAGAATTAGAGCCTTTATTATCTTCTCAGCCCTGTTTTATTCTGTAGGCATTAATCAAAACATCCCTCAGGCATTTCAAAAGTACTCTTTGTGTGCTACAGAAACTTGGACAGGTGAATCAGACCACAGTCGTTGCCTTCATTGTGTTTTCAGTTATGAAGGGAGAAAGGGAGAGGGTTTAGATACTTAATCAGATAGTCATAAACTCATGATAACCAGTAGCAGGCGTGATGGGGAGGACAGAGGACAGAGCCATTAACTGTCTGGGCTAGTCAGAGAAGGACTTCTAGAGGAGGTAAACCTAAGCTGAATATGTTCCTAGTAATCCTAACCTATGCAAATAACCACCATTATCTTCTAGAAGAAGCCTGGGCATATACATATACACACGCGCAAGATTTCTGTAGGGTATATACTAAGGAATGGAATTGCTGGGTAAGGTATACACACCTTTAATCTTACTGTCTCTTCTGATTTTCAAAGTGGTTTATGATGTGTGAGAACTCCATGCATTCTACTTCCCACACAATACTGGAGTAAACTTGCTCAAACTTAAAAATTTTTCTGCCAGTCCTGTGGGAGTGTAATGTTATTTTATAGTGTTTTAAAAAACATGTTATTATATGGTATTATATACATATAGAAACATGCATAAGGCATTATGTGCAGTGTAAAGAACTATAAAATAGCCCTGGCCAGTGTTGCTAAGTGGTTAGAGCATCAGCCCCCACACCAATGGGTTGCAGATTCAATTCCCCATCAAGGGCTTGTACCTAAGTTGCACATTTGATCCCCAGCCCCGGTTGGGGCAGGTTCGGGAGGCAACCAATCGATGTGTCTCTCTTACATCTATGTTTCTCTCCTTCCCTTCTATTCTCTCTAAAAATCAATGGAAAAAATATACTCGGGTGAGGATTAACAGCAACAATAACAACCAAAACCCCCCAAAAAACTGTAAAATAAACACCAGCATGTTAAGAACTGGAATGACCCTAGAAGCTCTCCACATATCTCTATAACTGCTTTCCTCCTTCCCAGATGTACCACTGTCCTGACTTTATGATAATTAGTTCTTTTTTCTTTATGTTTTATTATCTTGTATGCATATCTAAGCAATATAGTTTTGTGTGTCTATTTACATAATTTATTCATTTATATATGCATTCTCTTTGTATTCTTTTGTATTTTACTTTCATTCAATATACGTTTGCAAGATTTATCCATATTGTTATGTGTAGGTCTAATCTGTGCCTTTTAATGCTGTATGATGTTCCAGCATATGAATATATCACAATTTATTTATCCATTCTACTATTGATGAACATTTGGAGTGTTTCCAGTTTGGGGCTGTTAAGACCGTGCTGCTCTAAACATTCTTTTCTTATCCTCATCCAAGGATATTTTTGCATTTATCTTTAGAGAGAGTGGGAGGGAAAGAGGAAGGAAGAGAGAGAGAGACACATAGAGTGGTTGCCACCCACACAACCTCAACCGGGTCCGGGGACAAACTACAACCGAGGTACGTGCCCTTAGCAGGAACCAAACCCAGGACTCTCTGATCCTCAGGTTGATGCTCTAACCGCTGAGCCAAACCGGCCAGGGCTAAACATTCTTTTTTTTTTTTAATCCTCACCCGAGGACATTTCTCCATTTTTTGTTCAGATAGAGTGGGAGGGAGGGAGGGAAGGAGAGAGAGAGAGAGAGAGAGAGAGAAAGAATCATCCATGTGAAAGGGACACATCGAATGGCTGCCTCCCACATGATCCAACCAGGTCTGGGGACAAACTGCAACCAAGGTACGTGCCCGTAGTGGGAACCGAACCCGGTTCGCTCTGGACCACAGGCTGACGCTCTAACCGCTGAACGAAACTGGCCAGGGCTAAACATTCTTATACATGGTCCTCATGTACTATGTATGTACATATCTTATTTTGCAAATATTTTCTCTCATTCTGTGACTTGTCTTCTCATTCCCTTGATAAAATCTTTCACAGAGCAGTTTTTAAAAAAATATCTTTTCTTTATTTATTTTAGAGAGAGAGGAAGAGAGAGGGAGATAAAAATAGAAACATCAATGAGAGAGAACGATTGGCCACCTCCTGCATGCCACCCATTGGGATTTGGGCCCACAATCTGGTCATGTGCCCTGACCAGGAATTGAACCGGTCACCTCTTGGTGCATGGGTCGAGGTACTGAGCTACATTGGCCAGGTAGTTTTTTTTAGTTTTAATGCAGTCTAGCTTATCAGTTGTTTCTTTCATGGATTGTACCTCTGGTGTATCTAAAAATGATCATCCCCATATTTAGGGTTATCTAGACTTTTTCCTATGTTATTCTAGGAGTTTTATAATTTTTCATTTTGCATTTAGATCTGTGATCTACTTAGAGTTAATTTTTGTGAAGAGGATAAGGTATGTGTCTTTTTACAGATTATTTTGCATGTGGTGCCCAGTTTTCTAGTTGTTTACAGCGGGAGGAGAAGTTGTACCCCTGTTACTTCATTGCGGCTGGAAGGAGAATTATCCACACTGAATTTTAAATTTTGATTATTTTATTTATTATTATTTTTTATCCTCACCCGAGGACATTTTTCCATTTTTATTTTTGTTCACATAGAGTGGGAGGGAGAGAGAGGAAGAGAAAGAGAGAGAGAAACATTGACATGAAAGGGACACATCGAGTGGTTACCACCCGTACAACCCAACCAGGGCCGGGGACAAACTGCAACCGAGGTACATGCCCTTAGCGGGAACCGAATCCGGGTCTCCTGGAACCACAGGCCAACGCTCTAACCACTGAGCCAAACCAGCCAGGGCTTATTTTTTATTTTAAGAGGTCTGTTTAGTTTTGTTAAATCTTCGAGGTCATATTATGGCTTCTTATTCCCTGCAAATATTTTCAATCTTGTCTTCTGTTATTTAAGCATAGTAAATTTAGTTGTATTATAATCTTCGATAACTCTAACATTTGGAAGTAACTTTAGGTCTATTTTTATTGTGCTATTTTTGATGGTTGTTGCTCCTGGTGTCTTCTTTTTGTGTGATTGGTTGTCTCTATGTTCTATTATTTGACAATTATTTGTAGGAATTCTTTAATGCCCAAGATGAAAGTATATTCATGCAGATAGGACTTTTGTTTCTCCCTGATGCACAGAGACAATAGAAAGAGGATATTTGAAACTTAAAAAGGAGTGAAGGAAGAAAGAAGGCAGGGGAAGAAACTCAGTTCTTGGCTTGAGCTTTTCAGACAACCAGAGTCCAATATCTGGCCTGCATATCAAAGCTAGGGCTGGCTTGTGGTTATAATATGTCAGAAACTTTTAAAATTTCCTTTTGGTATGCTTATTTTGAAAGCAACTTCCCTTGCATTCCTGTTGTGTGGAAGGGTTGGGTGCAAGCTCCTAGTTCATTTTAATATTGAAGGTCTAGCCCTTTGAAGTGCAAGATTTAGGGGAAGAACTTCTAGTCCCAATCCTTACTTTGGGCAGGCTCTGGTGCTTTCTCTCTGACCCCCGTGCTCTTTTTATTTCTCAGTGGTCATGAAACTGGAGACCTCAGTTTGTTGTCTCTGACATATATCTTCTGGGCAAAGTTGCTTTGGACGTCCCCTTTCCCCACTGCTTCTGCCTGTACTTTGATTTTTGTCTAATAATCTCTTATTGTGAACATCTTTATTCTTTTTTTCTATTTATTTATTTAATTACTTTTTTAAACTCATCTTTATTGTTGAATGTATTACAGATGTTTCTCCCTTTTTTCCCATTGATCCCCTCCTTCCCAATCCCGCCCCCCCTTCTGCCTTCCCTACACTATTGTTGGTGTCCATTGTTTATGCATATATGCATAGAAGTTCTTTGGTTTATCTTATCCCACCCTCCCTCCCCTCTTCCCTTTGAGGTTCATCAGTCTAACAACCAATTTGTACTTCTTAATTTCTTCATCTTTTTCACCCATTCCCCTAGCCCCCACCCATCTGGCAAGCAACAAAAAGTTCTCTGTATCTATGAGTCTGTTTCTGTTCAGCTTGCTCATTTTGTTTGTAGATTCAATTGTTGATATGTATTAATTGCCATTTTATTGTTCATATTTTTGTTTTTCTTCACCTTCAAGAAGACCCTTCAACATTTAATACTGGTTTGGTGGTGATGAATTCCTTTAGCTTTTTCTTGTCTGGGAAACTCTTGATATGTCCATTGTCTAAATGATAGCTTTACAGGATAGAGTAATCTTGGTTGTAGGTCATTGCTTTTCATCACCTTGAATATCTCTTGTTACTTCTTTCTGACCTGCAAAGTTTCTTTTGAGAAATCAGCTGACAGTCTTATGGGAGTTCCTTTGTAGGTAATGAACTGCTTTTCTCTTGCTGCTTTTAAGATTCTCTCTTTGTATTTAACCTTTGGCATTTTGATGATGATATGTCTTGGTGTGGACCTCTTTGGGTTCATGTTGTGTGGGATTCTCTACTTCCTAGATCTGTAGATTTCCTTCACCAAGTTAGGGAAGTTTTCTGTCATTATTGTTTCAAATAGTTTTTCAATTTCTTGCTTTCTCTCTTCTCCTTCAGGCACCCCTATGATGCAAATGTTGGCACGCTTTAGTTGTCCCATAGGCTCCTTACACTATCCTCTTTTTTTTTAATTTTTTTATTCTTTTTTCTTTTTGCTGTCCTGGTTGGGTGTTTTCTGCTTCCTTATGTTCCAAATTGATGGTTTGCTTCTTGGCTTTACCTACTGTACTATTGATTCCCTGTAAATTATTCTTTATTTCAGTTAGTGCATCCTTTATTTCTGACTGGCCCTTTTTTATGTTGTTGATGTTCTCACGAAGTTCCTTAGAGGTCTCCTTAAGTTCCTTGAAGGTCTCACTAAGTCCCTTGAATGTCTCACCAAGTTCCCTGAGCAACCTTATAACCTGTGTTTTGAACTCTGCATCTGTTAGATTGCTTATCTCCATTTTTTTTAGTTCTTTCCTTGGAGTTTTGTTATTTTCTTTCATTTGGGACATGTTTCTTTGTCTCCTCATTTTGGATGCTTCCATGTGATTGTTTCTATGTATTAGGAAGAGTTTCTATGCCTCCTAGGCTTCGTAGGGTGGCCTACTATTGTAGGTGTCCTGTAGGATCCGGTGGCACAGTCTCCCTGATCACCCCAGCTGGGCCCTCGAGGTACACCCCTAGCGTGGACTGTACACCCTTCTGTTGTATTTGAGTCTTGATTGCTGTTGGCACATCAATGGGAGGGATTTACTCAGGCTGATCAGTTATAAGGACTGGCTGTGCCCACTAGCCACTGACCTCTGACTACCTTGAGGATCAGCTGTGTGCGGCCCACCACACAGAGCAAGAGTTACTTCAGCAGGGCTCTGGTATCCACTGAGTCCACTCATTGAGTGTGTCACTTGTGGAGGTGGTTGGGTGGTGATGTTTCGATGTGGTCTGAAGCTGTCCATTGGGTGTCCTGGCTCTGGGGCAAGGTTAGCCACTTGCCTGTGCTCTATCCAGGTCCACCTGGCATAAGCTACAAAGTGATCTGCAGATGGCTGTTCTTGTGCTGGGCTTGGAGGTGTCCTGGAAAAGCCAAGTTGTGAACCAAGGCTGGCTGTTTCTAGTGCCGGGTCAGGGGCCACTTAACGAGAGATATGGGGCTCGCTAAGACCAGATGCTGCTTGTTTTGAGAGATTTTAGAAAACTGAAGCAGGATCCAAGACAGGCCAATCCTATGGTAAAGTCTTTGGAAACAGCTTGGGTGGGCCTGAAAGTTGAGTGGGGAAGGGCCTCAGGAAATCGCCAGGGCGGGGCCAACAGTGTGAGCCAGGTTGATGCAGTCCCAGATATGGCGGCTCTCTGCCTGCCCTGTGGGAGAAGGGCTCACCAAAGGAACAATGGCCTCCACCAGCATGTCTGTCCAGGAGAAAGCTGCCTCTCCAGCCCTTGTCCCAAGGCCAAACAGCTCAGTTCTTCCCTGTTCTCTGGTGCCCCTCAAGCTGCCTCCCCTCTGAGCTCAGAGGGAGCAAGTCTGAGTGAGTCCTTGTGTGGGCCCTTTAAGAGGAGCTGCCTGGGGCTTCCACAGCTGCAGCCTCCCTCTGCCTCAGTTCCTTCTGGTTTGTACAGCAAGAAGTTATGGGGACTTCTCTTCCTGGCACTGGAACCCTGAGTGGGGAGCCTGGTGTGGGACTGGGACTCCTCACTCCTCAGGGAGGACCTTCCCAGCCAAGGTGTCCTCCTGATTTTTATCCACCACACGTGGGGGTGGGACCAGCCTGTCCGTGCCTTCGCCCTTCCTACCAGTCTCGATGTGTGTGATGGCTGCTTTAATTTTGTAGTTGTTGGACTTCCATTCAGTTCGATTTCAGGCAGTTCTGAATGATGGTTGGGTTGTAGTTTCGTTGTAATTTTGATATGGTTGTGGGAGGAGGCGATACCGCATTTACCTATGCCGCCATCTTGACCGGAAGTCAACATTTTAATTCTTTTAAGAAGATTAAAAATTGTCTACCAGACTTTTAAATTGTTTTCAATGAGAAGGTTGGTCCAGATATTTAACTTACCTGTTACCAGAAGAACGCACAGTATTTTCTTTTCTAAAATGTGATCAAATTATACTTTTCCTGCAGCTTGAATTTTGCTGACAAGCCTTCCATTGCAGTAATTCTGGAGCAATGAGTTGAATTTTATTTTTTTTAATCCTCACCAGAGGACATTTTTCCATTTTTTGTTCATGTAGAGTGGGAAGGAGAGAGAGGAACAGAGAGAGCGAGAGAAACATCGATGTGAAAGAAACACATCGAGTGGCTGCCAGAGCCGGGGACAAACTTCAACCGAGGTACATGCCCTTAGCGGGAACCGAACCCGGGTCTCTCAGGACCACAGGCTGACGCTCTAACCGCTGAGCCAAACCGGCCAGGGCCAATGAGTTGAATTTTTAAGGATTGGTAGGAATTAGCCAAGTGAAGAATGGTGGTGGCAGGTGTGGGTTAGTCTTGGGCATGAGAGGCCATGGCAGGCCCTAAAACTATAAGTAGTTAAGTCTGACCACAGCATGAAATGTACAAAGGGTCAGGGGGGAAGATAAGGGAACTTGTCAGCAGAGCTCAGATCAAAAAGTCCAAGAAGCAATTACTCTCTCTGGTTCAACTCCATGGGAGAATTCTGCACACCATCATCTAAGTAAATGATTCTCCCTGATATTCTTAGAAGGTTGACTTTTACCTATTAGTCTAAGATAGGAGGAAGGGCAGAGGTAGTGGGTGAATAAGAGACTTCATCCCTAGAGCAGGGACCCAGAGTCTCCAAGAAGATTATAGGAAAGATGTCTCCCGGAGTCCCCCATGGTAATAAATTCTCCAGGTTCACACAAATTCATGACCCTGAAGGTGGGTGCCTTCTCAGTTTCATCCCAGGCTCTACCTTATCCAGATCAGTAATGCTAGGCTAGTGATGTCTTTTCTTATCTGGAAGATAAGGGAAAAGGAGGCAGTCTCCTAAGGAGCCAAATGGTTCTGTGTGATTCAACTCTTTATCCCCAGGAATGCTGAAATACTTTCGAGGCTGGTAGACCTGGGGAAACTGCCTCCTGAGGCTCAACCCCCTCTATTCACGGAAGGTAACCTGGTCTTCACCTTCACCTCCTGGCTCAACAAACTTCCCCAGCCCATCAAGAGTATGGTTGTCAGCCAGATTAATGAGTGCAACTTAGAGAAGCAGTTTATGAAGGTCAGTAAAAATAGGTGAGCTGAGCCAAGAGTTCCTCAATGCCTTCCGTAAAACAGAAATCTCATTTTATTAGCACCTGAAAAAAATCCCAGAAACATCAGAATAACCTGAAGCCCTGGTAATGCAAAGAACTGTAGCTTGCAGAATGCCCTTCCATGGATAATGCTAGGTGGACTGGTTTTCCATGTCAGAGGGTCAGGTTGGAGATCTGATTTTCTCAGTGACCCTGATTTAGGGAGTTTTCCAAGGAAAGTAGAATGTATTTTTATCTGTATTGTTGTTGTTAAGTTCAAGGACATTTTAACTCCTGCCTTTTCTCCCTTTCACAGGTTACAGAGGGCCCAAATTTTATATTCCTGGCCTTCATTGAAGCCATGTCATTTACTCCTGGGTCTGTCTTCTGGTCCATCCTCTTCTTCCTGATGTTTCTGAATACGGGGCTGTGTGTCGTGATGACGTTCCTGCAGAACATCATTACTTCACTCCAGGACAGCTTTTCTTCTTTCAGGAAACATGAAAAGCTGCTTACAGGTACTGTGACCTATGGCCCTACTCCCACCAATGACCCTGGTTTCACTGAGACTGTAATTCAGCCCTGATTATGACCTCTGCTTAGCCCTTTCACCCAGCCAGACCTCTGACCTTGATCAAAGTTCTTTGTTTCCTCCAGTGGTTGTCTTTGTGCTCATGTTCCTGTGCAGCTTCTACTTCATTCGACCTCAAGGCCTCTACCAAATAAGACTGCTGAGTGACTACTGGATTGTCTTCCCCGTAATCATCGTCATGTTTGAAACCATAGCTGTGGGCTGGGCCTGTGGGGCCAGGAGGTGATCACTTGGGTTAGTCGTTACTGGGATGGGAGAGTGGGAGAATCCAAGTCACACACAGGGGACTCCTGAGCCCAGCTTTTTACCAGGCTGGTATATGGATATCCAAGTGGTTTAATTCAAGGGCAGAAGGCTCGGGGCAGCATTTTCTGGTGCTCTGAAAGAGCAGAATCCAAAGAGGAAGACATATATAAGCGGACAATTGCAGTACAAGGTGGTAAGTCTAGAGGAGAGGGGCTGGCGGCACTCTAGGGGCATCTGGAAAGTCTTAGAGGGGAGGATGATTGAGCAGAGTCCGGACAGATGAATAGATAGATAGAGAAGAGTAGTCTAGGTCAAAGAACCCCACTTGTATATTAAGTTTGAGAAGATACATAAAGGAGGCTGGATACATGAACTAGAAGAAACCAAGAAAAATTCCTTGAGGGTCAAGTGTTAACTTTTAGGTGGCCTGTGTTGTTCACTATTTATACCCAACACCTAGAAGAGTCCCTGGCATATCATAAGCACTCTCATGTTTATGGAATGAATGAAAGGGACTTTGCCTTTATCCTGAAGGCACTGAGTACCCGTGAAAAAGTTTTGAGCAGTAGAGGAATGCTTGAAATTTTTCCTTGGGTTGGGAGAGGATGAGGCTTGAGCTGAGGCAGGGGTTGAGAAGTGAAGTAGAATATTTGAAAGATGCTGACTAAGATCAGGCTGGCCTTGCCCTCCAAGGAAAGGTAAGGGGTGACTGGGCTTCCCACAGTCTCATGGCCCCTTCTCCCAGGTTTCTTACAGACTTCGCAACTCTATGGGACCGCCCCATCCACCCCATCTTTCACTGGCTGTGGTGCTATCTGTGTCCAGTTGTGTTGCTATTCCTGTCTATTACCACTCTGATTCTTCTGTTTCTGAAGGACGTCACCTATACAGCCTGGGACTCAAGCAGTGTGAGTCTCCATTTCCAGACCCCAGACCTTTCTAGGGAGTTGGGGCCAGATCTTTCAACCCACTTTTGGCCTAAAGACCCTATCATCTCATTCTCTGCTCCCTGAAGACTCAGTCCTTTGCCCTGGTTCCCCTCCCACATCTTTCCTCTTCTGGGATCTTCGGTGTTCTGAATCTCTTTCCCATCTCTCCACAGTCAAAAGAGGTGATTCGACGATACTCAACAGGGTACCTTCTCATGCTGGGTGCCGTTTCCCTCGCTGTCATGCTCCCTATACCCACATGCTTTTTATACTGCCTCGTCCATGGCATTCCCTTCAAACCCGTGAGCTTGAATAGGCCTCTCACATCCTCCAAATCCCTGCCCCTAATTATTCCTCTAAAGCCCATTAAAGAGGACCAAAAGGAGGAAACCCTACAAGGTGTTAATCAAACTGCTGATCCACCTGTTGTGTGACATCCTGACTTCCTTGATGTGGCCTGACATCACACATCCCTCAAAACAGGTCTAACAGGCAACTCTTAATATCAACTACCAACTGTTGATGTCCTTGGACCCAGAACTCCTTTTATTCCCAAGGGTATTTTGGGGGCCCTTGGGATCTGGCTTTGCAGCTCCCCTCCTAGACTTCTCTGGTTGCCACTGTCATTTTCCCCATGCCCTTCCTTAGTGTGTACACAAACCACTCATATACACTGTCGGTGATGCCAACTGAACTTGACTGGTATGAAGCTAGAGGAGTAATGCTGTTGGTCAATAAATTAGTCCACTGGGACTCCAAGCATTGGGTGTGAGTGGATCTGTTTTTATTTTCTATAATGTCTCAGATATTCAGTCTTACTAAAAAATCATTTTTTTTTTTTTTGCCCTGGCCAGTTTGGCTCAGTGGTTAGAGCATCGGCCTGCGGTCCAGAGAGACCGGGGTTCGGTTCCCGCTAAGGGCATGTACCTCGGTTGTGGTTTGTCCCTGGCCCTGGTCGGTCGTGCAGGTGGCAGCCACTCAATGTGTTCCTTTCACATCGATGTTTCTCTCTCTCTCTCTGTTCCTCTCTCTTCCTCCCACTCTACCTGAACAAAAAATGGAAAAATGTCCTCGGGTGAGGATAAAAAAAAATCATTTTTTAATTTTCAATTACAGTTGACATACATTATTATATTAGTTCAAATATTCAGTCTCACTCTCAGGAGCCTTCCATTCTTTTGAGAGCTAAACATTCTGCCCTGAGTTCCAGACCTCTCCTTAGTGTGGCAAATTCAGATGCTAGATTACTAGACTTGCTTTATCCAGGGACTGGCCTTTAGCCAGGACATTGTGAAAAGATGAAAAGAATATTAATGTACTTGCTGATGAGACATGGTACTCCTATCATGGGTCTAAATTGTTATGAAGAGTTTCCAAGACTGCTCTGTCTGGTGTGGCTCAGGTGGTTCTTGCATCATTAGAGCACAGAGGGTCATGGGTTACATCCCTGGTCAGGGCATGGAGAGGAGGCAACCCATCTATTTCTCTCTCACATCAATGTTTTTTTTTCTCTCTCCCCCCATCCCCTTCCTCTCTCCCAAGTCAACAAAAACACATCCCTGGGTGAGGATTTAAAAAAAAAAAAAAAGTTCCCAAGACTGTTATGGATTAAGTGATCTACACAGACTAAGTGATCTATTAACTAAGACATAATCAGTTGGGGAACTACCAAATTGGATTGCTGAGCCCATCAGGGTCAGGGTTCCATATCTACTTGGTAGAGATATCTTTTTACTACAGGGCTAAATCAAATGAATTTACCTAGTGCATGAAACTGAGTGGATCTCAAGGAACTTGTGCGAGTGGTGAGTCCACAACTGAACTGAAGTACTACCCAAAAGGAGATGGAATCAGTAACGGGATGGGGACTGTGCATAGAGGTGGTTGGGATTCCCAAAGGTCCAAGGAAGGGTTTCCTTTATTATTATTTTATTATTTTTTTTTATCCTCACCTGAGGACATTTTTCCATTTTTTGTTCAGATAGAGTGGGAGGGAGAGAGAGAGAGAGAGAGAAACATCCACATGAAAGAGACACATCGAGTGGTTGACACCCGCACGACCCAACCAGGAGACAAACTGCAACCGAGGTGCGCGCCCTTAGCGGGAACTGAACCCGGGTCTGTCTGGACCACAGATTGACGCTCTAACCGCTGAGCCAAAACGGCCAGGGCGGAAGGGTTTCCTTTAAATGCTCAAGAGATTCCAAGACCTCGGCTTGCTTACCTCCCACAGGGAGCCGGCCTCTGAATAAGTTTCTGTGACCAAGGAAGAGAAAGTAGACATTCCCAGTCATTCGCTGGGCTGGCGGGCGGGACTCTGGGGATGGGTCCGGTGAATGGGAAGAGCAGAGACCCCCGAAGTCTCTGGAGGTCAGCATTTCCACCTCTCTCCTCTAGCTCGGGGGGCGGGCTGGAGGCGCCGTGAACCTCCACGCCGTCAACCATTGGCTCTCGTACTTGGTAGCCCCGCCCCTCACGCGCCCCCCACCCGTGTCCCCCTGTAAACGATCTGTCCCTTGAAGACCCGCGCTACTGAGTCAGGTAAGGTGGGAATGGCAGAGAGGAGACAGCCACCTTCTCACGATCAAATAGCCCGAGTTTTCAAGCTCCTTCCTTTTGGGAACCCAGGTGCTCACCCACCTTTCTGTCCCCCGATCTCCAGTTCCAGCTCTGGGAGTAGCACTTGTATGTGAGGCATTGAAAAGTAGGGGCTTACCGGATAAACCGATGGGAGCGGAACGGAGATCTCGCTGTGTGCCCTCCTCCTCCTCTAGATGTCCCTTTCCTGAGGTCCTTTGGCACCGAACCACAGAGTCGTTTACATCGGGAATATCTCACTTTGCCGTAGAGGGTACTGATTACAGTGGAAGGCAGCTTTCTCTACATAGCTCTGGGGGTCCTCACTGTATGAAGTTCGGTTTCGTGGCGTCCTTGTGCATGAACCGGTTAGGTGTTAGACCGCTGTTAGAAACTCTCTGGCCTTGTTAGACTAAACGGAGCCCCGTCCCTTGGTAGGGTCCCTTACAGATGTCTTTACTTTTATTCCTCACAAGGATGGTATGAGATTCAGGCATTGTCATCCTCAGCTTTCATCAGGAGACCCAGAAGAAAAAGGGGTTCACACAGTGAATGAAGAGTAAAGCCTGACAAAGATTCTTGTCTTGTGGTTTCTGGACCTTGTATTTTGGAAAATTTCAAACACATACAAAAGAATAACAACAAATGTCTTTGTACTGATTACCCATCTTCAATTGACCAATCAGGTTTCGTCTCTCCTCACCCCACGGCAGGCCTCCCCATTATTTTGAAGTGAATCCCAAATTTATCTGTTGGTACCTGTCTCTAAAATATAAGACCCGTTTAAAAAAAAACCACACCTAAAATAAATAGCAGTAATCCTAATATCAAATATTCAGTCAATATTTAGATTTTCCTGTTTGTCTAATTTTTTTTCTGGTAGCTTTATCTTTTTTTTTAACATCTTTATTGAGATATAATTTATATACCATACAATTCACCCATTTAAAGTGTAAAATTTAATGCTTTTTAGTATATCACAGAGTTGTATACCCATCACCACAATCAATTTTAGTACATTTTCATTATCCCAAAAAGAAACACCACACCTCTTAGCCATCACCCTAACTGCCCCAGTCCACAACTCCAGCCGTAGACAACCATGAATTTACTTTTTTTTTCTATAGCCTATTCTGGACATTTCATATACATGGGATCATACACTATGTAGTCCTTTTGTGTCTGGCTTCTTTCACATAACATACTGTTTTCAAGATTAATCCATATGAAACATATATCAGTACTTCATTTCTTTTTTATTGCTAAATAACATTCTGTTGTATGATATAATACATTGTATTTATTCAGTTATCAGTTGATGGACATTTTGGGTTTCTACTTTGGAATATTATTAATAAACTTTTATGAATATTCATGTGAAAAGTTTTGTGGATAGACGTGTTTTTATTTCTCTTGGCATATACTTAGGAGTTGAATTGCTAGATCATATCATATGCTAACTCTGTGTTTCACTATTTCAGGGACTGTCTCATAATTTTTTAAAAGTTTGAGTTATCATCCACATAAAATTCATATATTACAATTTGTTGCTCTAACTCTTAAGAATCTTTTAATCGCCCTGGCCAGTTTGGCTCAGCGGTTAAGAGCGTCGGCCTGCGGTCCGGAGAGACCCGGGTTCGGTTCCCGCTATGGGCACGTACCTTGGTTGCAGTGTGTCCCCGGCCCTGGTTGGGTCGTGTGGGTGGCAACCACTCGATGTGTCGCTTTCACATCGATGTTTCTCTCTGTCTCTCTCCCTCCCACTCTATCTGAACAAAATATCGAAAAATGTCCTCGGGTGAGGATAAAAAAAAAAAAAAAAAAAAAAAAAAAGAATCTTTTAATCTATAAGTTTCCCTCTTTTTCCTTCTTGCAATGTATTTGTTGATAAAATTGGGTTCTTTGTCCTTTAAAGCTGCCAACAATCTGGAATTTGCTGATTGCCTCCCTGTGGTATAATTTAATATATTCTTCTGTCCCCTGTATTTCTTATAAATTGGTAGTTAGGGCAAGAAGTTGGTTAGTTTTAGGTTCAGTATTCTGGCAAAAATACTTCATGATTGGTTTTATATATCAGAAGGCAAAAAAAAAATGTCCATTTTGTGATGTTAGCAACCATTGATGATCATTGTCTAGATTCATTTATTCATTTGAGATTATAAAATGGTGATATTCTAGGTTTACTATTCCTTTTTTTTTTTTTTTTATTAGCTGGAGTATGTCCAGAAAGAGCCATGGGAGATTTGACTCCAACAAAACCTCTTCTGAGCCCCCTCATATCCTCCTCCAGAAGCCAACCTTTTTAGATAGTATAAACTGAGCTGTGTTCCATGCTGTCTCCTTGACCCATAAAACATTCAGGCATTCTCATCAATTCCACCCTGGTCAAGAAATTAAACATCAGCAGCATCCCATAAGGTCCCATGTGTCCACTCCCACCACCACTACTTTTCACCCCTCTAGAGGTAGCCACTATCTTGACTTTAAGGTAATCACTTCCTTGCTTC